ACAGTTTGGTCGAGAAACAAAGAAACTACTGAGTCAGTGGGACCGTCTCAGTATAAAGGATGGTGTTCTCATGCGGAGAATTCATGACCAAATAGATGGGACAATACACCAGGTGGTGGTGCCTGGACAGTTACGAGAAGAAGTGCTAAAGTTGGCACATGACAGGGCGGGACACCAGGGTCAGGACAGGACGCACAAAATATTACGACGGCGTTGTTACTGGCCCAATATGGAGATGGAGGTCAAACGCCATTGTGAGGCTTGTGTGAGGTGTCAGCATGCGAAAATGCCAGTTGTTAAAATGAGACAGCCATCAGGACACTTACTGGCGACAAAACCACTAGAGATTGTGGCTATGGACTTTACGTCGTTGGAGCAATCATCGGATGGGACGGAACATGTGTTGGTAATGACTGATGTATTCACCAAATGGACTGTTGCGGTGCCCACACGAGATCAGACGGCCAAAACAGTGGCAAAGGTCTTAATAGAACATTGGTTCATCAAATATGGCATACCAAGACAATTACACTCTGACCAAGGAAGGGCCTTCGAGTCAGAAGTAATTAACCGACTGTGCAGCCACTACGGGATCAACAAATCTAGAACAACCACATTTAATCCGAAAGGAAACGGACAGTGCGAGCGGTTCAACCGCAGCATGCATGATTTGCTGCGTACTCTAGAACCTGAACAGAAAAAACGTTGGCCGGATTTTCTCCCAGAGTTGGTATATCTATACAACTGCACCCCCCCCCCCCCCCCCCCATGCCACAACCGGCTTTTCGCCACACATGTTACTGTTCGGACGGGAGGCTCGACTCCCTCTTGACTTGTTCCTAGGAAAAAAGGAGAGTATGACTGGCTCATACACCGCACTAGAATATGTGAATGAACATATGAGACGAATTAGAGAAATGTACAGGGTGGTACAGGAAAGACTAGAACATGAAGCACGGCGAAGGGAACCGCCGGTACAGACAAAGGACCCGCCACTCAAACTGAACGACAGGGTATTATTGCGTAGCCACCCGTTAGGCAGAAACAAAATCCACGACCTCTGGGGACAGGAGATATGGCAAGTCGTGGAGATGCCTAAAATAGCCGGTGGCCCCTTTAAAATAAGACCCACCAATCACACCAAACCGGATCGGTGGGCGAATATTGCTCAATAAAAGAAATATTGTCATAGTCAAGAAGAGCAGTTACACACAAAGAAACCTAAGACAATTAGGGAACCGGAAATTACAACGGAAATTCACATACCCATCCCGGAACCATGTCACCATCAACAGCACAACAGCGATACACAAGGGGAGGATAATGGCAACAATGAGGATCCCGGTCCTTCCAGAAGCAGAGACACAGTAGAACAGCAGACAAGTGGTCCGCGGAGAAGTTTGAGAAACAGAAAGAGTACGAAATTTTTCGTCAGCAACCATCAATTCTTTCATGGTCGCGCTGGTATGAGAACAGACTGTTCAAAAAGTTATAAAAGTGAACTGGTGAAGGCACCAAACGAAAAAAGGTGGATGTGAATTCTAGAACTGCTTTGTGTCTGAGGAATATGATGAAGACACATTTGACATGTGAAATAGTGATAACTGTCAATCTTTTACGAATGTGACGACATTGACAGTGAGTGGAACAATAATTTTTTTTTTTTTACGGCGGTGCTTTTGACATTGAAGGAGTGCACCTGCCAAGCGTTGTTTGTGGTTGAAAACACACAAAAAAAAGGCAGGGGTGGATGTAACTAGGGTAGTTACCATACTATGGTTAACAACGTATTACAGTCTGACGTAACAGTGCAGATGGTTTATTAATCGGATTGTATGACAGAAGCTGCGCAATTAATATTCTGATGCAACGATTAGAATACGAGTACGAATACGAGTATGAATATGAGTACGAATACGATTACGAATACGAAGGGATATATAGGAAGGCGACAGCTGAGAACGAGTAGGAGTAGCAGTATCAAGTTGGTTACTGAACGTTGTAGACGTATTGTGTTAATAGGGACGATAGACATGTGCATTCGGTTATGTGAAGACTAGTGAGGACGGTTGGGGGTCAGTTGATTCATTCTATTATTGTGAAGCATTTCTTTTGATTCATGTAATAAAAGGATCAATGGTAAACCTGCATCTTCGAGTATCTATATTGTGGTCGATGTTGTGTAGAATGAGTAAATACACTCGTTAACATTTGGCACTACAAGCAAATAGACTCGTTACATATATTAATACTTTAAGAGTGGTAATATAGATTCCTAAAAAACTAAAGATTTTTCAACTTGAGAACGTACTTTGTAGTGTTTTCCGTACTGAATTAATATCATCTAACTTACTTATCGACTACTCGATATACTCTACTACATTCACAATACATATCAAAATTCGATACCTAATCATAACTAGACTCGATGCTCCAAAACTACGACACCAACTCGTTTCACTTCACCAAACTCTGCAAACGGTACTCCCAATCAACAACGATTTCATTGGACCTACTACTTCACTTTAACAGTCAATATAATTCGATGCCTTAATACCACAAGAATCAATACTCCCGAACTCCAGAACTACGATACTTTATCACCTGTATTCTCATTTCTCTATTACCAATCAGATTCCACTAGACCTTCAACTACAAGACAGCCTAATAAAAATCATGTCACTTTAACACATTCGATACTTTATACCTACGAAACCATATCAGCAACAGCCTTCCGCCGCTACTCCCAAATCTAAACGAGTCATCAAAACTTACCAAACAATTACAATACTTGTAATGTCAGAGAAAACGAGGCTTATTCAATTTAGATAACCGTTTGAAATGTTCGAAAGTGACCGATAAAAAAAGCGCCCCGACCTTTTCACATTAGGCAGGTGGGGTTGCATTTTCACCATCGCGAATAATATAGGCCTATATAGACCTAATTTTGGGGTGGGGGTGCAAAATTGATAGTTCGTCCTGGGTGCCGAAATAGACCGCTCTTCCTTTATAAAAGTTATTAATTTTTAGTTACTTTTTGACAATAGTGATTAAACCTTTTGCACCCCCTAAGGATGGCGCCCTACTTCGTCTTACAGGTAGCGCCGACCCTGGCCAGATGAAATAACAGCAATGGCGCTTTGATGAACGCCTCATTGAAAAGGAAAACATGGAAGACGTGGAGGCTCACGTGAGAAAAGCGATTGACAAGAGCCGGACTATCGTGGCGAGGTGACAAGAGCCGGACTATCGTGGCGAGGTGACAAGAGCCGGACTATCGTGGCGAGATGACAAGAGCCGGACTATCGTGGCGAGGTGACTCTTGGATCATGTTCACTATTTTTACCTGCTCCTTTCTGTTTTGTCTGCAATGACGCCCATATTTCTCCGATCCCAACTCCCCCACACCCACCACCAACATCTTTTTTCCAACCCCTCATCGATTTCAACATGAAATCTTGTGTTGCCTACACAACCGAACCGATAAATTTTGTTAGAAGAAAAGGGAAGTAATAAGAATAATTCGAAACACTATATTTATTGTGGTTACTTCCCATTAATAATCTTACGATTGGGAATTAAAAAAATTGTATCATACGTTTAATTTATTCTTATACATAGAGATCTATAAAATATGTATTTCATAAAGTTTTTATATGGAAAAGACCGCAATAATTATCTTAAAAGCCTTTTTTTAGCCAGAGCTGAGTTAAGACTTAATGGAGCGAACAACGCTACGTCACTGTTTATATTGACGATTTTTACCTTTGACATCATCGTCACACATAGTCACAAAATCAGACCACTATCACCTATCCCTTAAATTACGTCACACTTGAATTGGCTGATTCCCCCCTCCCCCCCCCCCCCCACACACACACAAATGATGTCATTTGCTGAATGGATATAACCAAGGTAGGTAGATCTGGATTTTTTTTACGAAATTTTAAATTTTCCCTCTGCACCAAAAAATGCATCTATAGGCCTCATACAGTGGCGTAGCGAGGTCAGGTGTCACCTGGTGCGCTACTTAATGGTGTCACCCTCCCAGAGGCGTAGCGACCCTTCCCGGGGACAAACTTTCGTATTTTCGATTTGCACCCCCCCCCCTCAAGTTTTCGATTTGCACCCCCCCCCCTCAAACTTACTTTCGATTTGCACCCCCCCCCCCTCAAGTTTTTCTCTATATATTTAGCTATTTTTTGCCTTGGTGTCACCCCCTCTAAATGGTGTCACCCGGTGCGGTCCGCACCCCCCTCGCTACGCCCCTGGCCTCGTATAATTACATCTTAGCAGATCCGTGAGTATGGTCTACATCATATCTAGTTTCTTTGATCAATGATTTTAAAAAAATTAAAATAAAAAGGTTTTAAGTAAGATAACTGCTGGAACTCAGTTTAAGACACTAAGACTTAATGAAGTGAAAAAAGAACTATGTGACGTCACACTTGCTTACCCCCCCTCCCGCCACACACTCACACTCCCCCACCCCTAGTCACCAAAATCCGACCCACCCAAAACACTTCCCCCCCCCCCCCTCCCTCTATGAGTGTTACGCCTTTATCTAGTTTACGTTGGTACCAAAGTAAATTGATTACAAACAGTGAGCAATAATCTAGTATTGGTAGTATCCACAGCAAATCAATATGCACTGTAAACGTAAAATCGTGTGGGGACTAGATCTAGATCTACTTGCCAGTCATTAATTTCAAATTTGGGTGTTCGATAGGCAAAACTAATCAACAAATAAATTTGAAGGAAAATAAACTTTCACTTGAAATCGTATTAACAGAAAGTAGATTCTATATTTATGTACAAAATACTCTAAACTAGGGTTTAGTCTAAGATCTATTTATCCACTAGCGCAATATTTTTAGATGGTAAACTATAATTTTACGATATTGTTGTATTGGCCTACTTTTGAACTTTGTACAAAGAGGATTTTTAAATCCGTATTTAATAGACCGGAAAACGGAAATAAATATTAACAACGGATTCGAGGCTGTGTATGTTGATAGTTGATGCGGATGGTGATTTTTTTTTTTATTATTTCTAAACAGAAACAGCTGAGTTGTGGAGTAGACCTAGGTCTATTACCTGTAAGAATTTCCGTTTAAATGTGTCTTTGTTTAAATAATAAAATTATTAGATTGCTAATTTTATCTAGATTGTTTTAGATCTAGATCTAGATTCTAAGTCTAGACTAGAGTCTAGTCTCAGTCACTTCAGTCAGTGAAGTCGGTGACTATTCAATATTCATTCACTATTCACTATTCAGTGAGATAGCTAGCCTAGCAGTGCTAGATCTTGGTGCTAGATTTTCTAGCAGCTAAAGTTAGAGTAAGAGTTAGACCAGTTAGATCTAGATCTAGTTAGAGTAAAAGAGTGGGATCTCTCTCTGTCTACTCTTCAGACTCCTCTTTCTTGTTTTTAGACTAGGTCTAGATTCTAGATAGATTAGAAGTTAGAAGACTAGACTCACTAGAGTTCACTAGACAAGACAGACAAGAGTAAGTCACACTACTGTCTCTAGTCCCCATCATTCAACAAGACTAAGACATTTATTTTTTAACACTTTTCAAGTCTTATTCAATTCTCCTCTATTAAACTAGGCATTTCGATGTCCGCCATTTTGTTTAATCTGGCCACATCCGAAATTTTTCAAGCCAACTTTTGTAATTTCGGCCATTTTCCATCCAAGTGCTTAGTTATCATGAGAGAATCGATAAATTAGTGTATTCGATACGTCAAAGTGGGCTGTTTTTATATTCTATGTTTGTATGGAAAACTATTAGTTACATTTTAACATATCGATCCCAATTTTATCGAGGTATCTTAGCGAGCACGTCTCATTAAACGCAGTAACTGACCTCTTTCAATTAGTATTAATTTTAGCAAGAAAGTAAAGTATAATAAGCTAGACATTAGTTGTAATGAGCATCCTAACCATTCTCAAGAACAAAAATACCAGTTTCATAGAGTTCTTTACATTGGAACATGCTTAAAAAGCATTGGTAAATCTTGGGGGGGGGTCCCGCTGACACAATTTTTTAACAGGGCAATAGGGACCGCGAGGTTACCTATTATCGATAGAACCAAATTTCGGCATTTAAAAAAGGAAACTAGATCTAGACTAGTAAATAAGTAATGCCAAACTATTTTCATGGGTGGAAATGTTGGTTTTATGGGGCTTTTTAGCTCTTTGTAACCAGATATGGCTTCTTGCGTGAAGTGAAGGGGATCTACGCAATTTTAATAATGACGGTCCATAGACCATATGCATGAAATATAAAAAATCGCACATTTGTATTACTGTTTAACACTATTCATTGAATTGGCAAGATTTTAGCTTATAGAATGTTTTTTATGGATTAAATAAAATTTAAAGCAATGGAATTAATAGTCCCATTCATTAATAATCTTCCATATTAGTCATTTTCAATTGGGTAATAATAATAGGCAGGCCTAATTAAAATTTTAAATAGTAGGCCCTAATAAATAGGCCCTTATAAATATTAGGCCCCTATAGAATAGATTTAGATCTATGTATTTTAATGAGTAATTGCTTATAAGAATCTAATAGAACTAATATTTATTGCATCAAGCTTAAATATATAATTATGTTGTAAAATTACTTATGGATGATGTCTAAACTTTAGTTACCCCGTTTCAGGAAAAACTGATTAAGAAAATAATTACAAAGATTAAATTGGTCATTTCTCAGATTATAGTATATTATCTTTAAAATTTAATAATAGCTAAAATATACTACTAGATCTATAGAGGCATGGAAAGTAAAATAAATGAAGTCAAAGATAAAATAAAAACATTAACACTTCACTTTAATAATGTGATCTAAAGCAACAGTAATAGATACATTTTTTTGAAGTCAAAAAGAAAACAGAAACAGTAACACTTTGAACAATGTGACTTAATTTTATAACTTAAACTAAGCAACAGTAATTTTTTTTTAAACAGTAGGTTCAGATCAGCAAATAAGGCAGCTGTCTATCCTTCGGTTGCGACACATCTCATCTAGTTTCTGTAGGCTGCCTATTGATTAACCATCCTTGGCTACTTATTAAAAGTAGCCTATAACTAATGCTACTAATATTTAGATACTTCAACATAATCCTAACCATATCATATTCCAGTATGAGTATAATACACAGGTATTATTGATACAAGATTTCAGTGCCACCCCCATTAATTAGACTTTATTATATGTGATTGTCTTTTTCTCCTAGCATTTTTTTGACTTGTAAATTTCTATTCCCAACATCCTTAAGCATCTATGTGCTAAGTTTTATCTTTGCATCATCAATAGCAACATAGATATTCAGTATGAAAAGTGACTTGTGGCAATCATAGTAGAACGGCACTGCACTCCTTAATTGGGCTTTATTAAGTTAATTATTAGTTGTTTTCCTTTTAATTAAGCTGTATTTCACTTGCATATTCCTGTTGCCTGTACTCCCTAGCACCAATATGCAAATTTTTATCAATATATCTTTATTAACAACAGAGTTGTGCAGTTTGACAATAGACTAACGTTGCTCTCTCTATAGAAACGCCATGACCCTTAATTAGTCTTAATTATTTTTGGTTTTACCTTTACTGATCTTTATTTCAATTGCATATTCCTGTTGCCTGTACTCTCTAGTATCAATATGCAAAGTTTTATCATTACAAGTTAAAAAATAACAACGCTATATGAACTCAAAGAAGGACACCAAATATTTTGCAACTTTACAATAAAATATAAGCTGTTTAACATACAACTTTAAAAATTCATTAAAAAAAAACTACTGGGCCTACAGTGATAACTTTAGTGGTTTATTAAATGGCAGTTTATGGCCTTCAATATTATGTGTGTTTTATCATTCTGAGATAATTAGGCAAAATATACCAAAATGCCTACTATTAAACTCTCTACTGTCTCTCTCTAGGATCTAGATTCTAGATCTACTCTTTACTACTACACCAGGGACTAGTGGCACTCTTGACTCTATGAGAGTCTATGCTATGACCGTAGAGAGAGAGTTTAATAGAGGAGAATTGAATAAGACTTGATAAGACATATATAGTATATAGCCTAAGCCTTGCACCTATAGTTTGTTATTATAAAACGTAAACTGCCATTTTGCTTGTGGTAAACATTTTTAAAAGTAATTCTAAGAAGGTCACTGGAACTGAGTCGAAAAAATCGTAAGTTATACGTCCAGTGTGGACGCCATATTGTTGTTAGCAACCGGTCCCGCCTCTAGGGTAATACTACCTAATAGGATAATTAATTAGGCCTAAAATAGATATTAAAATCAAATCAAATGAATTTCATTTATTAGTATCTGTCACTCTAGTCGTATCACTATCTTTTCCCAGCCACTTGACATTGAGGGGGAAGGGGGTGTCCAGAAAATCAAAACTTTTTCGGGGCCATGTGGTCGACGACATGTTGAATTTAAAATGGAAGTACTTGGGCCTACATTTTAAAACAAACAAACAAAACTCATATCCTGCATGTAAAAAATAAAATTAAGACCACAGTGCTCATGTTTTAAAAATAAACCCAGCTCAAAGTGTAAATAAAAACTGGGTCATTCATAACATATGCAACAGCACTATTTTTACCTCCTCTACATTATCGTAAAAAGCCAGGACCTAACACATGTAATGATGTTACACTTCATCCTATCCTGAAAAACTGCAATTTTTGTTTTAAAATAAGGTCGAGTCGGTAAGGCTCATGGTTGCTAAACCGAAAAGTCGCGAGTTCGAACCCCCGGGCAGATGAGGCTCGTTAGCTGGGGACAGCCACTCTTCTAGGAGAGACAACTCCAAAATCAAACAACTGCTGCCTTGTAGTTTGTTCTTGGTTGGACAAAGGCTATGGAAGCAAATCCAAAAAGAAAAGCAGGCTGAAATCGGAGTCAATGGCCTCAATGGCGCATAACCAGTTGACACATAATCCTTAATTGTGATGGTAGCATGGTCGAGTTGGCAAAGCTCATGGTTGATAAATTCGAAAAAAAGTCTCGAGTTCAAACCCTCTGGCAGATAGATTCTAAGGCTCGAACCCTCCCAACACTAAAAATTAAGAACGAAGAAGAAGAAATTTTAAAATACATACTCTACTGACCTCTGTAAACACTGAGTAGGCCTAGATTGATTAATATTTATTAAACTCTTTTTTAAAATTTCATCACTGTGAAGCAACAGCTTAAATTCAGTTCTAACGTTATTGCAATAAGCATGAAAGTCCAAACCTGTTCTTCAGGGTATGATTTCATTTATGTAGAACACCTAATAAAAATAGTACCTCTTTGGTAAGTGAACGATGAAGTAAATAAAGGTCATAAACCTGATGAGGCCTAGCTACTTACTAACCATATCAAAGCTAATATTGATTATTAAAATACATCCTACGAGTATAGGGAATAATACTTTTAGCACTCCCCACATACACAAAAAAAATATTTTGCATAATAGTGGTAATAGGAAAACCATTGAAAAAAATAATATATTTATACTTGATGGTTAAAACATACTAACTTCTATATCTACACTCTAGATTCTACTTATTAAGGCCTAATAATAAACATTACTGAAAATAGTGAATATATATATATATATATATATATATATATATATATATATATATATATATATATATATCAGATAATTGGTAGTCAATTTTGAGAAGTCTACTTAACTTGTGGATGTCCACATCAAGTTAGTTATCAATCAGGGTGTGGGTGGTTTAATTGGTAATTGACATGAACGAGGTGGTGAAAGAGAGAACAAAACTCTGTCATTTACTGCAAGAGACATTATCAATTAAAGTTATTTTTCGTTTAAGAAAAGATAAGGGTGAGTGGTTACCATTAAGGGTAATCTATTATATTGGGGCAAGTAAATTGTGTTTGTATTATAGAATTTAGAATGATTCAGTACTTTGATTTGGTTAAAATTGCCTTCTTTAGGTACTTAACTTTTGAGTTAAAAATGCCCCATTAACAAGTTTTAGCTTTGTTACCAGATCTGTCTGTCTGCATGTGATTTACTGTCAAATCTTGAACCTTGTTGTATTGTAAGTTAACTGCCATTTTTATTAGCATGTTAATTTTGTTCAGAAAGAGCCACCGCGAGCCAGTGATGACAGACAATGTCCCAGGTGGATCCCACCACTGAGAGTGGCAACCACTCCACTCTGTATCTGACAACCGCTGCCAACCACTCTAGCTTCTTGCTGACAACACCCAGTGAGCTACTGAACACAACATCCCAACATGATGCTATTGACTGCCAGGCTACTAGAGAGTATGGGATCGTCTTCAGCATTATTGCTGTTGTATCCACCATATTTGGTATACTCTACACTTTCTTTGGTAGGTTACATTTTCAGGTGTCACTTCTGTACTACATAATATAGTTAGAATATAGTTACTGTTAGTGTACATACATAATAGCTAATACCCCAGGTCTTTAAGTCTATTTTTAGTTATTTGCCACCGTGCTACTTAAGAAAGAGTTATAATTGTTTAGAATCCTTAAAAAAGGGTTATATATACACTCAGTGTACAAACACTAAACATTGTTTTATTAAATGTTGTATCCTTATATGCTATTGTATTCCATGAAATACTTTACAAATTACAAACATGCTTCATGGCTATCTTTTTGTTTTCAGGCTACAGATTCTTCAAAGCCATTATGTTCCTCACTGGTTTCATATTTGGTACAGTGTTGGTCTACATGGTCATGAGTGAGGTGGCAATTCTTCCCCCTGAAGGGACCCTTGGCTGCGCTGGCGGCTCTGGCTTTCTACTTGGATTTGTTACAATGTTGATTCCTCATACTGGTCTCTTTCTCACTGGCTTCAATCTAGGCATTGCAGCCACTGCTGTTATTCTGATTTTTGTTGAACAGTTTGTACATATTAATATTATGTGGATCCCTATCGGCATTTTCCTAGTCATAGGAACTGTGTTTGGTGTTTTGAGTTTAAAGTTTCAAAAGACATTAACAATAATAGGCACCAGTGTGTTTGGGGCGGCTATCTGCCTGGCGGGCATTGACCACTTCATTGAGTGGTCATTTATTGCTCAGTACATCTGGGACCGCATCATGGCGAAGCCCGCTTCAACACTCTGCTGGTACAGCTGGCTGATGCTGGCGCTGTGGCCTGTGTGTGCTCTCTGTGGTGTTGTTGTTCAGTGGAAGTTCACTGGCTCTGGTGTAGACCACTGGCTGGGTAGGTTTTTATTTCATCTTTTCAATTGTCATTCACAACTATTTCATGCTACTGTATCCTCTGCAAATTGACCTAATGACCTTTTCTCTTCTTCCCCCCCCCCCTCCCCAGCTGAGCTTTATGATGTACTGGAAATTAGATACCATTTGGCTGACAGTGCCTCCCTTATTAATTAAATTTGAAACCATTTGGCTGACAGTGCCTCCCTTATTAATTAAATTTGAAACCATTTGGCTGACAGTGCCTCCCTTATTAATTAAATTTGAAACCATTTGGCTGACAGTGCCTCCCTTATAGAATTAGAAGCCAGGTGGCTGACCTCAAGACTATTCCTCCCTTATTTTTTAGTGACTAATCGTATCAAATAGTAACTTAACTAAGAATGATTCCCTTATATTTTAACAATAGCACTGAAAAGTCGTAGGGAACAAGGAGCAAATCTTCAACAGGTGAGAGCTCGTGAGAAGAAAGAAACTCAACAGACTCGGTATCGCCATTTGTATCAAGCCAGGCGTGTTAAGGGAGATGTCATTTCTCAGGTACTTGTTTACAAGCTGGAAAAGTAGAGTTAAACTTCAGATCTAAGTTAATCTTTGTTGTAAAGAGCGGCATCACACTTTTTTTTTTTACTTAATTTTTTCACATTTGTTTTACCTTTTTTTTTTTAACTTTTTGTAAATTGTAGTAAAATTGGAACAGTACACTTAAGTGTGACCTAACACAGTTTATAATTTTAAAAGAAATAGCTGTTTCATATAAGCTAAAATTATGTGATGTAACGGGGAGGGGGCTGTCTGACTGATGAGGGGGAGGTAAGAATTATCAAAACAAAGAGTAATGCAATATATGGATGACATTTTATTTTCCAAAAATCTCATAAGAATTCAAAATAAAGTTCTGAACTTAGGATAAGAAAGCAATTTATTCTAATCAAGTATTTAATGGGTGAAATTTGTTTTCCCAGAACTTCATTCAAAGTATTCAGCACAAGCTATCCCCTGCTATGCAGAGTTTGACAGCTTTAAATGTTGAGGCAAGTAATGAAGAGGAAAGTACAGCAACAACTACACTTACAAATGTAACATAGAAAAGTCAAACCTGTTCAACAACAAAACAAAGCAAGTGCAACACCTACTTGGTTTTATGTAGCGTTAAAAAGTTTTTCTTCATTTACATTGATTTCAACATATTCATAAATTGTTAGAACTATGTATACCTTCCACAAAGTGAAAACACAGGCTTATATTTTTTACTTGTTTTATTAGATTAGTTAATGGCTTGTTAGTTGTACAGTTTAATTTTGTAAACCCATTGAAATGATGATATAACTTAATCAGAGATTCTTTCACAGTTAACTGTACAGCTTATTATTATTGGATTTTGCAAAGTTAAATCAGTTAGAAAAATAATTCACTCTTTTGGGCCAAAGTTTAGGTATTACCTAAACAAGCAGAACATAATTCCTTCAAATATTTGTTCAAAATAATAATTATTTAGTTTTTGTTAAAGAAATAAAATTATGTTAGTGTGCTTTTATTTTTGTATCTGCTCTACCAACATGTGTTAAAGATATTGTACATATTTTTTCAAGTATTGTTGATGATCACTAATTTTTTATAAAACAGATGAAATGCTATGTATTAGATTTGATCACTAGGCTAGTGATGGTTACTTATCTGCATCTAGGTCCTAATACTGTAGGCTTTTGTTGTCTTTGCTTTTGACAAGAGGTTTCATACTTAAGATAATGGTGTATCCTTATTTTAAATGTTTTTCTTTGAAACATTTATGACTTTATCGACTTTTTTTGCTTAATATTTCCACTTTGTGATTGTTTGGTTATTTGTAAACTGATGACAACATAGGTATGTGAGTGGCTGAGTATCAGAACATCATTGGGTTGTTTTTTATTTAAAGGATCATTCTGTTTTTCTATTATTTTTAGTTTTTGTACCATGGGTTTCTTATTGTACATCTTGTGTGAGATTTTTTTATTTTTTCCACTTGTTTTATGTAATGTACACAATTGACATGTACAAGCTGTTCACTTAGTCATTCCTCAACTAACTTATAACAATTATTTATAATAGTGGAAAGTTGATTGTGTAAATAATGTAAGTTCATGGTTAAATTATTTCTATGTGATTAGATAACTGTGTGATACTACTTTTACAATGATTTCATATAATGGTTCACCTAATGATAGTCAAATTTTTATATGAACTTATCAAGAAATCCTAATAGCTTTGGAGGAGTGGCACTGCTATTGTGTCAAATGTTGTTCAACCTCACATGTAACCAGTGACATGACATTCAGCTACTGTTTTCTTCTAATGCTTTGTGTTGCTAGTGATCTCAGTGGGGGATATATTTTTATAGAGATTGTATCTACAACAGCTGATCTTATTTGTCTAGAAGCATATCTTTAGTGTTCCAAGGTTTTTAATGCATAGTTAAATTGTTGTAATGAACTAGTAGCTAGTTAATTGTTGTAAATTGTGATGCATATTTTCCTTGCAGTTGATTGAAACTTGTTGGTGTATAAATGAAGAGGAATCTAGTTAAAGACCAGTGTGTTAACCTATAGAGTGAAAGTGTTGATGTATGTTTGACACACAATGTTTTAACCTATAGAGTGAAAGTGTAGATGTATGTTTGACACACAATGTTTTAACCTATAGAGTGAAAGTGTAATGTATGTTTGACACACAAAGTTTTAACCTATAGAGTGATAGTGTAGATGTATGTTTGACACAAAGTTTTAGAGTTGACCTATAGAGTTCAAGTGTCAACATAAATTGGTAGATGTAAAGTCTTATGCAGCGAGTGGCAGCTGACATCACATTCCATATTTCTTGTGTAATTCCCTGCTGGATTTGTTACCACCAGTTGTCTCCAAGCCTGAATGGCTGTTTGTTTATGTAGACCTAGGTCACATGACATGTACATTTAACATCTTGCTTTAGTACTGCGTTGTTTGTATTAATGAGAAGTGTGAAGAGACATGAGTAGATGTTTTGTTAAGACAGTTGTGCTGTGATTGAGGACATGAGGCTACTGTGGCACCCATGTTCATCTGTGATCTCACCCTTTATTTACCTCCTTATATAGTTCAGACATATCACTTTTCTATGCCATTAACTTGGTAGAATGTGTTCTTACTCCTGACGGACCCAGACGTAGGTCCCACGTGTAATTTGCAACATTCCTTATCACAAATTTAAACGCAAAGGTGTCAGTTGATGTATTTAAAATACAGTATTAAACCACCAAGTGAATAGTACACCCCCAGCTCACCCATTTTATTTTCCCCCATTTAGTATTATGTATAGAAAGTGTGCCTTGAGTTGTGCAAGTGCATCTGTTAGATCGCTCCATTATTGTTACTTAGTAATTTTATGAACGCTTATTTTCTTTTTGCATCTTTTGCTTTAGATCATTCAAGATCTTATGCTAAATGGCTTATTTTGATTTTTTTGTAATCTAATTATGTTGTACTATACAAGTCACATAAATGTTAAAAAGTAGAACATATTTTAAGTATTGTCAAACAGAATACAATGCTTATTGTTACTTTACTTTGAAAAAATAAATTTTTCCTATACTACTCCAACGTGGACTTTTTTGTTGAGCTGATACACTAATCAGGGGTCTCCAAACTACAGCCCACGGGTTAGGCCTGGGAGGTCCTCTCATCCGGCCCACGGAGATCTTTTTGTCCACGGTAAAAAAAATTTGTTGGAGGTGGCTGTGGAACTTTGCCCAGAAAATTCAAAACTATTTGTGTTGCAGACATAGGTGACTCAAATAACGAAAAATGCAAACAAGTTTCGCCATTTTTCGATTGCAATGAATGAGTTGCTGGACAGCTGCTCCACCTCTCAATTGTTTGTGTTCATTAGAGGTGTGGATGAAGACATGAACATAACACAAGTGCTGGCTTGCCTTAATAGCATGTCTGGCTCCGTTACAGGAGATGATATATTCAATCAGTTGAAAAAGGAATTGCTGATTATAACTTTGACTGGACTAACATGAGTGGCATAAAGAAAGGCTTGGTTGGAAAAGCAAATGAGAAAAACATTCTTAAACCAATGTTCCTTTGTGTGCTAAATAGCAGTGTACTGAATCCTGTGGACTTCGAGTGTGTCGTCGATGTTTCTTTCAGACTTTTTCTCTGTGGGGGGGGGGGGGGGGGGGGAGGAACTTGAAATTTGTATATATTTCTATATAAATTATATTTCGTGGGGGTTGGGGGCTCCGCCATCTCGAAGAGGTGTCTGGAAGAAACTCTGGCCCCCGAACTGATATTTGATAGTTAATGCGGCCCTCGGGCTGAAAAGTTTGGAGACCCCTGCACTACATAATTGACAAGTCAGGTGTTAAGACAAATCAGATTTATTAACTAGTAGTAAAAGCCATAATGTAATACTTGAAATGATTTCAACACATACTTGTTATACTTGTAAAATATACCATGATATGCATACATTAGTGCCCAATCAAGTCAAAATTGAAATTTACATTAGACACAACTAAACAATGGCGAGTGAAAAAAAACAAAATTACATGTCAAGGATTTGTACAATAATAGAAAATCTAAAGAGCATTATACAGGGAACCATTTCACTGTATTAACTAGATTTCTGGCAAACAAATGGTGTAAAAAGACAGTACAAAGTCACAAACTATCTCATATATTCAACTCACACAATTTTGCATAGAAAATTTTACATACAGCAAGCAATATTGCAGTTGCAACAAATGTATAAGCTAAGTACTAATGCCTTCATTTTCATCACTCACACACACACACTAAACAGAACATGTTTACATAATAATTCAAATACCTTATTCAGAAGATTTACAGCTATCCATTATGTGGATGTTTCTTGACAACTCACTAACCAAACTAATTAAAATTAAGGAAGTACAACTTTAAAGTGCTATACTAACTTCAAAAAATTGGCCTATACTTTCCAATTATATTACAACTGAATACAGCTTATTTTAAACTACACCTAATTTATTACTGCAGCTTTGGAATGTCGTTAGTGCATAGCACCAATAAGCATCAACATAAAGAAACTGCCTCCTATCATGCTACCATAAGAAATTATAATCATTGGCAGATCCAAGATTTTAATTGGATCTGTATAAATAAAATGCTTTTGCTTTCCAGTTTCAAACAAAATATAAGCAATTTGAACTATGGGTACTAAGAAACAAAATTTAAGTAATTTGAATTGAACTATGGGTACCCAGAAACAAAATTTAAGTAATTTGAACTATGGGTACCCAGAAACAAAATTTAAGTAATTTGAACTATGGGTACTAACAAAGCAAGCTTATAAGAGAAGAGAACCAATGAGAAGCAACACCAAACTAACTAAAGAAATTTGCACCTGGCTTGATTTGTTTTCACCATTCTCATCTGCAAGAAAGTAAAAGAATGGGTTAACATAGATATCTCAATGCTGATGTCACATGCATGAAAGTTAACAGGTACAAAAAATTAGTTCAGGATTAAATAATAAGCTATTTAAATCCTTCAAAGACATGTAATTAACATGCTTTTGTGCTACATAAACCAAAACTTTGGCTTGGAAAGGCTATTGTACTTTGTACATGTTTCTAAAATTTCTAAATTAATTTTTATCATGTTTAAAATATGGTTACATCAGTTGCTATAACAATAAAATGACAATAAAACTAGGAGATGGATGCAAACTAAAAAGAAAAAGAATGTATCTTGTTTCATTAAAATAAAATAAAACAGCTTTTGTACTGTCCTGCACCAAATGTAGAGTATATGTTGTCATATTTCCTCATCTAATTACCCACTGCCAGGTTTATTGATTAAAGTCACTACTTAAAATTAAGATTGAAATCAACTATTTTTTATTTGAAAACGAGTCTATTTCTGTGTTTTTTTACAGGATTTTAAGGTATCTTATGAACAGATCAAAATGAGGTTAGTAAGTTAGACAATTTAGGCCACAAACCACAAAGGTAGACAACCAGCATGAGTTGTATTCATCTTTTATCATACATCAGTGTACAAATTAACAGTACAAATTATGCTATCCCATATTCTTACCCATGCTTACAATGCTACCAATTTTTCTTAGATATTTACCTCAATTTATGCAGCAGATATTTATGAAATAGCTCTTTGCATAAAACTATGCTAACTTAGCATTAAAAACATTTAGTGGATAAGAAACTATTAACTGTTTTTAATTTACTATTCAACTTTGATATTTTTGTAGTAACAAGAATAAAATATTCACACCCCTTGATTTTTTGAACAGCAGGACTCATAAGAATTTAATATTTGCAAAAACATTTCTGTACATTGCTTTTTATGGATTGGGTTAAGATAAATTGTTAAATAAGCAATTATTACAATATTTTCTCTTCAAAATATAGCAAGTCCTATAATTATTAAAATTAAATCGTTAATAAATAAAAATGTTTTTCACGTACAACACACCACATTAGTTAGAGGTCAACTTGTTGTAGAAAAGAAAGGGAAAGTTTTAGAAAAAAAAACAGTTTGGTAATTTAATTGGGTTAGAGATGCGTTATTTATGTAAAGAACACTAACTAGCAAATGATACATTTTTTTTTGTTGTAAAATATTAAGCTTGTTATCATAACAATAAAACACGAGTGGAAAAGCTTAACTTAAAACTAAACTAGCGAAGAATTAATTTTAAAATTTATCTTGAAATTTCTTATACCTCTGGACTTCCCTGTTTCTGAAAAAAAATGTAGCAAGTTACAGAGGATGTCGCAAGATTTGCAGGATTGATGTTTATTTGGTAGATTTTTTTTTAAATCTCATGGTTATAAGCAGGAATAGAAATCTCTGGATTATATATGAGAAGGTAAATGTAAGAGCATTCATAAAATAAACACCCATGATCCAGCACAATCAATATGAACCTTGAGATACATTAAGATAAAAACAGGTAAGTTTCAAAATGAGGGCCAAGTTACTGAGGCAGGAAATAAAAGCAAAATAATAATTCTCAATATAATAAAAGATCAATAAAAACTGTTTTTGTTATAATTAATTTATTTTAAATTAACCGTCCATTAATTGTTTGTTTTTTTCCTTATACTAAAAATCTAAAAATAGATTAATATAATCATAAAGATGTGTTCCACAGGACACCAAGAAGGACTGGTTAAATTCTTCAATCATGCTAATTTAATTACTTTAAACATGCAATTATTAAAAAATGTTACACAACAAACATGCAAGTTCCTTAACTCCATAAATATTATGAACAATTTATTTGGCCTGCTCAGTTTAAAAAAAGGTAAAAATGGTAGGTTAGGCCAATAATAATACCTGGTCTACTCAATGGATTAGGTGAGTTAGCTGAGTCATCTGTAGATAGAACCCAATATCACTTTACATGAGGTTTGCTAATCAAATTTATTGAAACTTTCTCAAAAGTTGTATGGCTTTATTTAAATTATAAAAGAGGTAAATAACACATAAAAACATGTACAAATGGTACATAAATACATCCAGGGTTATAAATATAAAAACATAAATATTGATAACAGTTTGGCAGGAGATAATTTTGTTACATCTTATTTTATATATGGACTAACATATGAACACAAGATTCAAATGTGCATAAAAATGACAGATATTGATTTACCTGGTGAGAAGATCAACTCTACTTTCTCCTTTGATACATGGTCATCTATGTGTGTCATGATGAGGTAAATACTTCCTTTAAAATGGTCACTGTCAACTTGCTCTAAAACTGTAGTGACTTCTGTCACTGTGTCATTAATTTCCTGTAAATCAGTTCAATTTGAAATAATAGTTATTTCTAAAAAAATGTATTGCTACTATTTGAAATAATACAGCTATATATATAAATATATATAATATAGCTACAGCTTTATCCCAGGATGTAGGTTGTCATACATAAAGGAAGAAGTATTAAAGAGATGCATAAGTATGGCTACTAATTTGCTCAACCAAAAATAAAGAAAAAAAGCCCTACTTTATGCAAATATGTTATGAATCAGTGGATAGATTGCATTTCCCTACCTATTTCAAGAATTGTACAATTTACAATTATAAGTGACAAAGAAAAACTATTCCTTCTTTCTTTGATAAATGAAAGTTTCCCAAAATATGTCTAAAATATTGATTTATTTTTTAAGATCCCCATACCTCAAAAAGCTGACTTTTCCCCAAATTATCAACAGGTAGTAATAAAAAGAAAACAAAAACTATTACTAAATGGAAATAATTCCATTTCCCTGCTCTTTTTCATTCAATTTATTCATTTATTTCAAAGTTAACATTTTCTCTTAAATATTTTTTAGTTGGTGAAATAGCCCCAACAGCAGAAAACGACAATTTTTTTTTATTTAGCAGATTCGTTTCACCACTAACAATTATTGGTACAATCTGAAGCTGTTCTAGGATTGAGGAGGAGTACATCAAGAAAATGTTTTTTTTTTAATTTAATAAAAGATACCAACAAACACAAAGATCAGTATGATGAGACTATCTCAGTGAGAAATGTTACCTTTAATGTTGGTTCAGGCAACTTTCTGGCCGAGTCACCAAACCCTAACTCGTATCTGTAACTCCTAACTTTGGGTCCGATATGTTGAACAACACACTTGAGCTCTGTGTTGGACTGACCCAAACTGGCTTGTGCAGGAAAGCAGTTGACATTAGGCTCAACTGTTAAATATGCATGAAAATAAAGGGTTAATCATTGGTTGTAAAACACGGATCTCAAACTGACAAGCAAAAAAACAATATACAGTCGTTGAATGCTGATCTAAAGTTGCTAAACCTAAAGTTGCATTACAAATATATTATTTAGTAATATTTGGCCATTTGAATAATAGACAAAGCACATTTAAGGACTAGCATTGTAATTCACAAGTGAATCAATTAATGGGCTAGGCATGTTTCCCTTCCCTGATCATCCTTATTAAACCATAAAGATGGTTAGGCACAGTATACTAAACTATGAATATTTTGCTTGATATAATATGCAGATATACAATAAAAACACATAAATTAGTTCTATACAATCTGAATGTAATGAAACGGCTTACAGATATTTATTTTAATTGGTACAGCAATGTCAAGACGTGACCCAATCTTTGGTACTGCCACACATTCCACAGTTTTCCCTGAACTTTCTGAGTCTAATTGTATTGTGGCGTTCAAAAATGTTCTGAAAAAAAAAAGCTTCCATTGTTCATTTGAATTACAAACTAGCTCTTTTGTTCAGCAATCAAAATTTTAAAATTAAATGGAATTTTTTTAATGCCTTTAAATTAGTTTGGACTGTACCTCCATTTTCTAACCAAGCCTCCCATCTCAATGTAATCAGATGTTGCAGTTATTTTTTCCCCATGGAAAAGGATTTTAACATCTTCAGTTTTAGGGTTGCTTCCCTCTGCAGTGCAGGTTACTACCAGACGGCCTAAATCCAGTGCCAATGGTTCTGTAGTTGAACGTTTGAGTTCTACTTCCTTCACCTTTAGTTTGAAGTTTTCTATTGGTCCTATAAAAAATAATTTCTTGTCAAGTAATGAAGTTAGAAGAACAGTTGAGAGGGAGGAAACTACTTTCAACAACTATACTTCCATCTCATTCATTCTACATAATTTCACAAGTGGGTTAACAGAAACTTAAAACAACTAAACTAAAAGATACTTGTTTAAACTAATGGGTTAACAGCAGATAACACCTTTTGTCTCCGCTGTTCATAATCTTCTTAACCAGACATCATTTACCGTTTTTTTAATAGATAGAGCTATGTATTTGGAAGCTTTGCAGGCTATATATTCACGGAATTAGTTTTTTATGATACTTTATGCAGCTGTGAGGACATGAAGAATGGAAATCCAGATGGAAGGGAAAAACTTGGAATGTAGATATAATTCTAAAATAAGCTAAGGAACAATATTTTCAATAACTATCACATAATTGAACTTTGGCACCACGGAAAATACTGATTTAAATAAATGTTTTTTGGGAATAAAAATTGTAGGATTTTACCTCAAAGCATTCATTTAATATTAGTTTAGGGAAATATATTTAAATTTGTAAAAGATTTTTTTTATTTTGCCACAGATATAATCTATTGTGTGCCTAAAATGTCTGGGGAAAATCTATCTTGTCCCTAATCACGCACATGCTATGAAACATGACTAATTCTTTCTTCTTCGGTCTTAATTATTAGTGTTGAAGGGGATCGAGATTTATCTGCCAGTGGGTTTGAACTCGAGACTTTGTTCGAATTTATCAACCATGAGTTTTTTGCCAACTCGACCACGCCTCCAACACAATTAAGCGTTACGTGTCAACTGGTTATGCGCCATTGAGGCCATTGACTCCGATTTCAGCCTGCTTCCATAGCCTTTGTCCAACCAAGAACAAACTACAAGGCAGCAGTTGTTTAATTTTGGAGTTGTCTCTCCTAGATGAGTGGCTGTCCCCAGCTAACGAGCCTCATCTGCCCGAGGGTTTGAACTCGAGACTTTTCGGTTTAGCAACCATGAGCTTTGCCGACTCGACCACGCCGCACCCTCATGACTAATTAAAACAAGAGAAATTAGTGTACACAGAGGAAGGTAAAGGTTTAAAATTTTAAGTTTGCTTTTAACTTTATTAATTTAATTTGGATTGTAAATTTATTGCTTGAAGTAATTATTTAAAAATTAAGATTTTTTGTCTGAAATTGGGTTATAGCCTTCACATGGCCTACTAGCAGGTCTGTTTTGAGGAATATTACTAACATACTAATCAAACATATATGGTAAGTTATAACATACATATACACATAAAATTTGATACAGTTGTTGGAACACATGAGAAATTACAATTTAATACTTCTTTATATCAATATCCAAAAAAGTGAAACTTTTTAACGCTTTAAGGTTTTGAATCTAGTACCAGCTGAGCCCATTTTTTTTCAGGATGAGCTACTTCTATTATATATGCTAAAAATATGCTAAAAATTGACTTCATTGATACTAGACTTTGAGTGGCGGACTATGCATGATATGATGGCTCATTTTAGGCTGTGGCTACTAGGATACAGCTGATTATTGGTGGATTTCTTTTTCAGTATAGATTAGCTAGAGTATGTTTTTAATTTCAAGAATAATTATAGATGCTAGCTATGAACTGGTATATTTTGTAATGTTTAACATGTGTAAAATAGTTTAAGCTTTGGTGACACTTCAGTGTTGCTGAAGCTGTGGATTTTAGACCATGCTACACTAAGATCAAATATTTTTTATCAGTTGAGTGAGTGTGGTTAAAGAAGCGACATTTTACATGTTATTATCTAGTGCTATTAATGTTTCGTTTTTTTTTTTTTTTTTCGATTGTTAACCAACAAAATTGTTAAATAATATACCAGCATTTCTTTTCATACTTATAATGAGCTATCATAAAGTGAGCTTTTTCATATAAATATTTAAAACAATTAGCGGGCCTACTTACTTAGAACGACAATATCCACTTCTGCTTCAACAACTTTTTTTGTAGAATTGACACGACAGATGAGCTTGCCATCGTTTATGTCTCTCACTAGAAAGAAAATGTATCAAAGAGTGGTTAGCAAGTTGAAGATTACTCAATATAAATTTTAGGTAATTTGTCATCAGATTTTCACCTTAATCTGTATTAAGAACAACATAAATTATATGTTAGGGATGTGGTATCACCACACAATGAGGGATGCGTGACACCACCCACTGAAGTATGTGGTGACACAACCCACTGAGGTATGTGGAGACACCACCCACTGAGGTATGTGGTGACACAACCCACTGAGGTATGTGGAGACACCACCCACTGAGGTATGTGGAGACACCACCCACTGATGTATGTGGTGACACCACCCACTGAGGTATGCGGAGACACCACCCACTGAGGTATGTGGAGACACCACCCACTGAGGTATGTGGAGACACCACCCACTGAGGTATGTGGAGACACCACCCACTGAGGTATGCGGAGACACCACCCACTGAGGTATGTGGAGACACCACCCACTGAGGTATGTGGAGACACCACCCACTGAGGTATGTGGAGACACCACCCACTGAGGTATGTGGAGACACCACCCACTGAGGTATGCGGAGACACCACCCACTGAGGTATGTGGAGACACCACCCACTGAGGTATGTGGAGACACCACCCACTGAGGTATGTGGTGACACCACCCACTGAGGTATGTGGAGACACCACCCACTGAGGTATGTGGTGACACCACCCACTGAGGTATGTGGTGACACCACCCACTGAGGTATGTGGAGACACCACCCACTGAGGTATGTTATGCCACTCAAAGCATACTGACCTGGCTATACTGATTTATAAAACAAAAGAAATGCTACTTTACTCAATATTCCTGTATGAACAAACCTTTTAGAATATCAAATTTTATCTGTATATGTCCGGATGGCGAATTTACTATTGTAATTTTGTAAAAATCTGGCTCTCCATTCACCAGCCGAGCGCTGGTGGACAAGGTTATTGCTTCCCCATGTACTGGTTTCATCACCATGTTGACTTCATTCTGAACTACAAACAGCATGTCCCTATTTATGTTACATGTGAAAGTTAAAGGAGAATCCAGGCGGACCTCTCTAGTTGAGCTGTCAAGGAAGCTAACACTCAATGGTGCATCTGTGTCCTCTGCCAATAATGCTGAAACTGTGGAGTTAATACAATTATTTGTTTCATTAAAATTTACAAAACTTGAATTTGTAAGGATATATTAGAGATTACTTAATTGAGATCACAATGCTGTTTATTATTACAATCAAGTACTGTCAGAAACTAATTGTTAAATTTAGTTAATCCAAAGTTTCTATTAGTTAGGCCTAAATAATTTTGTTAAAATCTAAATTACACCTGCTACAAATCACATGATCAGACAGCAAAGAATAAATATTATAGCACCATTCAGCAGGGCTCTGACTTCTAACAGGTGAGGTAGCACCTCCTACCGGTGAGGTAGCACCTTCTAACAGGTGGGGTAGCACCTTCGAACAGGTGGGGTAGCACCTTTGAACAGGTGAGGTAGCACCTTTGAACAGGTGAGGTAGCACCTTCTAACAGGTGGGGTAGCACCTTCGAACAGGTGGGGTAGCACCTTTGAACAGGTGAGGTAGCACCTTCTAACAGGTGAGGTAGCACCATTCAGCATTATGGTAAAGAAAAAGTCCAGTGAGGTTAGGCCTGTTTAAAGTTTTTAATGTAAGACTTAGACTGTGATAGTGATAGGCCTGTGTGAGACTGCATGATGGTGAATCTAGATCTAAATCTAGTGTTAGTGTAGTAGTCTATATAAGTAAAGGTGGCCTAAAGAGATATTTAGTATCAGTAGTACTAGTATCACTAGACCTAGATCTATCCTGAATTACTTTCATGAACAAGGATATTAAAAATAATTAATATAGATTATTATAGATCTAGGCATCTAGGCCTATTGATCTAGATCTAGATCTATATCTAGGTCTAGATCTAGAGAAGGAATCTAGATTTCTACATCTACAGTACACTCAGAAACTGATCTAGAGACTAGATCTCTAGATTCTATCTTTATTCTTTAGTCTTCTAAAATTAATAGACCTGAACTAGATCTAGATCTAGCTCTAGATCTGAGAGAGATCTTATTCAGTTCTAGATCTAGATATAGATCTAGACCTAAAGCCTAAATATTAAATAAATAAAAGTCAGTAAAAGACTAAACTAAAAGACTCAAAAGTCGTTAAAATAAAAGTTTACCTACTTTTAACATTTTACAAATAAGTCAATAACTACATTAAGTGATTAAAAGGTCTATATAAATTCATTAAATTGTAATAATCATTGGACTATCACAAACAATAGTTGTGTTTAAAAGGTGAACATCTAGATCTACATACCACAGCTAAAAAACAACAAAGACAGCAACAGTTGTCTTGCGGATCCCATTTTGAAATTCAGTTTCCCGGCTTGTCTCTGTGAAGGTGTGTGGCGTCGACTACCTAGGCGTGACGTCACAGGCGTGGCTTGTGAACGAGGTGTGCTGCGCATAAAGGTGTAGGCCAAGTGTGAGAATTGGGAGGGGGAGGGGGGAGGCACGGAGCCCGTGGGATGGGGCGGTGACGGATGGTCAGTGGGGCTTAAAAATTGTGGCATACTATTGTCATGGAATACACACACACGTGGGAACCCCTTGACCCCTTCCCCCCCCCCCCCCCCCCCATCCCTATCATGGTTGACCACGATCGCGAAAACAAATAGGACCAGAATATGAGAGACGGTAGTACGGGAAGATTTTAAAAAATAATATAGCATCAGCATTAGGGCCTCCTAGATAAGTGCGAGAATAAAAGCTTTTGCTACACTTATAAACGTTCTTAACAGATTTATAGGAAATAGTACGGTAAAAGGACAAGCGATAACACACCAATCAATAAGTTCGTCAGAGATGGGTGAAAAATGTAACACGGATTTATTTAGCACGTCTGAGCAAACTTTTGGTGTAGTAACGCAAGTAATCACATGGCATATGCCTTTGTCTTGTGTATAAGATAAGTGGCGGGAATGGTGGCTTTACTGTCGGGGCATGAGGACCCATTTAAAGTCAGGGTCACTTGGGGACCACATCAGAGGCACAGCAGCCCTCCGTGAACGACTTTTGAGACAATGTAAACGAGGGAGTTAATAAATCGTTAAGCCGCACTTCTGAATTGTTAAAAGTAATTTTTTAAACTGAATTTGAGCACTATCTTTTGATTTTTAATGACTTACGTAATTGTAATATAAATATGCTGCATTTAGGAGGTGGCGTAGCTAGGGGAGGGCAGGTGGGGCGGCCGACCCTAAGGGAGCGTCAAAGGGCTTAGACAAAAATTGAAAAGCTCATTTTAAGCTGGGGTATTGCAACTGATAAAAAGTGCCACCAATCTTTCCGACTTAGTGTGTGTGTGGGGGGGGGGGGGTTCAACAACTTTAATAACTATAAAGAAATGGGAGGGGTATGGTAGTTGGCGCCGGAACGCGTCACTACGCCTCTGTATGTAATAATGTATGGCCCATCACAACATTAATTTAACGTTTTGGGAGGTGGTGTGACAATGGTGAGGGAGGTTGTGTTAAAAAGCGCCAAAAAGTTTAGTTCAACACATGGGCATGGCAGCTATGAAATTCGCGTCCAGATTAGAGTAAGGTGGAGAGACAGTTTGCATTTAAACAGACGAGGATATAATGATGGGTAATTTACATCCCCAGCAATGGTACATGGACTGGCCATCTATATGATGGGCCAATATGCAGGTAAGTTATAGGAATGCCCAACATACAGAAATGACCAACTTAACATTCAGACATTCAGATGTTTCTGTAACCATGGTGACGCCAACAGCTTTGAGGCTACGGTTTGATGACGTTTAATATGTCGACGTGTCAAGCAGACGGTGAGTTGCTTCAACCATTCGGTCCTGCTTATCGTTAGTCTATATATCCTTTACATCGGGCTAAATTCGACTTGTTTACAAATGGAACGGCTGGCAGAACGCCCCTAGCACTGACTGGTGAACATTTTCCTGCTGAGTTTACAGAAAGCTCTGAAACACTACGCCGTCTGGTTATGTGGACCAGTCCCTGCTTGCTCAAGTGAAGATCCGGTTTTACAAAACTTTTCTTTACACCTGTAATGTGCAATATTCATTACCTGCATTGTGCACTAGTCATTCCTGTTTGCCTTAAAAAAAACTCCGTCTTTCCTTAGATTTTCTTTATGGTTCGCAATAAAATTACGAAATCATCTAGACCATATTTAGAACCAGATTAGGCTATAGGTAACGTCTATATTTGCATTTTGTCGTTACTTTTACGCGGTTTTATATCTTATATCAGAATATATCAATGAGTGGGAAAGAATTATACGAGAGGTTTTGTTGACATTCATTTCATGTCTCGCTGAGACTATCAAATAAAAGGCTTAGGCTATCTGGACTAATTTATAGGCTAGATCTAAATCCAAACGACAAAACAATGTCAACTATTTCACGTGGCGTAACGTTACGCTACGGTGACAGGGATTCCGGCGTTTGAATGAAACACGAGCCGCGTAAGATTATTTCGAGCCTGTGTCTACAGTGGGCTTATGTAACCGGTGTAGACCTCTAGTAATGCCCATGAATGGGGTGTAGGCCCCTGGGGGCGATACTATACAACGCAGCGAACAGTACAGCCTCAGTTTGGACTAGTTTTGAAACCTGGTTATCTAGCGTAACGGCCAGGGAAGTGAGAAATTCATTAACCGATTTGGTGTAGCGGTTCGCGCAGGCTACAAATCAAATTAACAATCACAATGGTAGCCTGAGGGGGGGGGGGGGTTATTTTAATAAATAACGTCAAACTCAAAGGGGAGAACTTTTATGACAAACGTGTGGGGATTCTAAAAGCGCAAAGACGCTCCTTTGAATATGAAAATAAATTTTTTTTAATTGAATTTGAGCTGTTATTTTACATTTAAACATTTAAAAAAACGAATAAAAGTTGAACAACGCATTTAATCTTGACACTGCTCAGATATTTACAATGCCCTGTTTATTTTTAACATTGAATTTATTTCGGTTGGCTCCGGTGGTGTGATATTTGGGTGGGGAGTACTTTTAGTGACGTCAGATATAGGCGACGCCCGCCCCTTCCGCGGGGAAGTGGCCTACTATATTCTTTTAATGAATGTATACATTTAAAAATATCAAAATAAATAAAGATGTGTATCAGCTAATCACTAGGAAATAGCATGTCGCAGCTATGCTAACATTATGTGATTTAGATAGGCGTGGCTTAGGGGCGACTCCTTCATGGTTAGATAATATTGGATCGGTCACATCAAGAGACCGCCTCTTCATTTGATCTAGATCTAGATTCTAGATCCATGTGTAAACTCAAGACTGCTATGAACGCCGTCATCATAAACGTTGTTGTAGTAACCAGAAACAAGTTTTGGTTCATGTAGTGTAACAAAAACGTATCTTAAACTTACCCGTAGGCTTTTATTTTTACAAAAAAAAATGAAAGCTTATTCAAAGAAAATACACAAATTTAAGTCTGATTGTTCAACAACACAAAACGTTGATAGAATACCTTTTTAAACACACCATACGAGATAAACTAATAACAGTTAATCGCCAATCTATAAATATTTCTATAAATAGCTACTGATGGTCTAACTTTCATCAAGAAACAAAAATTCGGAAATCCCCAATACATGAGTCAATTATTGTGACATACGTAACACAAGAAGAAACACATCTAGTTAATCAACACTTTTCAGAGAAAATATAATCTAAATGATGGAGATTCCATTCTTAGAAACGGAAACAACTACCATGTAGGGCATATGGATGTTTGCACCTCAAATATCTACAGGTGGGGTAGGTCGGAATATTCGATCAACGCTGACGTAATTAAAACAATTTTTAAAATCTAGTGACTTAATTCTATTGCTGAAATGGTGTTTGATAGATGTCCAGTTGGAGCTAAAGTTTGAGATGTCCAGTCTGAGCTAAAGTTTGAGATGTCCAGTCTGAGCTAAAGTTTGAGATGTCCAGTCTGAGCTAAAGTTTGAGATGTCCATTCTGAGCTTAAGGTTTAGAGATGTCCAGTTGGAGCTAAAGTTTGAGATGTCCAGTCAGAGCTAAAGTTTTAGAGATGTCCAGTCGGAGCTTAAGTTGAGAGATGTCCAGTCGGAGCTAATCTTAAGGACATGGTTAGCGTTAGAATTGTTGTTGTGTTTATTCTGATATCGCCAGCCTTAATCTAAGTCACATTAAACTTTACCGAGACTCTGATCATAAATCATCATAACCCTAACAGCCTTGCCGGCAGCTGATAGGGCGGGAGACCAAACTATGCTACACTTTAAAAGTTTAGGCTAACCACTAAAGTTTACCGTGCAGGTTGACATAAAAGTACCGGATATATAGATCTAGTCTATTATTAGCTGACCAAAGAGCGCTATCACACGTACGAAACCACCGTGAAAAATCGAACGTCTATAACCAATCAATCCTTGAGATCAGCGCGTGTCAAGCCTATGGTCGATAACCCCACACACTACACCTACGCTCCGGCTAATCTAAATGAACCGTGCACACGTCAACAATTAGTCTCACCTTACTAATTGTACTATACAGCAGACAGAACGGTGTAATCCCACCAAATCGACAAGCGTGTAATGCTAGCAACAGCCCGTCTCTCCGGTCTCACAGTCGTACTAGTACTGGGTTTACTTTTTATTTGTGACATTTAGAAAGGAGAGCCCGTGTGAAAAAAAGCGAGACAACGCTTACCTCCCTTCCCTTATTTCTGGAACTGTAAACAATCCGCCATGCTCCCCCCTCCCTCTGATGGTTATATGTTAACTTTCCCCTAAACAACAAGCGGCTTCCTGCTTTTGTTTCGTCCCCTCCCCTCCGCACCCTGTACAGTGTATTGTGTTGCTTACGTCTCTACGTTAAAACGGGAATGTAATGTCTTTCTCTAACCTAGCCACGACAGGTTTCATGTGGTTGTTGAAAGAAATGTTTTTACTTTGTGTGGAATTAATTTTCTAAAATGCTGCTTGGATGATAATTCGTATTAAAAGAAACTTGGTACCCCCTACCCAAACACACACACACAAACACCAAATAAAACATTAACCCTAATACACACATTTTGTGTTTTTCGAGGAATCTAACATCAGCAGTTATCTTTTATCACAGATTGGTGTGTGTTCATTTAGCTACGACACACAACAAGCATACACACATACAATGTAAACATGCATAAAACATAGTTTACTTCTACAACATAATGTACAACATATATATACACGACATATATGCAGCATATATTCACCATACATATAACATGAACATAATATATAAAACAATAAAAACTTACAAAATAACCTACAAACAAAATACTAACATCATACATATTACATAGGTCTACATCATACATAAAACTTACATAATTCTCATTCTACGACATACATACATTATGATCATACATACTTTAATAAAGATTTATAATATTTTAATACACCATAGTAATTTATACAAGTACTGAAATGTAAGTGGAATCAAATACCTTTTCGCTTTATTTGACAAATAACAGTTTAAAATATTTAACTTACCAATTATCGAGTAATAAAGGCTGGTTAGAAATAGGATACACAATCCAATATGAACCAGGTACACGGAATGGCTGCTTGAAATATTGTGTTCAAATTTTTTAAAGCTGTGTTAAGATAAGTGACGGGAAAATATACACAGATATTTGGGTCAAAGTTCACGAGAATGTATTATTAGAACAGGAATCAATGAATAGAAACTTGGGCAACCCCTGTTAGTGAAAGTTTGAAGTGTTTGAGATGACCAATGAATAGAGACTTGGGCAACCCCGGTTAGTGAAAGTTTGAAGTGTTTGACCATCTCGTCTGCTGGGATGTCAAGACAATGACATCCTGAAACAGACGAGGATCTGGGCACTTGATGAGGTCCGGCTGTGACAGTATGGTTAGACAGGTGACCAAGTGCACGGCATGACGGGTCACTAAAAGTGGGATTCGTGGGGGTAATAGTACGTCCCACTTTTTTTTAGAAAGTGGGACCACTTTTTTAAAAAAATGGGACCACTTATTTTTAAAAAGTGGGACCACTTTTTTAAAAAATGGGACCACTTATTTTTAAAAAGTGGGACCACTTTTTTAAAAAATGGGACCACTTATTTTTAAAAAGTGGGACCAACACTTTACGGCGGTGTTAATAGGGATCACTTCATTGTGATTTAATATCGTTAGGGTGGAAGTGGAAGTAGCAGGGCCAGAGTTTCTTTCAGGCATCTTGTAGCCCCGCCCCCCTTTTTTTCACTCCCCTACTGGTGAAAAATATCTGGGAAAAAAAAACATTAAGTTTCTTTGATACATTACATTAACCACCCCCCCCCTATTGATCAACAGAAATATATAATCCCTAAAGAAAATACATGCTTTAACAAATACCCCCCCCCACCCCGGAAATGTATGAACACCCTATCCGTAAGTTGCAAGTGCCCCCCCCCCCCCTTTCCCACCACAGGAGAAAAATGCCTGAAAGAAACACTATTAAAACGCTGTTTTAAAACAAAAGATGCTATACACCGTGATGATCACACTAGTATTGATGCTTTAATTTAAAAACAACTTTAAACTTCTAGAACAGGCTAGTCCTTCTTGCCGGGTGACTTTTGTTTTTGCTGACTCAGTTGTTTCCCTGTATACAAGAAAAATAATTAATGGCTTGTCGAACCAGTGAAGCGTGTCGACCACCTACATGTTTGGTTTGAAACATTCACAGACAAACCTGACACGGCAGATACGATTAATTAGCCGTGGTTTTAATCACACAAGAGTTCAAGGTTAAATAAACGGTACAACCACTTGTATTTATGATTTAAAGATAAAACAATCTTACATCGCAATGACACCTCGCCTAGTAGTTTAACAAAATATTTGTGGTTTAACACACGTAAAAACGCGAAATTAAATACCATTGTTTAATTTCTGTCATTAGATTTAGAACTGAGACAACATACAAGTACACAACATATAACTTGTTACAAACTTTTTATGACGAGACATACTCCACGGATGAGTCATACAAGTTTATCTTTTTTTTTTATCTTGTGGGGTCGCTACTTGACGTCATACACCATTTCAAAACTAAAACGTCCTAGCTTGTAGAGTATGGGATTATGTAACCCCCCCCCCCCTGTCACCCCCACCCCGTCACCCCCACCCCGTCACCCCCAGCTCATCCATCACATGTTTGACTTCTGCTACACGTCACACGGACGCTTCATTAGAACACATTACCGACGTGTTATGAGCAGGTGTCAAATGTCGGCTGTTGAAAGATTGGTGGAGATTACGTCTGGTTGATGGTATGAGAAGATTGAGGGCACTTGAACACAGATTGTGGGGACCATTGAAGGATGGCACCTTATTACAGATTGTGGGGACTATTGAAGGATGGCACCTTATTACAGATTGTGGGGACCATTGAAGGATGGCACCTTATCACAGATTGTGGGGACCATTGAAGGATGGCACCTTATCACAGATTGTGGGGACTATTGAAGGATGGCACCTTAACACAGATTGTGGGGACCCATCACAGATTGTGGGGGTCTATTGAAGGCACCTCATCACAGATTGTGGGGACCATTGAAGACACTACATCACAGATTGTGGGGACCATTGAAGACACTACATCACAGATTGTGGGGACCATTGAAGGATGGAACCTTATTACAGATTGTGGGAACTATTGAAGGCACTACATCACAGATTGTGGGGACCGTTAAAGTCACCACATATTGTGGGGTTTATTGAAGGCACCTCATCACAGATTGTGGGGACCATTGAAGGAAGGCACCTTATCACAGATTGTGGGGACCGTTGAAGGCCCCACATATTGTGGAGTGGGAACCATTGATGGTAATGACATTGTGGTGTTAAGTCACAGTTAAGTAACGGATATGGGATTTCAAAATACATTTTTTACAAGGAGTATTATTAATCTTCACAGTCTCTAATTAGGGTTTCACTAACACCACAAATGTATGTGAGGGGGAGGGGGGTTCTAGTTTTAATAATGCCTCTACTTAACTCAATTGTCTCTGTCACGTGACCCACACTCATACATAACTAATGAGTCAGCCCGAATAGGAATAATACATTTTCCATAAAAATGACTGGCGTCATCAGGATTATAAATCCAACACTGTTTATCTATTGTGGTACGTCTAACCCAAGAGATGAAGTTGAAAATAACTGGAACAATTCGATGAAAAGATTACTCAACAAAAAAAATGTATCAACAAATTAGAGAGACGTGGTCTATGAACGTGCAACAGATTGAATGTCCAGAACTGTGCCGCCTGTCATAACAATAACCTCACGCTGGGGATTTGCCTCACCCCCCCCCCCCCCCCACCCACACACACACCCTAGACCACCCACCCTGACGGGAATGTCATTTAGGAGATATTTGGGTCGTATTAAAAACAAATAATATTGCCAGTGTTGATGAAATGCAACCACACGTCCGTCCCACACTGCAGTCGAAATTGATATTTAATAACTTTCCAGTATGTAGGTGTAAGTTGCTAGTATTTATACCTGGTGAGGTAACAAAGTCGCTAGTTTTTTCACCTGGTGACGGTTCCCTAACTACACACACGTACTCCCGTTCCTATACACACACAAACACACACCACACCACACACGTGTTTACACAAAGAGCCCCACATTCTAAACCCTACCCACTAACACAGGGCGTATATAATGAAATTATATATTTAAAAAACAACAAAACCAAACCAGAAAGACAGGATTAAGACCTCGCATGACCAGAAAACAATTAATCCGCTAACAGAAATAATTGTCCCTTGAGACTCCCAATTTCAAGGCTAAAAATAGCACAATCCATAAAATACACAGTGCTGGATTATTTTATTGTGTTCACGCTGAGAGTGGTGTCCCTTTGTTTGTTACCTCCCTTGCTTGTTAACAACGTCATACGAATACAATTCAGTTGTCTATCTAGTGGTTCCCTAAGGACAGCCTAGGGTGTTATCTGAAAGCTGGACACTGACCATTGGAGGAATGGTATCACATGGGCACTGGCCTACTTTTATAAAGGGGTCGTTAAATTTATGTCCTGCTTTTTTTTTTTTTTTAAATTCTTTAAATTCACTTATCCTATCGTTACAAAAAGTTAGGATTCCCAAGAAAAGTTTTAACCTGAAACAATTTAGAAACAAGCATTTTTTTTACAATCAAATTAGCTGGGTCAATATTATAATACTTGATTAACATTTTTCTTTAAAATTTGAAATACAATATATATTTTTTTTTAAAAAGCGAATTAACAGCTAAAATTCAGTTTACTTTTTAAATGTCTAAATCTAAAGTGTAATGTCACATTCTTTATTTCCTCCTCAACCCCCACCACCCCGTCACAAAAGTCAGACACCCCTACTCCCTCGGGCGATAGTTTTGAACGATTGGACTAAATTTAACAATGTACTCAGTGAAGAAATCTTCATCAAGAGTATGTCCTACACCAGTGAGTCAGTTTTGTCCTGTTTCGCCAATTTGTCACCACATGTTGACACTTAACATCCATTATAGTGCGGCGTGGATGTACTGAAACTGGTGGATGTTTGTTTTGTAAATAAATAGGACTGTCACAGCTAGTGCTCTCCCCTCACGTGACTGCTCTAGGCTTACACTTAGGCATTGTTTCATTGGCCATTGGCACTGTAGGGCTTTGTTTTCATTGCATTTTTATACAGGTCTTATGGTTTTTACAGGGTTTGATCTTTATGGGATTTTTATAATGGATTTTGGCTTTTATGGCATTTTCTCTAGCAATCAATATTAGATGTGTTTGTTCTTGTATGAAATGCTGATGTGTTAGGAGTTGAACGAGGTAGTTGCTTGGTAGGTGTGGGTTAAGTCTACTTGGTGGGTGTGGGGTAAATCTACTTGGTAGGTGTGGGTTAAGTCTACTTGGTACGTGTGGGTTAAGTCTACTTGGTGGGTGTGGGGTAAATCTACTTGGTAGGTGTGGGGTTAAATCTACTTGGTAGGTGTGGGGTTAAATCTACTTGGTAGCCTACCAATGGTAGGTGTGGGTTAAGTCTACTTGGTGGATGTGGGTTAAATCTACTTGGTAGGTGTAGGTTAAATCTGCTTGGTAGCCCACCAATGGTAGATGTGGGTTATGTCTACTTGGTAAATGTGGGTAATTGTGGTAATTTGGGGGGTGTTGGTTAGTTGATAAGGCGAGTTGTGTGTAAGTAGGGAGGTGTGGGTAACTTTGTGTTTGAGCACCTTTCAAAAGAACCAACCATTGTTTATGAGCCTAGAAGATAAACAGAACAATAAAATAAAAAATAGGCTATATGATGTGTATATTGGTTGTCTTAATAAGCAATTTTAATTCCATATAGCCTTGACCTACTGCCAATGCTTCAATAATTTTTTAATGGAAAATCTGTTAACAATCTGGCAAGTTGGGCCCGGTGACCAGACTTCCGCCCCCACCATGGCCAGGAAATTGTCCCATCTTTCATCACTGACACCCATATCAGCGTGAAGTCTGCAGAAGCTGCAGCATTTTTTTTCTCTCTGGAGTAAATTGTTCTCTCCCTTCTTGCTGTTTTATTGCTATAGTTGGTAATTAGGGGACATAACTCTAACATTACATGCTCCTGGTAATGACTGTTGCACCAAATCAATAAGTTGATGTCGATATCACGATAGCCGCAACATACACAGTGTATTTATGTTTTTATGTTTTTGTGAGTTTATTGATAAAGGAACTATATTGGGTTATGGCATATTTATGGGATGTCACGTGGTTGTTGTAATGACGGAAAAAATGGTGGACAAATATTGAAGGTGAGGTGTTTTAACACCACCATCTTGATGTGTTCTTTAAATAAATTGACCTGGCATTAATTTTGTTTTTAAATTCGGATCTCACGTCAACATTTTGATGGTTTTCGAAATCTGTGACTAAAGCACTGAGCGTCTTAAGCGCCAGACAGTTTATTTTTTAAAGATCTGCTGTTCTAGGTTAACCTAATCCTAACCCAACCAGAACTCACCGAGACACAACCCAAATGGTGCTCTAACCTAACCCTAACCCAACCAAAACAAAACTCACCAATAAATAACACATTTGGTGTGGATGTTAGCGCACCAGTAAACAGCAGACGACTAGACACTTGTCTGATTTTATCCACTTTGTTATTTGTCTGGTTTGTTTTGCTATAAATCAACATAACAAATTATTAAATATGGATCAAATTAAGTTTTCTCACACAAATACATCAAAACCTGGTGAAATAAACCGACTTCATATTTCAAAACAAATCCAATGGCAAATTTTTAAAAGAATACAATATTTACTAAAATGTATAGTTTAGTATACGTGGTTCTATAAATAGCGCTATTTCATGTGAAGGGCGGAAGTCCGAGTCCAAATACTATTCATCCGGGTACTTGAAATATTAGTCGTGTCTCAAAATACCCTGTTTCTGTTCTGTTACGTTGAGTTGTGTTGTAATAATGTTATGTTGTTGTTATGTAGTTGATATGTTGTTATTTTGTTGTATATTAAGTAGCTGTGATGTGTTAGGATTCAAGTTATGGTCACTCTTCTGTCCACCCACTATACAATCTGGTACCCATCTAATATTTTATATTACGGCCCCTGTGACAAGCCTAAGGTACAAAATAGATCTACAAAAAATACACATTTGCATAGACTAATTGTGTGTTCATTACATAACCTAATTATGCTCAAGGCCGCTAGTATTGTTTGCTAATTAGTAGGTCAATTTATTAGTGACTAATTACCTAAATTGTGACGACCGATGACCAAAATATCGATGTCCAGTATTTGTTATAGACCTAAAGAAGATTGGTTTGTTGATTGGTGACTACTTACTGAAGCTTTGATCTTAGGGTAATTAGCTAATGACTCGTGCTGTGTAGGAAGCAAGTGGCCTGCTGGGAGAATCGATTACCATCAGGGCGTGGGTTCGGATCCCGGCTGGAGTATCAGTTCTGATGTGTTCTGTCAACTGATTTACCATAGTTAAGTGGTGGCACTAACAAAAACACATTGTCTGAGCGGGTTAACTTATTGGTTGGTTTGTGTGTGGGTCTAGATGTTAACTTATTGGTTGGTTTGTGTGTGGGTCTAGATGTTGACTTGTTGGTTTGTTTGTGTGTGGGTATAGATGTTGACTTGTGTGTGGGTCTAGATGTTGACTTGTTGGTTTGTTTGTGTGTGGGTCTAGATGTTGACTTGTTGGTTTGTTTGTGTGTGGGTCTAGATGTTGACTTGTTGGTTTGTTTGTGTGTGGGTCTAGATGTTGACTTGTTGGTTTGTTTGTGTGTGGGTCTAGATGTTGACTTGTTGGTTTGTTTGTGTGTGGGTCTAGATGTTGACTTGTTGGTTTGTTTGTGTGTGGGTCTAGATGTTGACTTGTTTGTGTGTTGGTCTAGATGTTGACTTGTTGGTTTGTTTGTGTGTGGGTCTAGATATTGACTTGTTGGTTTGTTTGTGTGTGGGTATAGATGTTGACTTGTGTGTGGGTCTAGATATTGACTTGTTGGTTTGTTTGTGTGTGGGTATAGATGTTGACTTGTGTGGGGGTCTAGATGTTGACTTCCTGGTTTGTTTGTGTGGGGGTCTAGATGTTGACTTGTTGGTTTGTTTGTGTGGGGGTCTAGATGTTGACTTGTTGGTTTGTTTGTGTGGGGGTCTAGATGCTAACATGTTGGTTTGTTTGTGTGTGGGTATAGATGTTGACTTTTTGGTTTGTTTGTGTGTGGGTATAGATGTTGACTTGTGTGTGGGTCTAGATGTTGACTTGTTGGTTTGTTTGTGTGGGGGTCTAGATGTTGACTTGTTTGTGTGTGGGTATAGATGTTGACTTTGTGTGGGGGTATAGATGTTGACTTCCTGGTTTGTTTGTGTGGGGGTCTAGATGTTGACTTGTTTGTGTGTGGGTATAGATGTTGACTTTGTGTGGGGGTATAGATGTTGACTTCCTGGTTTGTTTGTGTGTGGGTATAGATGTTGACTTGTTGGTTTGTGTGTGGGTATAGATATTTGACTTACTGGTTGGTTTGTGTGTGGGTCTAGATTTTGACTTACTGGTTCGTTTGTGTGTGGGTCTAGATTTTGACTTACTGGTTCGTTTGTGTGTGGGTCTAGATGTTGACTTGTTTGTGTGTGTGGGTGTATTAAGTCTATACCTAATTTCAGGCTCAGTGTCATAACGATGAATTCCTGTACTGGTCAAATTTCTAAACAAGCCACTTAAAAGTTAAACACTTGTTAAAGTATGCAATTACTAAAATGACGATCTGCGGTATATAAATGGTGAACGGAAAAAAAAACACAGAAAAAAAGTGTGGTTTGACTCCGATATAACCTACGTATATCGTCGGAGTCAAACCACACAAGTGAATCCTTAAAAAATATGTTTCTTTCAGGCATCTCTGTAGGGGAGCTCCCCCCCCCCCCGCCCAAAAGTTTGAAGTCCCCCCGTCTCCCCCCCCCCCCCCCCCCCGGAGAAAAAAATGTCAGATCGAAACCCTGTATATGCTGTCCTACAATGTTTATGTAGGCCTAGGCCTACATATCAAATTCCAATCTATAGGCCTATTGAATATTTGTGCGACATGCATTTGAATTATGTATCTTGCTATGAATCTAAGTAGCTACTAGCCCAATAGAAATCTAGATTGAATGTTTTCAACGGGAAAACCTTGATTTACCCGTGGAATGTCGCCTAAGGTGACACGCCAATCTTAGAGTAGGTCTAAATCAGATGGTTTTTTTTTACAATTTTAAAGCAACTCGTGTTCCTCGGTTTACTGAAGGAAAAGTGTCAACACGTTATATTTTACCGTTAGGTTTCATAACAATCGGTGTATGAGGTGTAGGGGGGGGGGGGGGGGCTAACTAGCGTCCATTGTGTAGGTACTAGTTTTAGGCGTGTCATATAATCGCATGTCCCATTCAACACCTCCCTAGGGGTGTGAGGCTCTGGTGTCTGGGTTAGCCGTCTGGTGGCCAGTATATTTCACCCCCCCCCCCCTCCAAACACACTACCCACCCTAAGCTGCAGGTGGCTATCCTAGCACACACCCCCCTCCCCATACCCCACCTTGCCAGCAGATGACCAGCACGAGACGACGGCTAGACACGCTATCGTCTGCGTGACGCTCCAAACACCGACGTCTGCTCTTTGATGCGATTGGTTGAAAACTTCACAATAAAACTCACACGACCGACGGAGCGAAAACGAAAGGGGCAGATAACCCCGGTTTTTAATTAGTTGATTGACATGGACACGACTAATTGGACATTAATTATTTAATCACATCACCTAATTGGAAAGTAACATTTTTGTTCTACCAGTACTATTTTAGCTGTAGTGTTTTGCTAGTTGTATTAGCATGTCATTGGGTTTGGCTTGAGTTAGGATCGGTCCAGTTTTATGCTTGGACGAGAGGTCAGGGCTATCTCTCGGTTATCGCCGCTACAGCAACCTTGAAGTGTCGGATTGAAGGTTGCGGCTGTTGTTGTCTGATGTGGTATCAACAGAAGTGTAGCTGTGGGGGGGGGGGGGGGGGGCACTTTTTTCTTTTAATTACTAAAGCCTGCGTGAATAGAAGCCGAGTGACTATTTATAGTTCACTACGAATAGCCTTCAATGTTCACTTCGAGCTCTATAACCTTTCCCCGGCGACTGGGTGTAATCCACCCGGAGTCGCTATATTTTTGCTCACATCTCGAGTCTCGGTTTACATTTTTCTCAGCCTCATTCTCATCTAAAAGGTGGTTGAAATGAACACATAGGTAGGGTTTAATTTAAAAGTCATGCAAAATAAAAATTTTGACGGTTTTGATTTTTTTGTGCGGTTCCTTGCAACTGAATGTAACACACTCGTACACAATATGCAAAGGAAACAATGTTTATAACTTAAAAACTGTCTTCTTCCCAATATTTTTTTTTTGCTTATTATTTCTTTAATTTGTTTGATTCATATTCAAATATAACTACAATAAACACTCTGAAGGCATTTGTATAACAAAAATAATCAACCTATATTTAATGTCTTATCCACTATAATAAAAAAGATCATAACATCAGCACATAAAATGTTAACAGTTCAAAGAGTACATTTATTACATAGAATAATTGAGTGTTCTTTGCATATGTGCACAGTGCATTTGCTGCATATTGATTTCGTTTTTCGATCTCTTTTTGTTGGGCACAATGTGCATCTCTTTTGCTTTGTCGCTGATTTAGAAGAAGCTGCAGATGTCCTTTGCCTTTTTGGAGGAGCTGAAGTAGTTTGTGTAGCTAATTCACGTGGTTGTAACATTTTCAACTGACTGGTGATATTCTGTCTTACGATGTCCTGATGTGTTTGGCCAGATCGCCTCAGTATTTGTGTGAGGGTCAGGCATTGGGCCACGTCAATGTTGAACAGCTGTCTGTTGTCTCCATGAGCCAGAGAACTTGTGGGATATTTGCATTGATATATGACTCTTGCAGCTATTGATGCCAAGTCAATCATGTTGAAAAAGACAACCAATGGCCATCTTTTTGTTTTACGTTTGACAGTGAATGCCTTAGCCATTTGATCCATAGCATCTACACCCCCTTTAGTCTTGTTATAGTAGAGCACGATTTCTGGCTTTTTTGATGCATTTGTACTGTCAATGTCTGGGACGTTGTGCTTGGTGCTAAGCAACAAGACATTCTTCTGCTTTTTTGATTGATAACTGACCAGTGTGGTTTCTGGTCGGAATAGAAATGCAGAGTCATTCAAGGGCAGATGCTTTTTTTGTTGAAAGTCCTGAGGTAGGAATGTCTTGTTTCTCTTCACTGTTCCAACTAGCGTCAGCCTACTTTTGGCCATTGTTTCTGCAAGCTGCAAGTGCGTGAAATAATTGCCTGTCGTAATATTACGACCACTTCCATGAAAGTCTCTTGTGAGAGAAACCACAATCTCTGATGCAATTCCTACATTTGTTTTTTCTGGCAGGGCACTTCTTTTTTCTTTACCAAGATATGGGCAGCCTCGCAATGGATAGTTGGATAAAGAGTCACATGCCCAAAATATTTGTATGCCATATTTATCTGGTTTATTTGGCATATACTGAATAAACCTACAACGACCCCTGAAACCAACAAGTTGTTCATCGACAGTTATGTTCTCTCCAGGAACATAATACCTTGCGAGATTGCTATGGAACAATTCCCAAATATCCCTTATGGGAGCAAAAACATCACGAGAACGAAGAACTGATCTAGTGTCCTTGTTGTCGAAACGAATGTGATTCAGAAGGTTGCTGAATCTCTTCATAGAAAAAGCTGCCCTTAATAGAGGATTTCCATGTACAGGACTGAATAGCAGGTCAACAGAAATTCTGTTCTGGTGAAGAGCACCAGTGTGGAGTAAGCATCCTATAAAAGCTTTCATTTCAGTTGCATCAGTTGTCTCCCATTTGTCTTGTCTTGCTTGCTCTCCTTCCCTGTTAGTGCAATCAACAATTGTCTGTATCATATTGTCGTTCATGTACAGAAGGAACGCTTCTGTTGGAGAAACCACATGATCAGTGAAGGGTGTTTGGTTCTTAGGCAGTGTGAATACATTTTTCCTGGGAATGCGTAATTCCGGCACTGGTCTAGAATACCACAATGTTGATTTGTCTTTCCCAAGTATTTTGTTTTCTCCCACTTCATCGTGTCGCTCACCATCAGCTTGATTTGTTTCTATATGGTTATGACTGTCAGCATTTGGCACATTGTTGATAGCTGATGGTGCCTGTTCAGTGTACGCAGATGCATCATCATCGTCATCAGAGCTACTTGTAGTCGAACCAGTAGGGTCTTCAGGTACTGATGGCTGCCACTCATCATCTTCTTCATCTGATACTTCAGATTCATCACTTGTTGAACTATCATCAACTGGAAGACTAAAACCAGCAAAGATATTCCTTGCCATTTGCCCTTGAGTTGAGACAAACGTGTCTGTGGTAATCCTTAGGAAGTTGTGTGCTCAGTCTAGGTTTGTGCCTCTATTTATACACCAAACACCCTGGATCACAGTCTGTAGAATATTTTTTCCCATCCGTTTCATCAATAAATTACCTAGTGTCAACTGTCTTGTAGCATTCCGAGGTGGTTCTGACTCTATCTGCATTCCAACGCTCCATGAAAAAGAACAAATCACTATACACGTCCTCCCTCAGGCTCTCTTACCCCTGCATTTCATTAACCTATTGTAACTCTAAACTACAGTAATGTCTGTATTTGCATTTCAGAGCTCAAGAAAAGAATATAAATCACTCCATGTGTCCTCCCACAGGTTTAGCCTTACTTGAACACCCCATTAACCTGTAGTATCAGATTACACAGCTCTCCCGTTGACAATAACATGGATAGGATTTCCCGTGGACACATTGAATACCCTGAACTGTGTCAGTATTGTTCCCCACCCCACAATGAACAAAGAGGGCATTTTACTATCAAGCAGACTAGATGGGTGTAATCCACCCAGTTGCCGGGGACAGGGTACCAAATAGGTTGCCGGGGAAAGGGTTAAAATAGATGTCGCAGTTAGTAGGTCTAGCTAGACACACAGACCTACTGCCATCAATATGTGTGGGTTCGGCTAATCTATTCTCCTATTATTGTACACTATTCTATGATATTCATACTCAACACTTGCCGTGAGCCGCATTTATTTGGTTTTATTACGGCATACGACAGAAGACCTACGCTAGCTCTATAGTCAGCTTTAAATACACTAACTAGTTACTAACAAAAATGTATCTGTAAACATACACTCTCACGTCTTTCAAAAATTGAACTCAAATATAACTATAGGCTCTCAGATATTTGACTGAAAAATATTACAAATAGTTTTTCCATTAAAACAAAAATGACCGACCCCGACATTCATACACGGCTTGATGCAAATCATCATACATTGGTCGCTCACTGTACCTGGACCTGTGCTATGACGTCACATTAGCCTGGCCGGACCCAGCAGGTGAATAATGTGGTCGGACATGGGTCTGACACTAATCAATCAGTGGGGTCACGTGGGTCAGCTCTACACGGGTTTTGGTGCTGTTAATCGCTGACGTTAATTTCCGTGCTAATTAGCGTGACAGGAAACCTGCGTGCTAATGGCCATATCTCACGGGGTTCGCATCGCTAATTACACATGCAGCTTAATGATTGGTGCCTCATTAAATTACATCAGTACCTTAATGATTGGTGCCTCATTAAATTACATCAGTACCTTAATGATTGGTAACTCATTAAATAACACTTGTACTGTTATTATTTCCTTATTAAATTACATCAGCAACTTACTGATTGGTAAATTATTAAATTGGTATTGTAACGCAGTATTTATTTTCTCATTAAATTATACCTGTAGCTTAATTGGTAACTCATTAAATGACATGTGTAACGTAATGATTGTTACCTCACTAAATTACATCTGTAACGTAATGATTGTTACCTCACTAAATTACATCTGTAACGTAATGATTGTTACCTCACTAAATTACATCTGTAACGTAATGATTGTTACCTCACTAAATTACATCTGTAATGTATTTTACCATCTCGTAGTTTAGTTAAGACAAGCTGGGACGGGATCATGTGATCCAGGTCTAAAGGTCGTTTATATAGACCATGGGTCAGTTGTGATCCAGGTCTAAAGGCTATTTATATAAGCAAATGGTCAGTTGCGCCTACACGTGTAGATGTCATTACATCAAATATGTGACGCTGCATGTCATCAACACCGTACTCGCAGACTTCGCGAATGAAGTATTCAAACACAGGCCAGCCCCCAGAATTCTGAGAACCGTCCTGCGCCCCTCCGTGCGTCTTTCAATTTCCTGTAATCCGATGCAAAAATTATAATGCTCCAAAAATCCGGCCGACATTTTAAAAACTTCGTTATCAATTATTTTAAATTGTAACCTTAATCTGCCCCGCGCAGCGCCGTGCCCCCCCCCCCCCCCCCCAATAGCTCTCCTCTCAGCTAAAATTCGCATTAATAAAATCACCGAACCGTATCTGATTGAGTGGATGTGTTTAGGCTCAAGTGAAACAGTTATTTAAAATCAGGGCAAACATTTCTCAAGGGTTCTCATACTTTTATTTCATGGTATTATTTTGCAATATTTTTGTGAGTGTTAAAACGAAAGTGAACTTTTAAAATTTTACTCAGTGATAACAACAGTTGTTTTATAACAGTTGATAGACCTTGACCTCATGCGACCCTTGTCGATTTGAAAAAAAACTGGGTAGGCTCTAGGTAGTTCTGGTTACATCTTTAGCACACCTGGTCCATAACGTGTACATGTGTGTCCTACGCTGTTAGCAGAGTTTCTTCCTTCGCCCCCCCCTCACGAAAAAATTCTACCGCCACCCCCCCCCCCCACCGCCCCCGAGGGGGGGTGCGGACCGCACCGGGTGACACCAATTAGGGGGGTGACACCAAAGCAAAAAATAGCAAAATATATAGAGAAAAACTTGAGGGAGGGGGTGCAAATCTAAAACTTGAGGGGGGGGGGTGCACATCGAAAATTTGTCCCCGGGAAGGGTCGCTATGCCTCTGGGGGTGACACCATTAAGTGCCGCACCGGGTGACACCCGACCTCGCTACGCCACTGCTTGTACTGTTAGTGTGTCCTATGCTGTTAGTGTGTCCTACGCTGTTAGTGTGTCTTGTACTGTTAGTGTGTCCTATGCTGTTAGTGTGTCCTATACTATGCTTTTTTAAATCCTGTTATTCTGTTATTGTTTTTTTTATTTTATAAACTGCCAATGTGAAAAAAGGCCTCCGTGTCTACTGTTGTTACCGTTATTGAATAAATTGAAATTGAAGTGTGTCCTATGCTGTAAGTATTTCTTGTACAGTTAGTGTGTGTCCTGTACAGTTAGTGTGTTGTATACTGTTATTGTGTACCGTACTGTTAGTATGTCAAGCACTGCTGGTGTGTCACATCTCAGCACACCTGGTCCATAATGTGTACATGTGTGTCCCATACTGTTGGTGTGTCCTGTCCTGATGGTGTGTCCACCAGTCCACATGTACTGAGATCTACTCTCCAACTTCTCCGTTTTCTTGAATCTATCCCAGCGCCTCTCAAATCCCAGCACACATCCTGTGCTTAAGCTATCGCTTACAACACACAGGCCCCCGGGTGGGGGTAGGGACCTCGTGTGTAAAGAAGTCCCCCACCCCCTCCCTCATGACACTTCACTAGGCTGCACGTATGACGTCAGTACACGGAATGTTCACTTGAATCAACAGACCGTGGTGACCCAGTTGACACGCTTGAGTTGTGTTCACTAGACTGACACACGCTGCCGCACCCGAACAACCGAGGCGAGTCCATTATTCCCGGTCGTGTAATCCGTCAATCAGATCTGTTTATCATTGACAGCCATGACTGTTTTATGACAAGGGTTCTCAAGCAATTTCTTCTAGCTACCCCAGTCATAGCTAACGCGCCAAACTTAGCCCGCTGTTTCAAAATATTTTTTTAAATTTTTAGCAGAAGATTCAACTTTTTAAACTTTCCCCACTGTAGTGTGGCGTGCTGTTTTAATATTGACATAGAGCATTATGGGATGCAAATTCCTTGACCTTCCACGTTATATGCATCACAGTATTCACAGGTGGATTGGACGGGGAGGGGGAAAGGGGAGGGTGATCTCGGATTTTTTCCAGATAATCTCCGCCACCCAAAAAAGTATGAAAAATAGAATATTCAATTTATTCATGAACATTTAGTTTTTAACGTAACCCAACCCTAACATTAAACATGACACCATAATCCTAATTCTAGAGGCGGATAAAGATTTGCTTTTATTTTATGGCGGCCGTTCAAACATTCAAATGTCTAGCATCGGAAATAGGTCAAGGCTGCGTCCTTTCTGTATTGAATTTTCTAATAATAAAAATAAAACTTGTAATTTAAGGGACAGATTACCTATTTCGGTGTACAATGTTATTCATGAGTACAATGACTTGGCCTGAGGGCGGAGATGGCGTATGATCTAATCGAAGTGGAATATCCATTAATGTGGTGAGATGAAACCAATCATAAATATATAAATGAACCAATCAAGGAAATGGGGAAAGATCGGTTATGAATATCACGTGTCTAATCACGCGAGTGTATGACGTCATGTCCGGTCGTGATGTAGACGACTTTAAGCTTGGACTGTATTAGATATTAGTGTAGACATCAAATGTTGCCAGCAAGTGTATACAATACAAACTGGTGCGTCAGTCAGATGCTTTCAACACAGTGGCGTAACCAGGATCGTCTCAAGGGGGGAGGGAGGGTTCCAATTTTTACCCGGGGACAAACTTTCGATTTGCACCCCCCCCCCCCCCCTCAGACTTTCAATTTGCACCCCCCTCATACTTTATATATACCGAGGGGTCTATGGTGGGGGGGTTATAACCCCCCCCCCCCTGCCTACGCTACTGTTTCAACAAGCCACATTGACTGTCAGTACTTAATGTTTAAAGCCGTTAACCTACATTACATTTTCAACAAACTGTCGTACAAATAAAATAAAGTGTTAGTAGGCCTACACCATAGCCACATGAAACTTAGCGCAGTTACACAATTGAGCTGATTCTTGTCTGTGTCTAAACATTTCAACTTTTTGCAACAACAAAAAATGCGAAAGTGGCGACATATATTTTTGCCGAGTCGGAATGAAAGTCTGCTCCATCATTCAGGTGTGTGTGTAGTCATTAGTTGCAAGAGTACAGGTAAATTTTCCGCCTGAGGACACTGTCACGTGTGACATACCTGCGGACACTGACGCCACACCCCTGCCGCTGTGCCACCTGTGGATGGAGGACCGTCTCACTAACGGGTAGGGTCAGCATTGACTGGGTGAGCCTTCTACTCCGCTGTGCGACAGGAATGCCATGTGGACCTACTTTTGATGGTAGTAATAGACGTGTACTTTGTAAAACACTAAGTGTGTGTGTGTTGGGGGGGGGGGGTAATTTAATCGATAAGCCTTTAAACAACTGGAAAGATTTGGACTTTACAGCTGACATACCATTATAATCCCGCAAGCTCAAGATGAATATTTTACTAACCGAAATGAGGGGTGGGGTAGTTTCGTCCATAAATAAAGTCACACTTTTTGATATTTTAACCCCTCCCCCTTTCACACATCGTCTGACCCATGCCTAAAATGACGTCACACAACTTTTATAGGTTTCAGACGTTCTTCTGACCGTGACTATAAACACGATACCCTGAATATCTCGAGGTTATATCCACACATTTCAGGCCACACAAGTGAAACAGCTAAGCTACTAGTAGTATTGGGAGATCTAGGCCTAGCGGTTGAAATCCTCTGTTAAAACCGCTACAGAATCACCAACACATTCGAGCCAATATGATCCTACCTTATAATGTAGATAGTAAAGTTCCCTTTTCGAATCTGACGGTCAAGGTGGCAAATGAAGTTGAATTCAAAGGCGTAGCGACCCTTCCCGGCGCCCGGGGACAAACTTTTCGATTTACACCCCCCCCCCCCCCTCGAGATTTCGATTTGCACCCCCCCCCCCCCTCGAGATTTCGATTTGCACCCCCCCCCTCAAACTTTCGATTTGCACCCCCCTCAACCTTTCAATTTATTTTTTCACCCCATTTTGGCGCCCCCTAAGGTCGGCGCCCGGGGACATATGCCCCCCCCCCCCCCCCGCTACGCTTCTGGTTGAATTCACCTGTTTCTATGCATTTGAGGGGGTAGTTTGGTATGACCAGCTGATCATATAGGTATTTGACTCTACTTATGTATTGAAATACTTTTACCGGGAAATAGCGACTAATAAAGAAAGTATAAACATATTTAGTCATGCTGAGTAAGACCGTTTTGAAAGTGGGACGCAATTCATGACGCTAGGTACCCGGAATTCACTATACTATAGATCTAACTAAAATTAGATCAAACAAAAAATCCCAAAGAAGTTAGCGCTATTTTTGTTAAAACAAATTCCGCGTGTTTATTTTAAGTTGGTTTTTGTCTTCTCTTCGTACCGATGACGCAGTAAAATTTGCGAACAGTCGACTGTAAGGGACGCCACTCGTGCGTGAAATAAGGGGCTGTAACTTAGAGTACTCTGTTATAACTTGCGGAATGTGACACGCGTCCTATGTGTGTTTGGTAGTTACTCTTTTAGTTCAGGGGAAGCAACATCGGTATTTAGAGTGTTGTGTTGTTTTCTACGACCCTCTTTCTGTTTAAATAGTAAAAGTACACTTCTGTAAATCAGTCAGATGCAATTAAGGAGTTAGTGCCCCTGAACATAAGCCTAGCTTTTACATTAGTTAGGCAATGACTATCGCCCTTGCATTGTGTAAACAAACACGAATGAAACCACTGGCGCGGAAATTATCAAATACGCGGGGCGTTGGGGAGGGGGAGATAAAGCTTTTAAGTGAAACGGAGGGGAGGGGGCTTTAATTTTAAGCCTAGAATCGACCATGCTTTTTTTCACTTGGGTAGGTCCCTTGCTAGCCTGCTCTAATAGGGCTCCACATTCACAGGTGTGGGTGGGCTTTGTACAGGTTTAAGGTAGCTGCAGGTAGCCCGGTACAGGTTTAAGGTAGCTGGAGGTAGCCTGGTACACAGTTACATAATACAAACTAACATCTACTCACATCAACAGCTGGAGATAGCCGGGTACATGTTTAAGGTAGCTGGAGGTAGCCTGGTACATGTTTAAGGTAGCTGGAGGTAGCCTGGTACATGTTTAAGGTAGCTGGAGGTAGCCTGGTACATGTTTAAGGTAGCTGGAGGTAGCCTGGTACATGTTTAAGGTAGCTGGGGGTAGCCTGGTACAGGTTTAAGTAAGTGGAGGTAGCCTGGTACATGTTTAAGGTAGCTGGAGGTAGCCTGGTACATGTTTAAGGTAGCTGGAGGTAGCCTGGTACATGTTTAAGGTAGCTGGGTGTAGCCTGGTACATGTTTAAGGTAGCTGGGTGTAGCCTGGTACATGTTTAAGGTAGCTGGAGGTAGCCTGGTACATGTTTAAGGTAGCTGGAGGTAGCCTGGTACATGTTTAAGGTAGCTGGAGGTAGCCTGGTACATGTTTAAGGTAGCTGGAGGTAGCCTGGTACATGTTTAAGGTAGCTGGAGGTAGCCTGGTACACAGATACATAATACAAACTAACATCTACTCACATCAACAGCTGGATGTAGCCTGGTACAGGTTCACAGATACATACTACCAACTAAAATCTACACACCATTGCTACACAATATATCTGCACATACAAGCAACAAAAAAACAACAACAAAAAAACAAAAAGTGGATTAATTAATTTATTGGTACCTTGTTGGTTCTTTTATTTCAGAGTTTTTAAGTCCATAATTAAAGAATGACTACATTAGGCCTAAACTTTGTTTAAAAAAAAAAAAAAAATTAATAAACAGGGGAGCTAACTGATAAATATACTTCAGAAATTTTGCATCTGTTAGTCAAGTGGGTTGGAAAGTCTGAGGTAAGAAAACATTTTGTAAACAAAGCAAGAAATCCTAAACTGATGACAAAATGAATGATGGCATCACACTTTCACATACAAATTTGATCACTTCAGATTACTAAACAATGCCCATACATAAAGAATGTGCTAATAAAATATTCTTACCCAAGACTTTTCACAATAAATTTTAACATCTTGCAGAGATTGCTTCACAAACAGGAGAGATCATACACATTTCTATCAGTTCTACCCCAGGCAGCCATATAACCTCCCTTTGTGCCCTAGCAACCAATGTACACATGTCCAGTAAACCAGCCATTATCACTGTCCAGTCAAAAGGTCATCCCCCACAAAATCAAAGGTTAAAATCACACACACCTTTATCATTCACAAGCTCAACGACAAAATTTTGAGCCATTAAAAGATGACAAAATGATGTTTTATACAATGGAACATAGTAATCTGCCATTACAGTAAAAATGTAGGATGCATTCCAACAAGACCCAGTGCAATCTGTTATAAAATGAACAGTTTCTGGCAGTGAAATTAATGCCAACAAAATACAAAAATTTCAATCAAGTGTAATTTTTAAAAATTATGCTAACAAAAACATAGCTTTTTAAATGCACTGTTAAGTCCCAAGTATTATCTTAAAACAATAAATGTAACGATCATTAAATCACAAGGAATCCTCAGCTAGGATTCCCCATTCAAAATGTTATTTAAAACATCTAACATAAATACTCTTAGATTACAATACATTAAAAAATTTACAAAGATTGATACAATTTTTCTTGACTACTTAGGAACAGGTTAAAAATAAATTGTGTTACGAAGAGAGAAAAAACATCTTTGTGAAATATATTCAGAATGTAGCCCTGATAAGTATAGAATGTGATGTAAATAATTAAATAGGTAAATAATTGCAGCTATGATAAGACTGAACTAAAAGCTTATGAACGGTCTCTAGCAGGCACTCTCCAGAAGAAGGAGGTAATAATGGATATTCCGAGGAGGTTGATGTGTTTTTTATTTCACTTTACCTTTATTAAAGAATGCCTTCAAAAGTTATTTTAAAATTGTGCATACAAAATACATCATATTTTTAGAAAAAAATAGGACCATATTTTTGGGGAAATTTTTTTAAATGTGAAATTATTTTGACAGTAAACCCATTAGAAATGTTCTGATTAAATTACAACAATAATAGCTAGGAAAATAGATGCAAGACAGAAAAGATGACCACTGGTGTCAGTGAGAGCTGGTCAGAGGTGACCAGCATTACATGGCTTTGATCTTCATCATTTTCATCTTGGGCTGCTTTTTCTTAGACTCTCTACGGCTTTCTCGATCCTTCAAGTAGGAAAAGAAATATGATTAAATTTTTTGTTTAAGTGAGAATTTTGGGTACTATGATGAGTTAGATAAGTTATATAGAAAGCTTCAAATACAAAAAAAGTTCAGTGATTAAAGGTGGTGTCCTTCAGGTATGAGAGACTGACCTCAAGCTTGCGAGCCCTATCAGGATCCTCCTCTGCCATCAGCTTCTCCTTCTCTGCTCTCTTCTTCTCCTCCCTTCTCTGCTGGGCCAGTTCTTGTCTCTGAGTGTGAGCTGCCTTCAGGAACAGTTCCGCAGCTTTCTGACGGTTTTTCTCAGCTTTTACTCTAGCCTGGTGTCAAGATTTATTAGCCATATTATGTCTAGAACAACGGGCACTTTATTATTTTTTTAAAATGCTAATGTAGTAAAAATAAAAGCTGTAAATAAAAGAAATACCTCTTTGCTAAGTTGTAGACGGGTGACCTTATCAGTGCAGTAAAAGACCAGCTGCATCAAAGGTTTTAAGTTCTCCATATCACTAGCACGAGTTGACCCCTTCCCTGGAACTGCCAGGGCACACACATTTAAAATAGCTTCATTCAAATTATAACCAGGACACAAATGAGATTTGTGAATTAAACATATCAGAGAACACATGGATGGTTTATAATTCAAGCTCTAATCTTACCAAAAATTAGGTTTAACAGACAAAATTCACAATTGCTTCCAGCTTACCAGTAAAACAAAAGATAAGACATGGCTTTGTCTCAGGCATCTTGGTGGTCTGACTGTCACTAGAATAAAATAAGTAAATGGGAGATACAATATACATATAATCAATAATTATGAACATGATGATTATAAAATCTCAATAATCTACAGGTGTATTTTAGTTTAAAAACTTAATTTGTTTTAAAACGCAGCTTACTCTTGAAGTTTAGCACCGGAATACTGGTCAGACACATGGATGTATTCTATCACACCTTCATACGTGGTTAAAAGTTGGCACACCTAGTTACAAGATTAATTATATTTTATTCTAATTTTATTAATTAACACAATTATTTTTTCTACAGAAATAAAAAAAAAACCTGTTCTGGCACAAACGTAAGGAATACTCAACCAAATATAATACAACAATCCAACACAGCAAATATGTTCAAAACAAGGTTAAAGAACACCTATTTGATCACCACATCAGAAAATTTCAGTCAATTGTTTACTGTTATAATTACATTAAATAAAGTTTATCTTTTTAAAAATATGAATATTACTCACCTTTTTATCTAAAATAGCAGCAGTTCCTTCCCCTATCTCTGACAAAAGTTGGTAGGAGGAAGGTATATTATATTTCTCTGTACTCTTTTTCTCAGTAAACTGGCTCTGTAAATGTCATAAACATTCAATTGTAATGGCTTTATCAAGCTAAATGATTCTACAAAACAAAATTACTAAAGTAGGTTTTAAAAGCAGTTTAAAAATTACATAATTTATAAGAACTTGGGTATAAAATAATATTGTAATCTAAATCAAGAGTTTATTAGATGTCTAAAATGCCACTAACCAAATCATTCATATCTTTGTGAAGTTTGGCTGCAGATCGCTTCTGAGCAACACAAAATACAAAGTTACAGTTTTCCATCTTCCCTGCATCAATATCAACTCTCACAATCTGAAAATAAAATGAACTCAGTTTACAAAGTGTTTTAACCTTAAAGTCAATAACTAAAGGAGAAAAATAAGTGTATTGTACAAAAGTGCAGGTGGTAATAAGGCTCCCTGACTCAAAAGGTGTCTATCTATGAATAGATAAAAGAATATACAGATGGCTTTAAAAATTAAAAGCACATGACTGGTTAGCTTGCTAATGGCAACAGACAAATGAAAAAAAGAAATGAGCCTCACCACTTGGTCTGAGGCTGGTTTGAAGATCCTCAACAACAGATTGATAAGGTCCTGCCTCTTGAGAAGTTTAATCTCTACCAACATACCCTCAACACAGGAGCGCCCACTGCACCAAAGTGCATACACGTTCTCAGACTCCTTCATGAGGTTCCCACTGGTGACATCTTTAGCCACACCATCATCTCCTGCAACAAGGTTTGTGGTCACACATAAGAAACATGAAAGTGTTGATCTGTAATCCAATGATTCACAGAAAATCTTTCATTTCAAATAGTGGGAACACATAAGAAGCATGAGAGTGTTCATCATATTTCATTTCAAATAGTGGCAACACATAAGTTTAAACCACTAGTGAGGAGTAAGGGATAACCAATAAATAATTAGAAACTGAAAACAGATTTAATTTTATGGTTACGTTTTAGGAGATTTTTGCAGCCCATTTTAAACAATACTTTTATACAATTTAGTTCATAAAATATGTGTAACATAAAATTTTAAAATTTGCATTAAAAATTTACATTCAGAAGTATTGGCCAAAAATGAAATTAGCTGAAAATAAGGTTTGCATTTTTTTATTAAAAAGAAATAGAGCCAGCAACTTACCAACAATACTGAACTGTGTCTCCAACAATTCTTTATGAGCAGACAGCCAAGCTGTTGCAAGTTTACAGTTTTTATTCTTGCCAGCAAGAAAATTGAGGAAGTAAACAGTTAACCCAGCAATCATTAACATCTCCAGATAGAAACTGTCCCAGCTTGTCCTCAAGTGCAGTGGGACCTGGCAGATTTTAAAATGTCTTCCTATACTCATTTCTGACATATACTAATCATATAGGTGCCATTAAAATATCCATAAACAAAAAATGTTCACTAATTATTATCTAGAGAGAGGAGTAATTTGGTAAGTCTAAAAAATCTTTAAGCCCGTAATATATTTTCACGTTTTACCGGAATTATTTTTTCCCCCACATTTTTTTCAGTACCCCTGCGGCTAAATGACCCATATCTTTTTACCCGTTAATTTAAACCCCACACATTATTGATAAAAATTAATCGTAATTGAATACCCTACACACTGATATAAATTTTAAGGAATTATTTATTTATTGAAGAAAGATAATTACTTAGTTTTAAAGAAGAAAAAATAAGGAGTTGATTTTTTCGTGCAAAAATTACGCTTCTGTCGGGAAAATTAATAATAAGAATAACTTTACACGAGTTCTTGTTCATAGAAAACGAAAGTACGTCCATTTATCTACAAAAATCATGGATCGGATTAGTCTTAGTATAAATACTTTAATTTTCGTTAATTTTATAATGCGGCGACGTAAATGTTTAGACGCGGCCGCTGAACGGCATTCCGCAGTGTTAAAAAATGCCGTTTTGCGAGTTGGTTTACAAAAAAAATTCTATAAAATACAAAATCGATCTAACGAGAAAACTACAAGAAGTAAATACACGAAAAATGGCCGCTCTAGCGTTATCATGACCTAGATTTACGATTAAAAACTTGGATTCTGAAAAACAACAAATTAAGTAGAGAAAATTTTATCGAACGCTGGGAGCGTCGTTACGGTATGGCAGGCCTGCAGACTGACCGCTGGGAGCATCGTTACGGTCTTAAAGAGTTAAAGTACAGGTTGTAAGATAAATATTTATTTATGAAATATTAGCTTACTTTAGCCATCTGTAAATCAGGAAGCTTGTCAGGTGTTTTGCTCTTGGATGTATCTTTATCTTTGTCAAAATTCTCAAACTCCTCTTCATCATGCAAATGGTCAAATTCATCATCTCCCTGTTAAATAAGGCAATTATTATTAATTACATAGGTTTCTTAGAAATATAAATGGATATTATTCACATTTGGTATGTTAAAAATTTAAACAAAATGTGCATGCATAGCAAAACCTGCTATTACCATTAGAAAATGCAATGTATTCAAAAAATTGCTAAACAATTAACTTTTTACTCAGCAACTTTCAAAATTTCTATACATTTAAATGAAGATAACAAAAATAAAATAGTTAACAAACCACAACATCCTCCTCTTCCTCATCATCATCTTCCTCAAAGGTTTCTTCTTGATCAAAAGTTGGAGCTTGTTTTTTCACTTCTTGCCTCTCTTGTTCTGGAGCTTCCTCTGTTACAGTGCCATCTAGGAATTACATTTTGTCATTATGCTAGCAGGCTATGTGAATCAACAGATAAAATTTTAAGTACAGTTTCAGGCAGTTCATTGGACCTAAAGAGGCCTTGTTTACTCTCCACACTTAGTCAAATTTCGAGCAGCTGGGGGACTCATTGTTTTGGCTCAGGAACCTAACCCAAGCTTCTCAAGTTAGAAGTTGCAATACAAATCAACCACACAATGATTATGATAGTTGGCTATTTTCTTATCCCCACCCTTTCAAAAAATCTAAGGTCCTTTAAAATAAAATAGCATTTAATAACTTTACCTTCATCTTCAAACTCTTCAAATTCAGCAAAATCATTATCCTCGACTACTGCATCATGCTTCTTATTGTACACAGAAGCAATAAAGATGCAACTTATTGCAAACAAAATAAGGCACAATGCTTTCATTTTACTAAAGCAATTCAATCTGGAAAAAGAAATTCAAATATAAATGCTCACAAAATCTAGTTTTGTTATCACAAATATGTGTTTACATGTGAGTAAATGGTCCACTTATAATGCACATATTTTAATTATGATACCAGTTATAGGTCTACCATGTATCAAAATAAAAATATACATAGTTAAGTCATGTGTTATCCATAAATAATAATATTAAAACAATGGCAAAAAAATATTTTTAAAATCATTTAAATGTTTAGGCCAGAAAATATTAAAATAATAAACATTTATTTAGGCTAAGAACTTCACCCTCTTTATATGTAGTACAGCCCCTTGATATCTTATGGACAACCCCTTAAAAATAAAAAGAACAAGACATTTATTATTTTACTACTAAATTAAAGTATATTACTTCTTAAGGCCTATTTTTTAAAAACATTTTCAAATGCTTACCACTACCCAAAATAAAAAATTGTAGATGATAACAGTGTCAGTTGGGCCTAGGTTGCTGCTAGCCAGATAATAATAATGACCCTAATTGCTAAATAAAATTGGAGTTATATTGTTAGTAATTTTAAATAAAACACAAACTTTTAAGTCAACTACCAGCACGCTTAATAACTGCATTTTTTTAAAACAGCATTTGAATTATGAATATTGATCAATTTTTATAAAAATTTACAAATCTTTTAAAAATGCAAAAATAATGATTCAACTGTAAGTTCTAAAATTAAATTACATTTTAAATGCAAAAAGTGTGGTAGGGTCTATCACACTTTCAACTTTTTGAACCCAACCCCCATCACAAGCCTTTATTCCCGTAGGAATCTTTTTTTATTAGGCCTATTAATTGTCAATTGATATTATAAATTCGGCCTCTTTAATGTTAATAGGCCTGACTTAATGTAACGACTAATACTAATAGTAGGTACTAGGATATAATTTCAAAAATGGTTTGATTGCAAAACAATGACTGCAGGTAAAAGGAGCAAAAAATTAGAATCACAGAACAGTTTTCCTTTTTTATTTAGCTCTAACGGTTAAAAAGTTATGATTTTTTTTCCTATTAAAAAAGGTGCATTTTTTAACATAGGATTTTTTAAATTTCTGTGATAAAGAATTTTTTAGTGTGCACTAAAATGATCATAGCCTGTAAACTACATGGTAGAATTTGTTTAAACTTTCCAGTATCTTTTTTTATCATATATGGAAGCATAATAAACCAAAAAATAAGATATTTATGGGTAGAATTTTTGAACAACAAAAGTTAAACATGGTACCCCCCTATTTTTGAACACGCAGTGATTTCATACAAACACAGTTTAAATTTTAACTATTAGAAATATTAAGCTCAAAATCACTCAGAATGAGTAACTATGGGTGTGTCAATGAATAATATCAAAATATTGATCATAGCATGAAAGATTTGTGTATATCATGATGCAAAGCTGATAAATCATACGATTCTACAAAACCGAAGTCTGGTTTATGTGAAATACAAAATTATGGCAAATTTAAACTACTGAGCATTTAAGTTCCAAAATTTGCTTAACTTAAGATAATTCTATACTACAAAAGAAATAATCAAAATACTGGTTGTGACTCCATCTGTTTTCCAGAAATATATGGTTGAAGAAGGTACCCCCCCTTTTAAAAAACCAAAACTTTTCGCACAATCTGAGTGTGAGTTCTATCTATTTATTAAAAATATCAAGCACGGAGCTTGCTTGAATGAAGTTCTAAAAGTGTGTCTATTAAGTATTAATACTAACTAAATAATTAGCATCAAGGTATGTTTTTCTTTTCATTGAGCTGAAGAATTGATACAACTCACATTGTAATTATGTAAATGATTATCATTGTCCCAAAAGTGAAAATAAATATGTTGATGTTACATTGATGGCAAATCCTTTAACTTTGTTTAAGACCCTTAGTCTGATTCAGTGATTGTAATTAAATGAAGGGATGACATGGTCAGATGATAGAACGCCCACATGTTAACCTTAAGCCTCAAGTTTGGATCCAGGACTGAGGTTGATAGGACATCCCCGAGTCCACCCGGCTGTAATGAGTACCTGATATTCTATGGAAATTGAAGACAGCTGGGCATAGTCATAACCACACTACTTTTAAATGAAGATTTAGTTTAATTTTGTTTATGATAATGTTTCTGATTTATACCAAGATATTTTGTATTTCTAAAGAACATTTGTCATTTTGAAAAGAAATAATTTTTTCTTCACTGCTGGCTCAAATACTGTCCCTTGCTGAGCCTCATTTATTTTTATTTTAATCTCAATGAATATGCTTGTAGTAAAAATAAACTGCAGTTTTATTAGAGTAAAAAAAATAATGATGAACAATTTATATATAGGAGTACACCAAAGAACTTTATTCTTTATTATAATTTATATAGTTCTACATATGGTTTCTGCTCTGCTTTAGAAGTGTATATTCTGTCTGGAATATAAAACATACTTCATTAGCATGACAATAAATAAAATATAACTAGCAAATAAAAACACATATGTAAAGCAAAATAAAAATGTGGGTAAGTACAAAAATTGTTTGCTAAAATTATCCTCATTCATAAAAAAAAATACCCCGACAGGGCAATATTAAAGGTCCTGAAAAATCGATCCCGTTAAAAATAAATGGCCTTGTAATATAAGGCTCCCTTAAAAATATCCCACCACAAAATGCTACTGTCCATATGCCATGTGACAAAACTCCCGACACTGAAATCCCCGACAAAACCGACACTGAAATCCCCGACAAAACCGACACTGAAATCCCCGACAAAACCGACACTGAAATCCCAGACAAAACCGACACTGAAATCCCCGACAAAACCGACACTGAAATCCCCGACAAAGCCGACATTGAAATCCCCGACAAAACCGACATTGATATCCCCGACAAAACCGAGATTGATATCCCCGACAAAACCGACACTGAAATCCCCGACAAAACCGACATTGAAATCCCCGACAAAACCGCTCATCAATAAGGCACGTGGCTAAGCGCTCGCGTCATTAACGCTCACGATAAAACAGCTTAGTCGCCCAGGCTACAGTGATAACACCAAAAAAGCACGGCGCTACAAAGTTTACATTCAAACACATGCGATGAGAAACTTAAAAATGTAGTAAAGTCTGTGTACCTATCAGGGGGGGGGGGGGGATTGTCCATAAATGACGTCACCAATTTGTATCACCCACCGATGCTTACTAAGTTACATTTACTCAACCCTCACGCACGTAGCACATCAGAAAAAGCCAAAACTTGACCTCACTTTCACCCGTAATTCTGTGACGTCAAATAGGACGGTCATTGACCGTTTCCCGGTGAACACAGTTTAAAAAAATAAAACACGCTAGGGCCTATACGATTTGTATATAATAAAAAAACCTACAATAAGTTAACAAATTACGATGTTCCAAATATTAAATTAAAAAAAAACAACAGTCAAAGTTGATACGCATATCTTGCCCACAATCTAATAAATAATTTCCTAGTAAATGGCCGTCTTTAAACATGATTAAGCTTATCACCGTATGACGTCATACAATTAGTCAAGCCCCCTCCCCTCCCCCCCCCACTCTCTCCCCATCCACAACACAGTAGACCCTACACATCACATAATCATACCCCTCTCGTGTAAGCGTAAAGTATTGAGAAATAAAGAGACCCGACTCCTTCCGGTTTTTTACTTTCGCTTTCTAAGTAAGCACAAGACAGCGCTAAACCATACACCCCACGGGGCAGCATATAACTTCTATGAGCTGCATCCAAACACTTTCAAATTTCAGTATGATAGAGGAAAATGGTGTAGGGACTCTAGCAATCAATAAAAAAAGACATGCGTCCAGTAGTTAATTTTAAAAAATAAATCAAACTTACCTTATTTTCAATGAAAAACTCCATTTTGAATAATCCATGAAAATAAAAACAAAAGACAAAAAGCCAGGCAAAGTCCATTTTTAAGTAGAAAAACAATTTCCACATTAAATTTGACCGTTCAATAACGGAGAGGAAAAAAATTTACTAAACCGTCGAATTCGCGTAGCCGCACACGCAAACCGCTCGGTAACGGGAGAAAAAATACGCCGTTCAGCGAGAATCGGGAGGCCAATCCTAGTACCTACTAATAGTATAGGCTTACATTTTACACTTTAATACAAACAGTTAGGCCTACAGTTGAACTGCAGTTGGTTTGGCTATTATTTTACATGGTATTAAATTATTAATACAAATAGAACTAATTAGTAGATTCTAGTAAGTCTAGAGGAGTTTACACTTTTCGGACACACACCAAAAATTACGTAGGAGCGAACACTTCGTCGGTTTTTGGCTCATAGAAACTTTAATTAGCATGTCTCACGCGAAACCACGGCGCCTGCACGTAAACTGTTCATTTATGAACACTTCCGTGTCAAGTACTTCCGTTTCCTTTCTCAAGAATTATTTTTAGAAATTTTTTAACGTTGCATGGTACGCACATTTCTAATTTTACACCAGCCGGATGAAGTGACCTAGGGTTGGACTTAGGGGCAAAACTTGAACCAATCAACGCTTAGCTAAAAGGTTACACTATAAATAGCTTCTATATATGTATGGAACATCGTAAATGTCAAGGTTAATGGGTTATTTTGTGCTTGAACAATAAAAAAGGGGTGTTCGCTAACTTTTTTGACCTTACATGGGATCGGACAGCAACACAAAAATATTATTAAATAAGAATTTAGAGCATAAAAGGGGCTGGTTATTGAAGGGAAAGGGTCAAAATAAGGTCAAGAAGGCAGTGGAATGCGAAAGAGGAGGGGGAATCATGTGACCTGGCTGGCTTAGCAGCGTACTGCGCGAGCCGCAATGGCTGAATGGGATGAACTTTGGGAGTGTGGGAAAAAGGTTTTATACTATTAAAATTACCTCACAAACAATCAATAACACAATATAAATGCATATAATATATGTTTTTATTAATTAAATTGACTTTAAATTATTCTAAATGAACAAAAAGTGCTATGTCCGATGACGGGTAAAGGTGTCCGAACACATGTAAAACTGTATTACATGTGTTCGAACACACGTTAAGACCCCCCAGTCACTATAACAAGAATAGCTTAAGTTCTATGCGTATGAATACAAAATGACACACACATTATTAAAGTAGAATGGTTGCGGATAGATATGATACTTTTTTTTGTTTTCTATGTTAAGCGGTTACTGAATGAGACCGCATGGAATTTTTACGTTGCGTTTTTTCGCTATGTGTGTCCGAAAAGTGTAAGCTCCTCAAGTATTAAAATTTAAAAAATATTAGTTAGGCCTAATAAATAATAAATATAGTCAGAAAGTTGAGAAAGGTTGATGAATTCACATTCTCATTCAGTTCACTGAGTAATAAGTTGATTTTAGTATTTTAGTTATTCTGAAATTCAGTAGTAGGCCTAGATCTAGTAACTTTACACTACCTAATAGTCTACTTTCTATACTATATTTACTAGATCGGATGATATTTAGAATCGACCCTTTGAATCCCGGTCAGAACGTCCCCCCGGCGTGGCCTCAACCAACCGGCGGGCTCGTTGCATTGAGTTAAATATAAACTCAAAACAATAATATAAACAATCTCCTTTCGGTCGGTCAGGCCACATACCACGCACGCATAGTGTTGTGTGTCGTGCCTTAACCAAAATAAACTATCTCCCTTCATTATCATTAGATAGATATATTTAATTAATTAATTAATTAATTTGCTAATTATAAAATTATGTATGATGCTATAGAAGTAGGTAAGTATATTTTTTTACTATGTATTTGTACTATTAAACATATTATAAACATCGTTGTTTCAATACCACCCTCTCCCCTTCATGTAACTCAAAGTTAAACTTTTAACCCCGTTTGTAAAGACGCTGTAAGGCGGCGGGTGGGTAGGGTATATACTCATTGAAAAAAAAATCCACCGTGGTGCGTGTTATTGGCCTTGGGCCTTGGGTGACCGTTGTTGGCGTTTGCTGTGAGGGGGAGAGAGGTGTGTTATACTCGGTGAAAAAAAATGCACCGTGGTATTGGCCTATGATGACGTCGGCGCAAGCGGAAAGGGGTGGGGGAGGAGACGTTTTTTTTTCAAAACCAAGAACTAGGCGTTTCAAGGCAGTAATGAAAATCAAGGACTGGTATAGCCATGATGTCGAATTTAACGAGTGATGCTTGCTGGGTCTATCATCATACGATAGCTTGGTGATGGGAGTCTCGTCAAGCTCAGTTTACATTATTAACAGTGAACTATTGGGATGCTGTCATGCACAAAGTAACAGCTACCGAATGTAGCACTTAAAACATCGAGTGCATCCCGCTCATTATAAATCTTTGAAATACAAGTTATGGATAGTCCAATAGGCAATAACTACTAATACTTGAAGGACTGCCAGAATATATGCATTGTATTATAAAATTAATCCTTACGATATAACTAAAATGTGCATCAAAATATGTTTAGGCTAATGGGATCTGCATTTAAATAAACAAAGTCAAATACCTACCCCATTCAGTAGAAATATTAGGCTACTTTTGCATGGTAGCACAACATTTTTTTAGATTTCGTAATGAGTAGCCTAGTCGTGCATTAATCTAGAATAAAGGGTTGTACTCGATAGCAATGACAATAATGAAATGCCGGCTTCAAATTCCGGCTTCCCCGTATTCTTCGACTAGAAATATAGCTCCGTCGTTTAAATGACCCCACTCCTTCACCTTTTGCCTAGTTGAATATAAAGTTACACTTTCAACCCCGTTAGGATGCGTGAACTACTGATGAAAAAAAATCTATCCTGGTGTTAAATTCCCCTCCCCTACTCCCAGCATTTAACTTTGGGGCCATACACATCAGGAAGGTCTAGGTCGGTGTTTTATCTCGTGCAAGTTTACTCACAACACGACTACACACTATGGTTCTATCCAGGATTAAAGCTGCGACACTTAGAGTGGGATTTATTCGTTAGATCATTGTGCTTCAAATTCTGTTTCATTTTAGGATTAGAGTGATAGAAAGTTTGAATTCAGTTAGTTTGTTAATTAATATATTGACCTAAATGTTGTGTACCATCAGAAACTAAATTGGTTGACAAGACACATGTGTAGGCTAAAGAATGACCTCTAGATCGAGCCAAAGATGGCTGGTTAAGGTTGACAAACGTGGTTTTCAAATTTCATGGTGATGCTTTTCTAACGGATTTAATTTTGTGCTTTCTTTGGGATTATTTTGTGTGATGTGAATATTCAAAAGTAATTTGTAAGTAGTTTTTCACGTTCAACCAATTTAACAGTTTGCTGTCGATCTGCGGCCGGGCTGATTAATTTACATTTAGCGAAACTACACACTACACAGCGCCCTAAGACCGTTGTTTCAGCATGCCCTACTACTCTAGTCAATTATAGACAACTTTAGAATCAACACATGTAGCCAATACATCGATTTTTATTTAATAATCTTCAAAAGCCATTCCTCTAGGGTCGTTATTTTCACGAAATTGTCGTTTTCCAATTTGTTGTCAAGAAACTGGTATTTAGTTCACGAGAACGTACGAAAACCACTCATGCGTGACCGAAATCGTCGATCGGGTGCCTTCACGTGGTTTGACACGTGTTGACATGGGCCTTTGTTTACATCGAAACATAGCTCAAAACAGCCCTTTTTTTAATTAATTCTTCGAAAAAATGGCTATGTCCATTTCTAAAAAGGGTCATTTTCGGGCCCATTTTAAAAAACGTAAAAAAATCCGAACTACACGTAGAAAAAATGGCTTTTTCGGCCCTTTTTAGCTCCAAAAACGCCGTGTTTACGGGTCGCGTGACGTCATCGTGACGTCAGCCGCCAACCAAAACGCGTTGAAAGCGCGCGTTTGATTGGTTGGCGGCGGATACTATGAAATATCAAGGGTTTTCTCTAAATTTTTACCACTAGATCTATACAGTACATTTTAACAGTAGATATAGTCTAGATCTAGAATTATTTATATAATATGTCATCTCTACAACTACAATACATCATCACATTCATACAACAGGCCCACAACTTCAACTGTCTGCCCAACACCTCCGGTTGTCGAGCCTCAGCACAAGTAATTTAATTTTCAATGGGCTAACCAGGTAGGCAGAGATCTAAATAAGAAGTATATGTCAATAAAGAAAGTAAAACCGTGAGTTTCTGTAAACTTCTTGGTATTATCTTTAGCCCAAGGTAGTCTTCAGTGGGTTTTTTCAATAATAAAATATTATTAACAGATTAAATAAAGTTAAGGCTACGACATGCATTTGATACAAACTTGACAGGATTGCCTCCCCTGGGCTTAGCGAATTTAGCTATCAAACAGTCTCAACAGTCAAATTCTTTTTTTTTTTAATATTATAGGCCTAATGTTTAAATATCAAAGGGGTCTATAAATACATTACATAATATATAACGAGGTGTTACAACAATTAATCTAAGATTATAAGACCTAAAATTCCAAAACAAAAAAATGTAATACAAAAAATTACTAACTATGTATATTAAATTTTTAAGGATTAAGGGTTTAGTCGTGTCCTCGGTAGTATAGTGGTAAGTATCCCCGCCTGTCACGCGGGAGACCGGGGTTCGATTCCCCGCCGGGGAGGCATATTTTTTTCAATTCTGAAAATTATTTATATTATTTTTTTTTGTTAGCTTGACAGCCTGCGGTAGAGTAAAACAGGCTAACGTTAACTGTAATAGTTGTAGACTAGTTTTATATTTCAATTGCGTTCACCATACTTTAGTCTACATTTTCAACAATTTAATTGATTTTTAAAATTTATTCCACTGTACTTCAACGAGTAGACGAAGGGTCATTCAATATTGGTGTTGACAATAGAAAAAAAAAATCGTGTTTATTTTTCTTTCTATTTTAGCCTGAAAAAAAAGTCAACAATTTTATATTGTAAGAATCTGATATAAAAGTTGCAAATGCAGAGAATTTTATTTTATTTTTGTTTAAGGGTACATTTCTATTTATTTTCATCAAGCCAAAATAATAACTAACAGTTTCATTTTCGTAAGACAAAAATGTATTGATGGTACATAAACTGCGTGATCGATCTTCTGAAACATCACTTGGGTTTGTACCAGTGGCGTAGGCAGGGAGGGGGGTTGGGGGGGGTCAGAACCCCCCCCCCCCCCCACCCCTTAGACCCCCCGGTAGATACATAAAGGTTGAGCGGGGGGTGCAAAATCGAAAGTCTGAGGGGGGGGTGCAACTGAAGTTTGAAGGGGGGTGCAAATGAAAAGTTGTCAAGTTTATCCTCGGAGGCCGGGGAGGGACGCTACGCCTCTGATATATACATTTATAATGCGGGAAAAAATTTGAACCCCCCCCCCCATGAGACGATCCTGGCTACGCCACTGGTTTGTACTCAAAACTTTGCCGATAAAGTTATGTTTAATAAGATTATACTTTTTTTTAACCACATAACCTACATAGTTATGCCATGTTTATTAACCATTTTCAATGACAAAAATAAAAAAAAAAAAAAAATTGTTTTAGGCTTTTTGTTTTAATTGCTGTTTAGCTACCGAAAATACTGAAAACATGAAATACATCCAATCATTAGTAAAGTTCGTGAAAATTTTTATTACCACAATGTTTTTAATTATACCGCAGACGAATTAAAACATATTTAATGGTCCTTTCCAGACCAGTGGCGTCGCTAGGTCGGGTGTCACCCGGTACGCCCCCCCCCCAGTCCCGCCCTCGCTACGCCTCTGCTCCAGACCATTCTCACTGTTGTCCATTCGAACGTGAATCGTTTATTCGAGTGCAATGCTCCTTGCCCATATATGAATCATTTTCGCGTGTTTACAGAAACAGACCATTCTGTAAGAAAAGCCAAACGTTTTCTTCTCTCTCCTCATATTTTTCCATGTCATATTCCAGATTATACTTTCAGTTTCATCATTACCCCATGGGATTGTTACTGATTACAGCTTTTGGGGATGGGCTTTCAACGTGAATCACTTAATTTAATTATCACTGATATTAAAAATAAACCGGGAGTGATCTCCCCTAAACTTTCTCGAATATTCTTACATAAATTAACAGGGGATGGAAACTCGGGCTATAGACATGATTTTTAATCCATTTTAAATACTTAAAGTTTTAAAAATAGAATAAAATCTCGTAGACAAATTAATTGCACACCAAGTGAACGCAAATAAAAAAAGCGCATAATAGTGCGCAATATTATTAGTACTTTTAAAATTTACATTAGTTTTTTGAGAAATCGGAAGTAGCGTAAATTACTACTTCCAGTCAACGGAAATTACTCAAAATTTAACAGAAGGTAGAGAATTAGATCTTTTACTTACATGTGAAATTTCATTTATCTATCTGAAATAGTACTCAAGTTATAGGCTTTTAAAAATTCAAAGTAGGAAAAGTACCACTTCCGGTTATCGGAAATCGCTCAAAAGTTGATACGGATCTACGATTTTGATAAAATACTTATATATGAAATTTCATCAACCTAGCTGTAACGGTACTCAAGTTATCGTGTTTACACACGGACAGACACACACACAGACACACACACACACAGACATACGGACAAGATTGCAAAATTATGTTTTTCCGTATCAGTGAGGTGTAAAACGTCGAGATTTGTAAAAATCTCGATTTTTTTTTTTTGCACGATTACAATACTTTCTCTATACTACGTATATACGAGAAAGTAAAAATAAAGCCTGGTCTTTTAACGTGACTCACTTAATTTAATTATCACTGATATTAAAAAATTTAGCCTACAATAAGATTTTTCAGCGCAGGCCACTTGTATCTGGCACACAATTTTTAACCGGAGCCCCGCCCCTTTCGTCAGAGTCCACTACCCAGAAGGATTTGGAAATTCCCGTTTTAATGTCACCAGATCTGTAGAAGCCGCAATGCACGCGATAGCCTGGGCCGCCGTCCGCCCACCCCGGGCCGACAACAGGCGCACCTGATGAACCGTTGCAGGTTTCTATCAGGTATCTCGTCTCCAGGTACAAACTGCCACAGGGCGATGTCTCTTGTCCGCTCGACATTTTCCGGCCGACACTAACGACTTTAGCCGAGCCGTGCGGATGGCCAATTATAATCACGTGGTTTTGTATGAAGCTTTTTCTTTTCTCTTCGGGTATAGCGGCGAACAGACGCCGCATGTCTTGTCTCATAGTCTGCAGCAACTGTTGCAGACGACTGTTCATATCTGCTACACACAACACGTGGACTTTGTCCTGCTCTTCCCAGACTCCAGCGAGGCAGACGCCCTTTGCCTTGACGGTGTCACGTGTGTTGCAGGAGTCGAAGAACAGATCGACCTTCGTGCTGCCAGCATCGGCCTCATCCCTGACCACATGCTGGTTGGTGGAGACACGGAATGCTAGGTGAGCTCGACTCGCGTCCGGCACGTGCACCGGGTGACTGGACACGAGGAAATGATCTGCCCCCAGCGTCTCGGTGTAAGGGCATTTCGGGATGTGGCACATGGGGCATTGGTTGACGTCTCCATGACAACAAGGAAACAAATCGTGTGTGTCCGAGAAATAACAAACAGAACCGCTGCCACGGACGTGGTAAGGATCGCACTTTGATTCTGGTGCCTGGATTGTGTAGCCTGTGTCAGTTGACATAGTGTGAGGGGCCTGGTTTATGTGACCTGTGTCAATTGACATAGTGTGTGGAGCCTGGTTTATGTGACCTGTGTCAATTGACATAGTGTTTGGAGCCTGGTTTATGTGACCTGTGTCAGTTGACATAGTGTTTGGAGCCTGGTTTATGTGGCCTGTGTCAGTTGATATAGTGTGTGGAGCCTGGTTTATGTGACCTGTGTCAGTTGATATAGTGTGTGGAGCCTGGTTTATGTGGCCTGTGTCAGTTGACATAGCCTGGTTTATGTGACCTGTGTCAGTTGATATAGTGTGTGGAGCCTGGTTTATGTGGCCTGTGTCAGTTGACATAGCGTGTGGAGCTTGGTTTATGTGTCCTGTGTCAGTTGACATAGTGTGTGAAGCCTGGTTTATGTGGCCTATGTTCTGTGTGCAAGTCTGTGACATGGCTACACTTAACCTCACGGCAAGTTCCATGTTGAGCCTAATCAGAGCAAGAACTTCTTGGCACCGGATGTCTTCAGGCAGGTGAGCGAGGCCGAACTCAGGAGCTGGGATATACCTCGAGTGCTCCGTCGGACAGCCCAGGTACAGAACTGGCCAGGCCTTGGGCTGATGCTCCACCTCGTAGTACAGCGGCCCGTCTTCGCTGGAACCGTTGCCATCTTCTGACTTGTCGGCCATTGTTGAGTCAGTGAATTAATTTGAAATTTCGTCTTTTCTCGCAATGTCCGGAAAATGTTGCCACTGAATTAATTTCAAATATCGTCTTTTCTCGCGATGTCTGGAAAATATTGAGTCAGTGAATGAATTTGAAATCTCGTCTTTTCCCGCGGCGCTCTGACTGGCTTGGATATGACGACACGGACAGCTTGAATTTATGCTCTACAAGCGTTTTCCTGTATGAAATAAAATATATAAAAGTATAGAAGCTTAGCCATTTATTTACACGTGTATATTATATGTACATGGTCAATCTATTGCTTGTAGGTCTATACAGTAGCGGTAATAATTCCGGAACTCTTTAGTCGAGCGGGACGATAGCGATGCCCGAAAAAAATTGCCAATAAGTGAAATTAAAATATAACGAACCGACCCGCGGCGTATCATACTCCGCTATTTAGTTGTTTTATTTTCTACTTTTCAGTAATTCATAATTTGTGAATTCGACAGTACCAATGCTGCCACTGAAAATATTTGCTTTAAAACACTATTAGATGGTCGTTAAGGACGATACCCCCCTCCTTTCCCCCAACCCCTAACCCCCACCCTACACGATGTACTATTCTAGAGATGTGTGTAGCCCATATCTATCCGGGGTGTGGCGATTAAAACAAATGACGAAAGATAAGGTGGTGATTAGTTTTCCACATCACGGACACAAGCTCACACTGACGTTAGCAGAAAAAAAAACTAAATCTATTGCTGCAGTTAGAGAATTTGACAGAACTGACAAGGTCCGGTGTCACCCCCTCCAACAATGATGTACAAAAACTATAGGCAAATGGTGTCACCCTTCCAGATGGTGGCACTTTTGCTTGCTGGGGTCTATATTACTTGTATCAGTTATTAAAATAAATGGGGGAAAAGCAGGCTTGATCATTAACATTTGCTATTTTTCGTTTTGGTGTCATCCCATAGAGTAGTGTCATCCCGTCCGGCCTTGTGACGCTACTGGTTGTACGGTATGGTATTTCTCTGTACAGACGGTTTAAGCCTATTTAATGGTCGACCAATCATAGCTCGACAAACACATGTCTATGCCAGCTGTACTAATGGCCAAAGTGCTAAAGCCCTTTCTTCACCACACCCACCAAGTAGCGTAGCGAGGGGGGGGGGGGGGGGGGCGGGGGGGACATATGTCCCCGGGCGCCGACCTTAGGGGGCGCCAAAATGGGTTGGAAAAATAAATTGAAAGGTTGAGGGGGGTGCAAATCGAAAGTTTGAGAGGGGGGGGTGCAAATCGAAATCTTAAGAAGGGGGGGGGGGTGCAAATCGAAAAGTTTGTCCCCGGGCGCCAGGAAGCGTCGCTACTCCTCTGCACCCACCTACCCCTAGCAACGGTACACTGACCACTGTTTTCTTTTCTCTGGTCTTATGCATGCTGAGTCGGCATGTGCAATTAAAAAAAAAAGTAATACATAATAAAACGTCGAGTCGGTAAAGCTCATGGTTGCTAAACCATAAAGTCTCGAGTTCGAACCCTCAGGCAGATAAGGCTTGTTAGCTGAGGAGAGACAACTCCAAAATCAAAGGCTATGGAAGCAAATCCAAAAAGAAAAGAATGCTTAATTGTGTTGATGGGGAATCCCTTCTAACACTAAATTAAAAGATCGAAGAAGAAGGCATAACAAAACCAATTTCATAATAGACCTAGTAGTTTAGTAGGATATGGGCCTTCCTGTAAATATATAACAGAGAGGGGCATTTTTCTAGTTCTTTCACTGGGGGCTATATAAATACAGCTGTTGGGTTAAAAAAATTATAATATTTTAAAAACTAAATTTAATGCCACACTAATTAACTACAACATCATTTTTAATTAAGTGAAAATAAATAAAAGAAGTTTTAATTCAACGGTGTTTCTTACCTCCGTTCGCAGATGTCATTCTGCTCTACATCATCATGCCATCACCCTTGTGACACCCTCCCGTTAACCCAGCTCACTGTGTGCTTGTCTTGATGATACTGACTACTGACTGTGTTGTGTTGGGACAGAGCAAGCCATAAGTTGCTATTTTTATCCATTGAAATAAAAGAGCAACCAAAAAAAAAAAAAATAGACGCCGGGCTTCCCGAACATTTAATAGCCGTATAACACTGGGTGTCGTCATTATAAACGATTGACTTTTTTAGGTCGCCACGGTTCAGTGACGACTAAAGACCAAAGTTGACACGGCTGGTTGTTTCAGTTTCTGAGAAACAAGGGTCAGTTAAAAAAAAAAAAAAAAAGGGGGGGGGGGGGTCATTCGTAGCAGCACGATCTAACATACATTTTTATTTTGCCTTGAACATCCGTAAGTTTTGAAGGATTGCTTCACGTTAGATTGAGTATTTGATTTGGTTTTTTGTAAAAATAATAACATGTTTTAAATCTCATTATGCCCTATGTTTAAAAAAGTAAACTACAAGTAGGCCTACAACATTATTGGAAATTCCCAACAACATCAACCATTTTCCTCTACACTACTTAACTAGCAACTTGAATATAAATGTTAACTTGCGGGGTTCCCAGAGTTCTAAATATAGTAACAGGATGTGTTGGTTTTACGAGGAGAAATTAAATTCAACGCAAAACTGTCGTCATAATTTTAAAGGTGTAGATTCTGTCTCAAAACCAGTCATAGTCCGGATGTTGCAGAGTAAAAAAAAAAAAAAACTTAAATAAAGAAAAGAAATTGAAAGAAGAAAAAAGTCTAGTCAGTGGTGTACTGTAAGTATTGTACCCATGCGCAGTGGCGTAGCCAGGATCGTCTCAAGGGATCCGAGGGGGGGGGGGGTCCAATTTTTACCCGGGGACAAACTTTCGATTTGCACCCCCCCCCCCCTCAAACTTTCGATTTGCACCCCCCTCATACTTTTTATATATATACCGAGGGAACTATGGGGGGGGGGGGGTTATGACCCCCACTAACCCGCTGCCTACGCCACTGCCCATACAGTGTAGGTTAAGTACAGGTTAAAAATAATTTTAGCGATTTCCTCATTAGAGGAATGGTGTGGTTAGCATCATGCACGAAGTACTCCAACAAAACAAAAACCCCACACATGTCTACACTTGAGATAACCATCATGCGCTCTGGCACTTAACCGCCACTACCCCCAAGTGTGGTTCGTTTAGCATTGTATAATATGACAACAAAAACAAACTCCCCAAAGTTTGTGTCAAAGTCTGACTGATTCAATGCAGAAACATTCGGTTGTGTTAGTCTAGTGAGCGGACTACCAACATAATTACTAAAGATTAGCATTGGTTTAATAATGTTTTTAAAGGTATGTATTCTACAAAAACGAGAGACGTTTACATACGTGCTTCAACATTCAGTAGCATCGATTTCTAAAACTGACATTATGGTCAGCTTCTTTCAGGCCTCTTTTCGGGCACCCCCCCCCCCCGAACGAAATATAATTTATATACAAAATATTTACTTTAACCAGTGCCCCCCCCCCCCCCCCGCCACCAAAAAATTAAGAGCCTCTCCTCCTAAAAAATTAAGTGCGCCCCCCACCCCTAGGAAAAAGAAATGTCTGAACGAAGCCTAGATTAGGGTCCAATTAAGTAATTGGCCAATATCTAAATTGCACATCTACTTTTAGCTGTTGTAACAAAAGCATGCTGTCTGTGGTGTTGCTATTTAATCTACTAACTCCAAGTACAAGACAATAGTTTCACAATAATGATCCACAAACACTGGAAAGACGGGGATTTAAAACTTTATTTGTCCATTTCAACTGTTACAGTAATAAGATAGGCCGCATGTGTGTTGAATTCACAAATTATGAATTTCTGTAAGTAGAAAATAAAACATCTAGATAGAGGCATATGCTACGTCGCGGGTCAGCTCGTATTAGTTAATTGTGTTAGAGGAAATCACGTGCAACATTACAATGAAGAACAAAGAAGAAAAAGTAATCAAGGAACCAAAAATGTCCCGTGAAACGTGCATCTAAAAGACTACTATATCACTAGCTCGCGTGTTGAATAAAGTACTTCAGGCCCAGTGGTTCTTCCAGACTTTTTTCTACGGGGGGGGGGGGGGGGGGGGGGGCTTGAAATTTTCGGGGGGGGGGGGCGGACTAAAATTTCCGGGAGGGGGGGCGGACACTTTTAAAAGTATATATTTTCTATATAGATTCCATTTCATTCAGGGGGGGGGGGGCGGTAGACCTTCTCCGGGGGAGCTCCGCCCCCCCCCCCCCCCCCCCCCCCCCCCCCCCCGAAGAGATGCCTGGAAGAAACTCGGTTCAGGTAAGTCCGACCGTCTCTTGTTGAGAATTGAATGTGTAGCGCCAATAAAAGCAACCTATATCACAGACTGTATTGGCTAAAGTTATTTTTACTTACATGCATTTTTAAAAATAAAGTTTCTTTTCGATTTAGTATCATAACTGTTTTCATTGGCCTTATCGTTTTGAAAATGACACGATTTTTTCTATACCCTACTGATTATCACCTTAAATATGCGACTTTTTATCATTAGCCGCGGCCTTTAAATTGGATACCGGAGGGGGGGGGGGTCTATTAAAATTTTAGAAACTACAAATTCCAATAGTATATGTCTGTAATTTAGATTTGGCTTTAATTTAACTTTAAATTTATAAATACAACTCTACAAAATAGCTATACTAATTTTTATGCGTAATTAAAAAAAACGTTTCTTAAAACTTTTTCTTCTTGATAATCAAAAAGCATTCTAACTCAATCCATCAGTGTATTAACATTTACTGTCTAAATCAAGTACAATATTTTATAAAAGCTTGTTATTAAAACCAGTGGCGTAGCCAGGATCGTCTCAAGGGGGGGGTCCAATTTTTACCCGGGGACAAACTTTCGATTTGCACCCCCCCCCCTTCAAACTTTCGATTTGCACCACCCCTCAAACTTTTGATTTGCACCCCCCCCCCTCAAACTTTCGATTTGCACCCCCCTCATACTTTATATATATATACCGAGGGGTCTATGGGGGGGGGGGAGGGTTATGCCCCTCCTGCCTACGCCACTGATTAAAACGTTTTAATGCAATTTTTTGGGTCAAATAGTCAAGGGACGGAACTCTTAACAATAGCGCTTTTCATCTATTCTCGTATTATACGTAGATCTAGATAGTATCATCCGAAGCGCAATTATCGCCTTAGTTCGGTAAGCCTATTAAGTCTTAATAATTAAGATAAAATGATTGTCTGCGACAATGCTAAAAAGTTGTCTTCTCAAAGTTTGGTTAGATATCAGCCGCTCTTTATAATGACGATATGTTGTTCATACAGATAAGAAGGTAATTATTTATTTAAAACGTCTATGTATATGTAATATAAAATATTAACACGAGTAGCTGCTGTTGTCAGTGTCACTGCTAAGAGGCCAACGAACCATGGGCTAATAAAGTTTTCACGAAATTAACTGTGGTAAAAAAAAAACCCTCTTCATTACTCAGTTATCTCCCGTTACGGTAGTAGGTCTGAAGTCCAATAAAAAGCACAGCTTTTAAACACACACAACTATTAAGCTACTATTATGGAGTAAATTTAGTCAAACTTAACATCTATGATGTATAATATAACGTAGTCTACATATTAAATCAAATTACATTAAATCGTTTTCCTCTTAATAACGGTCCAGTTACCATAGCACCCAAAGCTTCCTTCAGTGCACAATCAATGATAACTCGTGATAAATGAGCAGTTATATTTGGAGTTATTTTTCTTTGCACTTTCACTTCCGCAGAACATACCGAAAATCCCTGCTGGCGAAGAAAATGAGCTTAGGCAGATTTCAAAGCTACCCATTTCTAACTCATCAGTAATAAAACGCTTTATAATTAGCCTGTTAATATTATCAGCAACTAATTAATCGGTAAACATTTCTGCTAAATTGTCTTTTAAATAACGACTAAATTATAATTATTAGGCCTAGACCCTATTTCTATTTATTTAATCTTCCTAGTAGTAGTATTAGTAATCCTAGCAGCGGTGGGCTACCAGCAGTTATGAAGTTAATGATTAGCACTGACTTTATAAATACGGGACATTCCACTATTCATCTTGTTAAAAAGTTGTTGTATTTGACTACATTAAACTTTTTAAAAACTTCATCCTTTTTTATAGATAGACTAGATTAAATTTTGTGAATGGTTTTAAAAGATCTAGATTCAAGATTAGCTAATTTAATTACTAATTACTAATTAATTACTACTAATTAATTAGGGCCCCTAATAATTATAAAAATTACTAAATTAGGCCTAACAAATCTGTTAAGTTTTTAGCAGATAGGGATCTAGATCTAGACTCTAGAGATCCATAATTTTTTAAATTGTAATCATCATCATTCATCATCATATGTACTTAACTTTGTGTAGGCTTATTATATAGGATATATTGACTTTGCTGATAATGCAAATGACAGAAAAGTCAAGAGGCAACAGATGGACACTTACAACTAGCACTAGAGCATCTAGATTTTGCAGACCAGTTAACTGCTAGCTAGTTGTATGCAAGAAAAACAAAAAAAAACAGAAACAGACATTAACCAAAAACAAAATCAGAATTATTAAACGAATTAAAAAAGCAAAAAAAAATCTTTTGAAATAAACAACACACAATTAGTCGAAGCAAAAGATTTCACATATTTAGGCAGCACTATCAATTATGAAGGAGACTGCATCACTGAAATCAAAACACTCAACTCTAAAGCCAAACAAGCCATTGCAACCATACAAAAAACATGACGATCAAAGGAAATTTCTTCCAACACCAACTGCAGACTTATCAAAAGTAATGTCCTTAGCATTCTACTGTATGGCAGCAAATGCTAAAAAGTAACTACAGCTACTACTAAATTCTTTCCAAACTAAGTACCTGTGAAAGATAAAAAGCATCCACTGGCTCAACACCATCTCCAATGATAGATTGCTTGAAGTGTAGGCCTTTGCCTAGTGAAAAGAGCCTCTATTTATGTGATACCTGTCTTACTAAAGTTCAGAGATTTCTCCCCTTTTGTTATTTAGATTGTGAAATTGAAATTTTATTAGTGTGTTTTTTATCATTAATGCAACTGCTGATATTAGCTCTGTATTTAACTGTTTAAAAAAAATCTGTTTAACTTTTTGTCTTTTCAGATTATTTTGTCCCTAATGTAACAACACAGATTTCATCAAATGATGAAAAGTTGGCAAACTAACATTATTTATTACATATTTTGTGCTTTTTTGGGACTCTTTACTTTTGCAAAAGCTTCAAATGGCGACAGGTCATATATATTTGGGAAATGCAATGAAAGCTGCCTCAAGAATAACTGCTCAAACCTCACAGACTTTAACCTAACACAGCCGCTGTACATGAAGTTTCTGCAGTGGACATGTCGAGATGAATGCAAATATGAATGTATGTGGACAACGGTGGACGCTTTCTCCCGTGATGGCAGCAATGTACCACAGTTTTATGGAAAGGTTTTTACTATTTTATATCAGCTTGTTTTTGTCTTGTGGTGCACTATAACATTGAGATGTTTGTCTTATGGTGCAATATAACATTGAGATGTATGTCTTGTGGTGCACTATAACATTGAGATGTTTGTCTTGTAGTGCACTATATGATTGAGATGTTTGTCTTGTGGTGCACTATATGATTGAGATGTTTGTCTTGTGGTGCACTATATGATTGAGATGTTTGTCTTGTGGTGCACTATATGATTGAGATGTATGTCTTGTGGTGCACTATATGATTGAGATGTTTGTCTTGTGGTGCACTATATGATTGAGATGTTTGTCTTGTGGTGCACTATATGATTGAGATGTTTGTCTTGTGGTGCACTATAACATTGATATGTTTGTCTTGTGGTGCACTATATGATTGAGATGTTTGTCTTGTGGTGCACTATATGATTGAGATGTATGTCTTGTGGTGCACTATAACATTGAGATGTTTGTCTTGTAGTGCACTATATGATTGAGATGTTTGTCTTGTGGTGCACTATATGATTGAGATGTTTGTCTTGTGGTGCACTATAACATTGAGATGTATGTCTTGTGGTGCACTATAACATTGAGATGTTTGTCTTATGGTGCACTATAACATTGAGATGTTTGTCTTATGGTGCAGTATAACATTGAGACATTGTCTTGTGCACTATAACATTGAGATGTTTGTCTTGTGGTGCACTATAACATTGAGATGTTTGTCTTGTGGTGCACTATAACATTGAGATGTTTGTCTTGTGGTGCACTATAACATTGAGATGTTTGTCTTGTGGTGCACTATAACATTGAGATGTTTGGAATGTTTAAAAAACTGAATCATAGAGATGTGGTGACAGCCTGATGTTGAGTGTCAGGGACCCAGATCAGTCCTATTGTCAGTAGGAATGATGTGGTAGTGAGGTAGAACACAGTTATAAACCCAAGTGTGACCTCCCTGGGTCAACTCAGCTCTAATGGGTACCTAGCCAGGAAAGTAAAGGCAGCTGGACACAATTCTTACCCGACGGTATATTTACATGCCAAGGTAAAAGTAAAACCTGAAGAGGATGACTTCACTGTGGCTATAGACAGACGAGTCTAAATGGGTACCTTACTCTTGAACTGACAATCATGTTTCACTTTTATCGGATTGTCTATCATCAAAAGTAGCATCACACTCTCTAGTCCACTTAAGAGTCAGGATTAGTGGTACAGTGTCACTTTGAAGTCTTTAATTTTAAATAAAGACTCAGTTTTTATATGATGTTGTGCATAGATGAATACCTATACACTTGTACACACATTTTACACATTTTAACTCTTCATTTTTTAAACTATTCTTTTAAATGTGAAAAAAAAGTAATTATTTTTATATATTTTTAAAATTGATTTCTTAATTATTAGAACATGAGCCGACCCGCGGCATATCATACGCCGCTATTTAGTTGTTTTATTTTCTACTTTTCAGTAATTCATAATTTGTGAATTCTACAGTACCAATGCTGAATATATTTGCTTTAAAACACTGTCAGTAGCTCGTTAAGGACGATACCCCCCCCCCCCCCCCCCCCGAGAAAGCAGCCTCCACTTAGTTACCTCCCCTAAGTTTAAAATAGTTTCAAACTAAATTATCTGCCCCTAATAGCCGTCACTAAACCCGGCTCTACAACTGTAAACATTTAGCGTGAACCACAGCTCACCAGACCATGTAGGGGTGGGGGCGGTAGGGAGCGCGCTTACAGCTTGTTTTCTAGGGTCTCCAAGAAGAGAATTATATATATAGATAATTGCATAACCATAAAAAAATACATGAAAACATTTTTTATTTCAGTGGCCATTTGTTCGGTATGCAGGAATTCAGGAGCCAGCATCCATGATTTTTTCTTTTCTGAATGGTCTTACACACCTAGCTGTGCTATGCTATAGAAGTAAAGTGCCCTCATCCACCCCCATGTTTCATGTATGGCATGGCATGGCTCTGGTAAGTCATACCAACATTGTAACCATATATTTTAATATATATTTATTTAAATATACTTTTCTGATATCATAATCAAATATCTTTATATCAACCAGCATACATTGAAATTTAGTGATGAATGTTATTTATTGATATTATTTTGTGACAAGTCCTTGATAACTTGTCCTTATTGTGTGAGAATTCCATGATAACTTGTCCTTATTTGAGCATTCCATGATCTTAATTGTGAAAGGTTGGCTTTGTCACATGGATGTGTGCAACTATTTTCCATGCAAGAGACACTCCATTTACTGAGGTACAAAAAATTATTTCCACTACTGTTTTGTGTCTATACCGTTATGGAATTTTTAATATGTGTTAACATCAATTATTCCAAACTAGATATTATGGTAGAACTTGTCTTGTTATTTTAACAATGATTTTATTCACTTAATTGGTTTTGTAAAAGTAACAATAGTTGTTTTGTTTTAATTTTTAAAGCATATATTTGCAGTTACTTATAAAATTGGTTTTCATCTGGTTAACTTTGTGCTGATTTTCCCCATCAGAAAATGGATTATTTCAGTGCCTTTGGACTTGTTGTTTACAATCTCTTTTCATTGATATGCAGGTACAATTATGTTCTAAGCATTACTTAATACTGTAGACATTCATTCATAAATTCATTTATGCTTAATTTAAAAAAAATATTCTTAAAATTGCAACTAAATGGGTCTATTCATCAGTACTTGGAGCTAAGTTAAAAAAAAAAAGTGAAATAAATCATTTTTTTCCCAGAGTAATACACTGTTTGAGTAATAAATGAAGTTAGCAATCGTTAAAAAACTTTTTCCCCAGGGTGATTGGATCAAGCCACCAGTACATACTGTCTGTGGTTGTACTTCTGCTAGCTGGCCTCTATGGCTATCACATTCACTACCTGGCCTTTGTTCGCTTTGATTACGGGTACAATATGAAGGTCAATTTGATTGTAGGTAAGGTTGGTTTGACTAAATCCTGTCTTTTACCTTGTATGATGGCTGTGTAGAGCTGTAAACTTTGCTACAGTAAAATTATGAGCAGGTTGATGAACTAAGCAGGGTTGGCGTGGTCGAGACGGTAAACAAAGAAGATTAACTAAGCCAGTCCATAGCAGGGCAATATAGTATCAAGGTTTTTTCTTCATGCAGGCTGGCACTGTGGGTTAGGTTTATAGTAGGTTTATAGTAGTGACATCAGCAAAAGTAATTTGTAGCCTTGAAAACAGGATATATGATATACACTTATGTTTAGAAATCATCAATATTGATTCTCAAATTTTAAGTTTTAGGGCTTTATTCAGGCTTTGATTGGTGAATGGGTTACAGGTAGTAGCACAACTAGCCTTATATCACTACAGCAGTGGTTCTTAACTTAGGTTCGATCAAACACTGGTAGTTTGGTGAGTCAGTTTCTGCAGTTCTGCGGAGGACACATGTGATGCATGATCAGATTTTGTCATTGTGGATCATAGAGCTATTAAGAAAGATTCAGTGAATGCACATATGAAACTAGTGGGGTTTGGTACCTCCTACATGGTTAAGAATCACTATACTGTTAGTATGGTGAAAAATATGTGCTTCAGGCTTTTATTAGAGGCACCACTAGCTATATGTCACCATATGTACGATGAAAAGGGTGTGCAGCACATACATATCAGACTTTCATTAGTGGCTATCAGTGGTACAACTAGCAATACGTCACCATATGTATGATGAATAGGATGTGGAGCACTTAGACATGAAACCTTTGATTACCAGGAGCAGTGAATGGGCTGGGCTGGCTGGTGTGGTGCTACTACAACCATCGCAGTAAACCCTATGTCTGGAAGTGTGCTGCTGTCATCATAGGGCTCAATGGCCTGCTCATTTTAGAGGTCTTTGATTTCCCTCCACTTTTCTGGACGCTGGATGCTCATGCACTCTGGCATGCTGGGACAGTTCCTTTAAACATCCTCTGGTACAGGTAAGCAGCTGTTTCTGAACTTGTTCATTAGATTTAGAGGTTTTAATTAGATTTTAGAGGTCTTAATTAGATAAAGAAGGTTTTAATTAGATTACAGAGGTTTTAATTAGATTAAAGAGGTTTTAATTAGATTAAAGAGGTTTTAATTAGATTAAAGAGGTTTTAATTAGAGGTAGTCAGTCATTAGTGTGGGACTGAAGTAGGCATTGACTCTAACTATATTTCTAAGCCTATTCATCTTTTTTTAATAAGTGTACGTTAACATTGAAATAGCCCTCTATTTTATAACATATTATCAGCCTTTTATCAAATATTTGATCTTAAAATGTTTCAAACACATTTCAGGTTTATTACAGATGATGCGCTGTATAAGCAAAAAGAAGATGATGCTGATGTTAAAAAATTGGTATAGTTGCGCTATAAACAGTGATACACATTTGGTGTGTTTTCTTTCTAGACAGATAAAAAATTTGGTATAATTTCATTCTAGACAGATAAAAGATTTTATATAATTTCATTCTTGACAGCCAAAAAATTAATTAACATGTCTATCTAGACCAGGGGTCTCCAAACTACGGCCCGCGGGCCGAGTGCGGCCCGCGGGTTCCTCTCATCCGGCCCGCGGACATCTTTTTGTCCACGGAAAAATGTTTGTTGTAGGTGCCTGAGGAACTTTGCCCAGAAAATTCAAAACAATTTGAAAATTAGCTTTGGGTGCAAATACCATTGCCCGCCGTGTTGCATACATTGGTGAAAACAATGTGACTCAAATAGCGAAAAATGAATGCAAGTTTTGCCATTTTTCAAATGCAATGGATGAGTCGCTGAAATTTATATATATATATATTTCTATATAATTTATATTTCGTTGGGTGGTGGGGGGGGGGGGGTTATATGCTCTTCGGTGGGGAGTGGGTGGGGGGCTCTGCCACCCCAAAGAGATGCCTAAAAGAAACTGGCCCCCGAACTGATATTTGATAGTTAATACGGCCCTCGGGCTGAAAAGTTTGGAGACCCCTGATCTAGACAGATAAAACGTTGGGTATGTTATCATTCTAGATAGATACAAATTTGGTATAATTTAAAAAACTTATTTTGTAATATTCTCGTGTGTACGATTAATTTCCAAAGATAAGAAAGAAGTCAGATATATTAAACAAAGGTTCCATCAAATATTTTTTCTAAATAAATTGGTGTATGACAAGTAGGTGTAATATTTAAACTCCTAACATTTATGCACGCTTGATGTCTTTGAAAATACTTTTAACCCTATTCGCCAAACTTTTGTACTTGAAATGTTTTCTACTGCTGGGTCTGTGATGAGTGTTGTCAATTTTGTGATACAAACTAGAGTTATGCACTAAAGACCTGGTGAAGTGTGCTGATGACCTTTGTCATCAGGTGCTAGCACTGTTGCCTGTATAAGTTTGTCTGTGAATGTTAGGATGAATTATTTGTGTTAGGCAATATTTGCAAGGCATGTTTTATGTTGCCTAACATGTAATGGTAGGTCTGTGATGTGTGAATGTTGGCTCTTGACATTTGAGTGAGTGATGTGTGAATGTTGGCTCTTGACATTTGAGTGAGTGATGTGTGAATGTTGGCTCTTGACATTTGAGTGAGTGATGTGTGAATGTTGGCTCTTGACATTTGAGTGAGTGATGTGTGAATGTTGGCTCTTGACATTTGAGTGACTGGGGGATGTTGTCCCATGAGATGTTGACTTTGTGATAAGAATACTGAGTTAATGAAATTGTTTAAACCTAGTTTAACCTGCATACTGTTAAACCTAGTTTAATCTGAATACTGTTAAACCTAGTTTAACCTGCATACTGTTAAACCTAGTTTAACCTGAATACTGTTAAACCTAGTTTAATCTGAATAATGTTAAACCTAGTTTAATCTGAATACTGTTAAACCTAGTTTAACCTGAATACTGTTAAACCTAGTTTAACCTGAATACTGCTGCCTGTTATTGTAACCATTTGTCTTTGGTTGATGGTTTATTATTACTTTATCCTATCCTCCTTTATAACGCAGCAAGAAATAGCTGTGCCTTATACAAAGTGCCATTCAAACAAATTTATTCTATTATTATTTTGGGTTTTGTTTATTATGGGGAAAAAACTGTCACACACTCCTAAATTTTGGTTGATAATTTTTGCAAGTTAAAATTTGAATTGATACATTTTTCTGTTTGATTAAGTTAGAATTTTTTAAATTTTAATTTCTATGTTTGATAAATTATAAGTAATAATATTGAGAATTCTGAAAAAAAATACAACCACTCAAAAATCTTGTAATTGTTATACTAATATAAAATGTTTTTTCTTCTATATGAAAATGTAATGTTTTAAAACTAATTTCTGCTCATTTTAGCCAATGTTTTTTAAAAACTTCAGTCATGAATACTGCAGGGACGCGCAATCATTTAGTAAATGACATGAATGAACATATTGATGAATGGTATCAATAGGGCAGAAACTAGAGATGAAAAGTTGGTGTGAGAGCTCTTTATTAAGCTCTGGGGTGTGATTAGTTATTGCTCTTTCAAGCAGTAAAATATCCGGCAAAACTGTCCATATTTGACACATATCATGCAGCATACTACAGTGTAACTGCTGAGAGTAAATGGATATTTGAGGTTCTTGTCCAAGATTTTTTCCTTAAGAATTGAACATTTTAAAAGTGGTTTTTTGTTTGTCTATAAACATTTGCTTCCAATTTTAACACAATATTTGTGATCTTATCAAGTGCTATTAAATTATTTTATAATATTTTTTTAGTCCTTATGTATTTTTATATTGTTAAATTAACTGCTGCTGTAAGTAAAATGGATATTTTTGTTGATCAATTTTCCTTCCAATCCCCACCCTAACCCCAATTAACGTGCTATAAATAACAACTAAGGTTACTATTTGAAAGCAGCCGTTGAAACCTCATTAATATACACTTTTTTAAACAATTTGCGCACTTATTTTAAAAGTTTCAACAAAAATTCCGCCTAAATTTAAATTGTATGTTTAATTTTTATTTCTCTTTAATTTTGAATTTTCAAAGTGTCTATATATTTATTTAAACAAGAGCTTTGATTATGTTAAATTTAAATAATCTGTGTTCAACCTCTAACAGCTATTATGGGTATATTGTTCTAAAATTGCCATATTCTAATATATTAAACTAAATAAAAATAAAATATTTGTTGTGTTGTTTGAAGTACATTTGTTCATAAATATTCCCCGTACAAATGTGCCAAAAATTGGAATCAGCCTATTATAATTATATCAATATCCTGGTTTGTTACAATTGTAACTATAACATCAAAATTATTTTTATAAATACTAGCATACAGCCTAATTAGAAAAATGTTCATATTTAGTTTAAACAGCTGTATATTATTATTCCAATAGGAACAAGGCTTTTTAAATAATAAAAGAAACACGATTTTTTAAAATGTTTATTTTCATTTTAACACTGGTTCTACTTACTCAGTAAAATTCATTTTAAATACTTTGTACTATCACAAAACATGTTTCTTTATATTCCAAATAAAGTTTATAATTCTGATGTTGTTTTATTTTTTTTCATTCCCACAATACCCTCTTGAGAGCTAAATCTATGTACATTCTCTGGGTTACCCAACTTTACTGATACAACAGTCTGGGCCAGAGAGATGAATAACCAACCTGCTATTTACACAACCATTTTGTAAACATTAGCATTCATTCATTAGGCTAATCATTAGCCTAATAATAAAGGTACATTAAAAACCAAGAGGTTGAAGGCGAAGGTTTAAGAAAAATATGTAGAGAAATAATACTTTAAGAAAACATTTTTTCATAGTAAAATATAATGTTAAACTTGGAAAATACATGGGACACGGTATAGATTATATTGTTTTTTTTAAAAAAATTGTTGTCTGGTTGTTTGCTTAAGGTTTAATGTAAGTTAAATCACATAAAAACATTTGTGTTTCACGGCAGGTACATTACAAATATCTATCATGTGCATCTGATAGTGCAGAAGAATATTTGACAACATAATCAGTTAAAAACTGATAAGCAAAGTTAACTCTTAAAGTTAACATCAATAAAGTTAAAGGTACATGTCATCCATTTTTTTTTACTTTACTTAACACTGCTGCAAACTACCACACAAATCCTAATCTATTTTTGCTTGGAGTTTTTCCATAGACCTGAAGTTTGCTCTCTTCTGTGGTGTCATTCTGGAAATGTGGCATCTGCACTCCTGACTTATCTGACACCATGTAGCTTGGCCTGACCCCTGCTTTACCAGGAAAGTTGGGGCCTGACCCTCCACCAGATCCCCACCTCGCAGCCTTTTCTAGGGGGTAAACATTGCGACCTCCTTCCTTGCAGTGGTCAATGACCTAAAGTGTAGATCAGACAATACATTTAAATTTTTTTTTTTAAATAGGCCTAAATACACATAAAATCTGATGTGATAGGATTTGGTAAAAAAACTTCTTTAATCTCACCTTTCTAGCATACTCCTGGAACTGTATTTCCTCTTTTTCAATGAGTTCCACATTAGCTTTGTCTAGGGCAAGTTGTGCTCGCCTGGCCTGCTCTTCTTTGTTTACACGCTCATTCTATGTATATAAACAATAGTCATTTTTTTAACGTTATTTTTAAAAATACAATCATACCTATCTTTAAAATAGTAACAAAACCACAATAAACCCAGAAACAAAGAAAATATAAAGCTGTAGCCATCAGTCAAGACTTGTGGTTTTAATTAGATACAAGATAACTGATACTCTGCTAGGCTTAGAAGTAAACTTTGTTTATAAATAAAAATAACCCTCTAAACAATCGTACAATTATAGCAAAAAGTTGGATGAATCATTTAAACAATTAGAAGAATGTAAAAAAAAAACAACATACATATTGATCAACGTGGTAAGCTTTCAGTGAGTCAGCTTCTTGTTTGCGACGTATTGCTTTCTCAGCCTCATTCTGATGGAAGAGTTGATCAGCAGCTCTTCGCATTTCCAGGAGCTCTAACTCTTCTCTCTTATCACGCTTTAATTTCTCTTCTTTTTCCTTGAGCTGCATGTAATTTCATATGAGTAAATGTAACTTTTCCCTTTAGCTATCAACAATTACATGGGAATAAATGGCTCTTAGGAAAAATTAACAATGCATGTTATAAACAAAGACTGCTGTAAGTTATAAATTTGACCGACCTGTTTGTTTCTGTGTTCAGCTTGGAGTTTGATTTCCATCAAGAGTTTTTCTTCCTTAGCTCTCTCTTCTTCCAGCCTTTTCTTCTCAGCTTCCTCGGCTGCATTACGTATCCTAGTCTCTTCATCCTTGACCTTCAACTTCATCTGAGCAGACAATTTTTCACGGATTTTTTCCAGCTGGGCTTGCTTTTCACTGGATAACAGGAATTGTTTACAAATATTAGATGTTAGAGGAAGAAATTATTTAAGCTTATTATAGACCTATAACTTATTTTGTTTGAAACCCATTGGGCATTATTTTTCCTTCTCCTGTCAGAGGCTAAGCAACTCTTCTGCCTTCAGCTTGTAAGTGCCTATCTGCACTGCCTGTCTTTACAATGTTCTGTATTAGGCCAACTATGTGTTTTTTATTAAATTAATGTTAAGGATATAACTAGAAATACATTCATTGATAAATACTAAAGACTTTACTTGTGAATCTCCTGTTCCTTCTCAGCTCTAAGTTTCATCATCTTTCTTTTTGCTGTGGCAAACACACGGCACTCTTCATCTTCTTCCTTGAAAGTAATGCAAATTAAAACTATTTAGTGGCATAAAAAAACCACAAAAATCAAGGCCAAAAAAAAAAAACAATAATCAATTAAACATAAAAGTAACAAGCTCATTCAATTTTCCAACTAAATTAAATTGAGATTTAAAATAAAATTTTGCTTGGGTTACCTCATCTTGTTGTTGCTGCAGAACTTTCATTTTCTCAACATCTTGTATTTGCCTCATGTTTTCCTTGAGCAATGCCAGCCTCTCATCTCTCCTAATGTTCTCCAACCTCTCTCTCTCTATTTGAAATTGAATGGCCAGTTTCTTTAGCTCTTCTCCCTCAGTTAGGTCATCATGCTTCTGTTTGCCAGCATTCTTCAAGTGTTCATTAATTCTAAAATATGATAACAATATTTTCATAAAACATTTACCAGCTTCATAAAAAAAATTAAAGTAAAGACTCTTATTTAGACCTAGTGATCCATTGGGCCGATGAAGTAGAATTCACGTTTCTTGGCTTCGGCATTTGAAGGGATGGTGTGGTCAGCACTATGCCCAACCGCTTTTACTTCCCTAACATGAGTTAGGTACCCATAAGAGCTGGATGGAATTAGGGATGTTCTATTGAATTGAACCAGGATTCAAACAAGACTTTCTGGTTAGAAGTGTAGCACTTTAGCGCTAGGCCAAGCCATCCCATTATACCAGCTTTATAGCTATAATTTAACACTGCTGTCTAATTTAAAATGTCTAATAAAAATGCTTAAGGTAAAATTAGGATTTTACTAGTGGTGTAGATTGCGGTTTAAAAATGCATGATCCTAAAGCAAAGTTGGATAAGAATAAGATGAGTTCTTAAAGCAGAATATTTTATTAACCAATGCTTTTGCATCTTACTATAATTAAGAACTCACTGATCAATCTGGAACTGTTGAGCTCGTCTTGCTTCTTCCATACGCAATTGAGCTTTTTCTTGGTCTGCCTTGATGGACATTTCATAAAGTTCCCGGTCAATTTTTAAGTACTCTCGGTCCTGGTCTCCCATAGCCTGTTCCTTCAACCGCTTCAACTCAAGCTGAGCTTCTCGTTCTTTCAGAACTTCGGTAAGGGTCAAAGCACTCTAATAAATATTTAAAATTTTTATTGCAGCTATAAAAAGTTATAGAGATGAATAGATAATGGAGAGACGGGCCTACAGCATGGAAGAAGCTTTTAATTCACAGTGATTTCGGGTTGTGTTGTTTTTTAAACAGAATTTTCAGAAACTAAGCCATGCTTTTTTCTCAATAGGATTTTTTGAATTTTAGAAAAAATTAGTGATGATGCTCTCAATACGAATACCTGCACCTTTTAGTGAACTTAATTATAAAACAATAATATATTTTAATAATCGTTTTGTGCAGAATCAATACTAGTGAGTTCGCAATTTTTAATAGACTTAAATACTTAAGTCACATTGTGTCACCTACATGGAAAGCCTTGACTCTATCAGTCTGATAATACTGCTGGGTTTTTGCCTTTTCAATGGCTTCTTTTCGCTTTTGAGCCTGATATTTAGCTTCTTCTATATCAATTTGTTTCCTTTCCTCTTCTTCTTTTTCTTCTCTTATTCTGCGAGCTTCAAGTTTTCTTTGTCTTTGACCCTTTTAAAGATTGAAATGGTTGTTTAAATATCAGAATAATATATACAAAATGCTTAAACATCTTTTTTCTTGTCTGTAGTAACAGACAAAGAATTTCTAGCTCCTTAGTCCTGTGACTTTTTTTTCCAGAATTCAGAACTAAATGTACTAACTAAATTTGTTCAGAATCAACACATATTTTGTAAAGATCTTACATTTTAGAGTAATAAAACTTACTGCAATAGTGTTAGCCCAGTTTTTAATGAGCTCTTTTGATTTTCTCTTTTGCTCCTCTCTTTCCTCTCGCAGTTTTCTAACCATTTCATCTTGAATTTGTTTACGGTTTAGCTCCTGCTCAATTCTGTCCCAATCATGTTTAGTAAGGACCGTAACTTGCCGCAAGTCTGTTCCATCAGGCAGTATCATTCCACCATGGAGAACCTCTGTATCTAATGAAACTTTCATATCTGAAAGAACAAACAAAATAATATTGTAATACAAGCCCAACTATCAGCACACAAAAAAAGTAATTAACTTGCTGATGACTTAGCCAACAATCACATTTGACTTATTTAATTTTGGTCTTAACAATAAATCAATTCTTAAATATTAATTTTGCTTTGTTGAGCAGCCAAGTCATAGATCTAGTACCCTTAAGTTTATAATTTATCACAGAGTCCAATACGTTTAGGTAAATAAGAGTTTGTAATACATGTAAATTTCCACATGTTGAATTTAACGAATAAAACTTTATTAATCTTAAATACAAAATATATAGATGTACACTAATTGTATGCCTCAGTTATAGTTATTATAATAAGAAATGGCAGTGCTACAGCTCAACTGGATGTATTTTATTAAGTCACAATATTTTGTGACAATATCTATTCTATGTTTATTCAGTCAGTGAAATAACTTAATAAGAAACAGTAACTCATTATCATTTTAATGCTGCTTCTGATGACTAACTCTTATTTACATTTTTTAACACTATTTGCATCAATTTTTTGGTTTATTTTGGACATAAAAACTTAAAGAAAAACAACAGATGCAAAATCATTAGATCAAAATCTTTTAACAATTTTTATTGTTTTAAATAAATAGTAGGTACTAGGATATAATTTCAAAAATGGTTTGATTGCAAAACAATGACTGCAGGTAAACGGAGCAAAAAATTAGAATCACAGAACAGTTTTCCTTTTTTATTTAGCTCTAACGGTTAAAAAGTTATGATTTTTTTTCCTATTAAAAAAGGTGCATTTTTTAACATAGGATTTTTTAAATTTCTGTGATAAAGATTTTTTTAGTGTGCACTAAAATGATCATAGCCTGTAAACTACATGGTAGAATTTGTTTAAACTTTCCAGTATCTTTTTTTATCATATATGAAAGCATAATAAACCAAAAAATAAGATATTTATGGGTAGAATTTTTGAACAACAAAAGTTAAACATGGTACCCCCCTATTTTTGAACACGCAGTGATTTCATACAAACACAGTTTAAATTTTAACTATTAGAAATATTAAGCTCAAAATAACTCAGAATGAGTAACTATGGGTGTGTCAATGAATAATATCAAAATATTGATCATAGCATGAAAGATTTGTGCATATCATGATGCAAAGCTGATAAATCATGCGATTCTACAAAACCGAAGTCTGGTTTATGTGAAATACAAAATTATGGCAAATTTAAACTACTGAGCATTTAAGTTCCAAAATTTGCTTAACTTAAGATAATTCTATACTACAAAAGAAATAATCAAAATACTGGTTGTGACTCCATCTGTTTTCCAGAAATATATGGTTGAAGAAGGTACCCCCCTTTTAAAAAACCAAAACTTTTCGCATAATCTGAGTGTGAGTTCTATCTATTTATTAAAAATATCAAGCACGGAGCTTGCTTGAATGAAGTTCTAAAAGTGTGTCTATTAACTATTAATACTAACTAAATAATTAGCATCAAGGTATGTTTTTCTTTTCATTGAGCTGAAGAATTGATACAACTCACATTGTAATTATGTAAATGATTATCATTGTCCCAAAAGTGAAAATAAATATGTTGATGTTACATTGATGGCAAATCCTTTAACTTTGTTTAAGACCCTTAGTCTGATTCAGTGATTGTAATTAAATGAAGGGATGACATGGTCAGATGAAAGAACGCCCAAATGTTAACCTAAAGCCTCAAGTTCGGATCACGGACTGAGGTTGATAGGACATACCCGAGTCCACCCAGCTGTAATGAGTACCTGATATTCTATGGAAATTGAAGACAGCTGGGCATAGTCATAACCACACTACTTTTAAATGAAGATTTAGTTTAATTTTGTTTATGATAATGTTTCTGATTTATACCAAGATATTTTGCATTTCTAAAGAACATTTGTCATTTTGAAAAGAAATAATTTTTTCTTCACTGCTGGCTCAAATACTGTCCCTTGCTGAGCCTCATTTATTTTTTATTTTAATCTCAATGAATATGCTTGTAGTAAAAATAAACTGCAGTTTTATTAGAGTAAAAAAAATAATGATGAACAATTTATATATAGGAGTACACCAAAGAACTTTATTCTTTACTATAATTTATATAGTTCTACATATGGTTTCTGCTCTGCTTTAGAAGTGCATATTCTGTCTGGAATATAAAACATACTTCATTAGCAAGACAATAAATAAAATATAAGTAGCAAATAAAAACACATATGTAAAGCAAAATAAAAATGTAGGTAAGTACAAAAATTGTTTGCTAAAATTATCCTCATTCATAAAAAAAATACCCCGACAGGGCAATATTAAAGGTCCCGAAAAATCGATCCCGTTAAAAATAAATGGCCTTGTAATATAAGGCTCCCTTAAAAATATCCCACCACAAAATGCTACTGTCCATATGCCATGTGACAAAACTCCCGACATTGAAATCCCCCACAAAACCGACATTGAAATCCCCGACAAACCCGACACTGAAATCCCCGACAAAACCGACACTGAAATCCCCGACAAAACCGACATTGAAATCCCCGACAAAACCGACACTGAAATCCCCGACAAAACCGACATTGATATCCCCGACAAAACCGACATTGATATCCCCGACAAAACCGAGATTGATATCCCCGACAAAACCGACATTGATATCCCCGACAAAACCGAGATTGATATCCCCGACAAAACCGACACTGAAATCCCCGACAAAACCGACATTGAAATCCCCGACAAAACCGCTCATCAATAAGGCACGTGGCTAAGCGCTCGCGTCATTAACGCTCACGATAAAACAGCTTTGTCGCCCAGGCTACAGTAATAACACCAAAAAAGCACGGCGCTACAAAGTTTACATTCAAACACATGCGATGAGAAACTTAAAAATGTAGTAAAGTCTTTGTACCTATCAGGGGGGGGGGGGGGAATTGTCCATAAATGACGTCACCAAGTTGTATCACCCACCGATGTTTACTAAGTTACATTTACTCAACCCTCACGCACGTAGCACATCAGAAAAAGCCAAAACTTGACCTCACTTTCACCCGTAATTCTGTGACGTCAAATAGGACGGTCATTGACCGTTTCCCGGTGAACACAGTTTTAAAAAATAAAACACGCTAGGGCCTATACGATTTGTATGTAGATTCTATATTTTAAAAAAGCCTACAATAATAAGTTAACAAATTACGATGTTGCAAATATTAAATTAAAAAAAAAAAACAGTCAAAGTTGATACGCATATCTTGCCCACAATCTAATAAATAATTTCCTAGTAAATGGCCGTCTTTAAACATGATTAAGCTTATCACCGTATGACGTCATACAATTAGTCAAGCCCCCTTCCCCCCCCCCCCCCACTCTCTCCCCATCCACAACACAGTAGACCCTACACATCACATAATCATACCCCTCTCGTGTAAGCGTAAAGTATTAAGAAATAAAGAGACCCGACTCCTTCCGGTTTTTTACTTTCGCTTTCTAGGTAAGCACAAGACAGCGCTAAACCATACACCCCACGGGGCAGCATATAACTTCTATGAGCTGCATCCAAATACTTTCAAATTTCAGTATGATAGAGGAAAATGGTGTAGGGACTCTAGCAATCAATAAAAAAAGACATGCGTCCAGTAGTTAATTTTAAAAAATAAATCAAACTTACCTTATTTTCAATGAAAAACTCCATTTTGAATAATCCATGAAAATAAAAACAAAAGACAAAAAGCCAGGCGAAGTCCATTTTTAAGTAGAAAAACAATTTCCACATTAAATTTGACCGTTCAATAACGGAGAGGAAAAAAATTTACTAAACCGTCGAATTCGCGTAGCCGCACACGCAAACCGCTCGGTAACGGGAGAAAAAATACGCCGTTCAGCGAGAATCGGGAGGCCAATCCTAGTACCTAATAAATAGTAATACTAAATAAGTAAAGTCTAAAACTCAGTCTAAAGTTAAGATTAGAATAAGCATATTTTTTATTATTATTACTATATTATTTATTATTACTTGAAGATCTAAAATCTAATTAATACTATACTATTACAGTAATAGTAATATTACTTCAATGAATACTTAATCAATACTAAAATTAGTATGTGTTAGATGTTAGACTAATACTTACCTTAGTAATAGTAGTAAGTAGTAGCCTACATTCTTATAATTATAATACTTCTACAAAAAAAAAATAAGTAGATTTCTAGAAGGGGATCTTTTATTTTAATTTTATTTATCAGATTTCAGATTTTTGGTTGATGTTTTAAATTAAAATTTAAAAAAAAAGTTACAAACTCAGGCTTAAAATTAGGCATACCTTTGTTTTGTCCTTTGCGTCTGCCATGCATAACAGTGGCCATTTTCGTCTCTTTATAAATTAAAAATGTTTTAAATATTTTAATGTACGAATTTTGTTTTAATCTCCATAGTATTAGATTATATCTAGTAGACCAAGCTAGTGAATATTCTTCCGATCAGTCAGTAACCAAGCAAACAATCACAGGTTTCTAGTACGTAATTTCCGTAAGGGAGGTAACTGTAAACTTAAATAGTATAAACAAGCTTTCGTTTTCCTAGTTTTAGTGCTCTACATTGAAACTACATTCTTTTAATTATAAATAATCTCAGCTTATTCTAGTCAAAATTAGCTTGTCTACATTTTAATTTTATAATCAGGTAGTAATTTATGGTTTATAATTTATGGTGGGCTGTAATTTATTTTAAAAAAGTGTGACCCCGTTACGCGTACTAGATCTACTAGAATCTAGTAGTACTAGCTACTATTAGTAATAGTATTAACTTAGTATTAAGTATTAAGTATTAGACGTACTATTACTTACAATGGAGTAATCAGTAATTTAAAAAAATATGTAGATTCTAGGTCTAGCCCTAATTATAGTAATTATTTACTAATTAATACTTATTAATAAATAGGTGATTACACTTTGAATCAATATTTTAAAGTTCTAACATTTTTTTAGTCTGCCTTTTAAAAGTTCTGAGCCTTGATAATACACTTGATTTATATCTAGAATCTAGGGTTAGTAAAAAATTAACATTTGGCTTTTACACACCATTTGGGCATTTTTGAATTATTGGTCTTTCAAAATTTTCCTCAGATATGTCATCCCTAAAATCCAACAGAAACCTACTGGTGTTTGATTTTGACCATTCTTTAATTGATGAAAACAGTGATGTGTATATTATAAAACTAGCACCCGGAGGGGAATTGCCAGAGGAAATAAAGAATTTATATGCAGATGACGGCTGGACTGAATACATGGGAGAAATTTTTAAGTAGGAACATGTAATCACAATTAATGTAATACATAGATTCTTGTGTTTGAATACCATAGCTCTTAAACTTGAGGTTAATAGCATTTCACATAATTTGTTTACATTTAATTTCAGATTTCTACATAGAAATGGATGCACCCCAAGTAGTATTCTTAGCTGCATGTCAGAAATTGAACTAACTGAAGGGATGAAAGAGCTGCTAGACTTCACCAGCACAAGTGGTTCTTTTGATCACATCATTATCTCTGACTCAAACTCTGTGTTCATAAGACACATTTTAGAAGAAAAAAAACTAACTGCAGTCATACACAAAGTTTTCACCAACCCTGCGCAATTTGATGCAGCTGGTTGCTTGACACTGCAACACTACCATACACAGGATTGGTGTACCCTCAGCACTGTGAATCTCTGTAAAGGTCATATATTAAAATCTTACATTGAAGAACGCGAGAAAGAAGGAGTTGAATACAACCATGTTATATATGTTGGAGATGGTTTTAATGATTTATGCCCGGGTCTTTCTCTACGCGAGCAGGATGTCTTTATGCCACGATTTGGATTTAAGCTTCATCGGGTGATTAAGAAAATGGAGCAAACTAATAAACCTGTTAAAAGGTCAGAGCTAAAAGCTAGCATTGTCACATGGGAAACAGGATTAGATATACTTAATCATGTACAGTTTTTGCTTAAAATGTAAAAGTAATGTGGAATTGTCAAACTGTTCATCTTTTGGAAATTAGTTAAAGTGTGTCTGTTATTACAATCCTATCATTAATATAAGTTTTTTTGCCCACCTTTCTTGCCTGCCATGTTCTTTAATTTTGCTTACATTGAGTTAATGTGAACGCTTGCTTTTTTTTGTAACAATTTTTTTCTGAAACATTTTGTAAAGATTTGTGACTTAATACAGTTGTTCTTGCAAATAACAACTACAAAAAAAGCAATAGTGAAACAAGTTACGTGCACAACTGTATTTTTCTTCACGTCGATGTAACTCTAATCACTTTTAAAACTTGCTTTTGGTCTTTATTGGACTGAAACATCAGTTTCTTAATATAATTTTTTAAATTTAAGCAAGGATTTTCATGTATTTTTTCTACACAACTAACATTTAACTTAAGATGAATTATGGGTCAAAATCTGACACTGCCTTTAGTAAAGATTTATTGTATAAATTATACTGTCAGAATATTTTGATGTTTTATTATTTTATGAGCTCTTTTAACAACCCCTATCCTAGAAGGGCACTTAACAAAAATCATTATAAGTCACTTTGCTCATTTTATCAACAACTGAATAGTCCCCTTATAATAATAGTCAGTTTTTAAATCTCATGCAATATACATTTATTAAGCAAGAGGATTTATCCATTTTCTAATGGTATTTCTTCTTGTCTGGATTGAACCATTAATTTTTTTTTTTAAAAAGAGCAAGTTTACATGTCTCTATGGTATCATCAAGCTCAACCTATTTATAGTAGGCAGCTATGTTCTTGTCTGACATTACTTGAGATCACGTTCAAAGTATTTGTTTACTGTTTGTTGATCAGAGATAATGGCATTTTGCACAAATAAGTTATTTAAAAACTATATGTAAATATTAGGTCTATATATTATTGAATTACATTGCAAAATGGGTGTCTGTGACTGGGGTCAATGGGTCAGTTAACTTGCAATGGAAAAATAAAAAAAATGTCTCCCCCACAATGCAGATTCTTATGTTATTTGTTAATGGTCAGTCATGTTCAGTTATAATGGAATTCCACTCAATGTTTTGTTTGAATTTAAATACCATTTGATCTATTCTCTTATACAACGAATTGTAAAAAGCACATTATCTTGATTTTAGAAAATCATTTAATTATTGGTCAATTCCTTTAATATAACATTTTTAGAAATTGACCTGCTAATTATAATTTGCGGGAGCATGTATGAAGCTTTTAGGTGAATTGGTATCAACATTGTTGGATGTATGCTGTAAAAATAAGGCTATGTTTCTAGAGGACATTCATTACAAACCAAAGGAGACTGCTTCACAGTTAACAAGCAACACTAAGAAGAAAAGCATATCAAACCCCAGCTCTGGTTAATATTTTATTGTTGAAAGGAAAATCTCTCATAAACACTTGTTATAAAATATCACAGACACTTGTAGGGCCACTCTTCTTTAATTTTTTTGTTTGAGTGTGTCATAGTTCTGAAGGGCAATCAATTGATTAGGTGTGAACTGGTCTCTACATAGGGGACACTGTTGCTGAAAATAAAATAGTAGAAATAAAAATTTACAGAGATTTGCAAAAATTAGATGTGATAAAGAAAATTAAACTTTTTGATTAAAAGAGCAATTAATTTTTAAAAGAAAAGTTAAAGCTTAGATATGAAGAAGAAAAGTTAAGGTTTAGAAGTGAAGAAGGCAAGTTAACAGGTTGAGAAAAGAATGCTTTATTCCCCCACTAAAATGCTGACCTTTGTAAGGCACCATTCATGTATACATCTCCAGCAGTAGAGGTGACCACAGGGTGTTAGAGTACTGTGCTGTCTGCACCCCAAACACAAGGGACACTTTTCATGTGGCAACAGTTTCTGACTTTCATTACCCAACTCTCTGACAAGTAAAATAGGAATTATGTTTTCTTGTGAGACAAGGGAACAACTTAAGCACAGTCTGGCTCTATATGACAAAGACACTGAAGCTTGAAGAAAATATATTTCCAATCTTGGTAACAAGCACAGAAAAAAATACAAACAGTAGGGTCATTTACAAAATTCATGAAGGGGGGGGGGGGGGGTGATGGTACAGAAAAAGTCAATGTTTCATAGAATGGGTGGGGAAAAGGTGGAGTTTAGTTCATTAAGACATTTTACAAAATATAGAAATGTTAGTTAATTGGTATTGGTATATTTGAGATAAGATGTGAGAGGTCAATCTACTGAATTTTTGTGGAGATTCACACGTGTGTGTGTGTGTGTGTGTGGGAGGGGGGGGGGGGTTGGTTGACTAAAATTCCCAAATTATCTGGCATCACAAACAGATGACCCTTTTTGAGAAAAAGGTGTTCATCAATTCTGATGAATTTTATTTCTACCACTAGTTAAATGAACCAAAAAAAGTATGCAAGTCTATGAAGTCTTACCTCTCATAAGCTGACACTGACAAGGTACTCTTTTGATTTCTAAGTGCTATAACAAGGTAAGTAAAGTGAAGAAGTAATGAAGAGATGATCTGAAATATGGACAAGTAGCCCAGAATTTGGAAAGGCCTCATTAGACTGGCGTTTCTTTCTTTCGCCATATATTGTACCTTAAAAAGAAATAATAGACATTTTAAAATTTCTATGTACAATCAACAAGGATATGTAGTCGCTTGTAGACTGATATGTAAGTATAGGCTTCAGTTCAACAAATAAAAGTTGTAGTATAATAAACAACTATATAAACTAATAAACTGTAAAATTTCTGCAAATGCATTAGTAAAACATGCTAAATAAATATTTATGACTATTTTTAAATCAAAACACTAAAGTTGTTCTTAAAAGAGCAAACTGTATAAAAAAATGTATAAAGAATTTACCTTTATAAATTACAACATATTACTCCACAAACTAATGAGTAAAGCCAGACATAAATGACTTACATAGTGAATTCCTGATATTCTTTTTGCCATATGGTAATATACTCCATTGATGTAAAACAAAGCCATGTGCAGCCTGTGAATCATTGTTCCTGCCTTAGCAACCAGGGGAAGGATACTAAGGATTGTTTCCCTTGTTGCTGGCTTAAGATTGATTGCTGTTGAATTTCTTAACATGTGCTCACATTTTTTGTAAGAAAGGTTAAAAAGATGGGGTGCACAAACTTGGAGAAACAACATCAAAGCTCTTCTCTGAAAATGTTAAGGAAAGTTCATAATTAGAAACATATATAAGTAAAGAAATTAAAATAATGTGATTAAGATTTCATTTTATACCAGACAATTGAAAACTGAAAAACTAATTGATACATTTTCTTGAAAGAAAAAATAATCTTCAAGAACTCTAAAAAGTTTTTATTTTGTTTTTGCACAGTAGAAATAAAATAAATGTGTTATTCTTTTTACAAAGAAATAAAAGATGGCCAACCCTCTAGATGTGCATCACATTCTCTGTAGTGTTAAAATGTGCAAAACAGCAATAGTTACTGATGTACAAAAGATTCGAAGATATTAGATTTTAACCTTCAATGATGTTATAGAAATCTTCACAAACTACAGGCCACCAAATCCTTACCCATTTAGATGGGAGAGCTCTAAGAGTTCTGTCTGTTTGTATGATATTCACATACTCCTCCCCCACTGTCTGCAGCTCTGTAACAACAGAAGAGTTATTTCAAGATTAACCTGTGATACATTTTAAATATTTTAAAATAAATCTTACAACTAAGCCTTTTTGACGAGAGTTTTGTTATCAAGTTTTTTTATTCATTATTTCTTTAAAAAAATTTCATTATATAATAAAATTCAATTAAGATGATGTGTGTAGCATGAGATTATCACCTTAAACTGATGTTTGAAACCATTTACCTGAGCCTGTTGTTATAATTAAATAAATTAGGTCAGCTACTAAATCTAGATGGAGTCGCCATCGAATCCAGACATGTGGACCTATTAAAACATAAAAACATTTTCATTAAATATCAGCTTGAATTTACAGTTATTAACGGAACTTTTCTGCTGTTATCTATACAGCATTCCTCTAGAAGTGTAAGATTCTTTTATTTTAAAGCACTATTTAATAAAAACCAGAGATTGAAAAAATAGATTAATGCATTGTAAAATAATGATTATTTTTTAGTGTAATTATAAATAGACCTACTACTTGAGACCATTAGGCCCCTAATAATTTTTACAAAGTGACTGCTCAGAAAAAGCTTTTTCCCCAACCGCTTTCTGGTCAGCAAAACTTAAAAGATGCAAATGGGGAATGGGCTGAAATTAAATCCTATTAATAGCTGCGGAACAGACTCCATTTATTCTTTTATATCTGCGCAATGGGATCAATTACTAGGCCGATTCTAGCCGGAAAAAGATGCACAAAACTCTACAATTACCTGGTTTTTCTTGTCATTTACATCTTCGCTGTTTAGCTCTATGATTTGTCTTAATGGGACAGGGATTAACACGATAAATACTTTTAACTAGTCTAGTAGATTTCAATAATAGGCTATTAAAATAGATTTTTTAAAAATATTTTATACTTAACTATAGACTAGAACTCTTTGCTAGCTATCTATATACTATAAACCCTCAAACCCTAATGACCCACTTGAAGCGCAACTGCTCGACCACACGGTACAGATCAGATAGCTTTGTCAAAAGAATAAATCTAAAAAATGAAAACAAGGTAATTAAAAAGTCTAGTGACAATTGTAGCGCAATTTCCTTATGTTATCTAAAAATAGCTCTGTCGTAGCGTAAATCAAGAGCAGGGTTAGTAAAACCATTGCGCGCCTAGCTACTGAACGTTATGACGCAGCCATTGAACGTGATGGCGCAGCTATTGAACGTGATGACGCGTGTGGTGTGGTTGGAAAAAATGCCTAATAATTCGGTCCAAATTTTAATAAATTAAAAAAAATTTTTGTGACCGAACGAAAGGATATTTTTGAAAACTTTCTTCTGCAATATTGTTCTAAATTATGGCAGGAATCGATTGATAAATGTTTCAAGTCGCTAAGTGGTCTGGTTGCCGAGATATGGGCCAAAAACTGCTTTTTGTCGAGGTTTTTTGGCTTTTCCGGGAAATCCATGAAAGAAAGCCGGAATGTTTTTGGCCTATGTTCATCCTGGTAATTTGCTTAACATAATTGCTTTTGGAACTAGATCTAGTCATCGATATTGCTTCGTTGAGGAGGAGATACGACTTAAAGCTGCGGACACACATCCATTCATCCATCCATTCCCAGAAAAGACGAGTTAATAAACGCAGATAGATTACCTATTTTGAAAATATGTTCCATATTTCTACTTACTGGTAAACCTCTGGAATAAGTCGACAATAAGCGATCTAAGAGATGATAGAAAGTTTTCATCTTTTTGGTGTGAACGTATTATTTCAGCAGTGCCTGCAGCTTGAAACATTTTTCATAAAGTTGAAACTGTTTGCAGTTGTTTTTGTTAGAAAAACATTATCGAAAGCGGAAGTTGGTTTTCATTTTCCGGTTTAGATCTACTAAATCTACTTTCATTATCAATACACAAACATTCGAAGTTGCCTGACTATTTCTAGCTACAAGCATGCACAAAGTACAATATAATACTATTTAAAGCAATCCAAGACTGTTAGCGGTGCTCTGTTTATTTTTTGAATAGTGCCAGTATATGAAACTGTCATTGCTGTGTGGACTTTCTGAGTTTCTCACTGGATCTAGATAGATTCTAGATCAAGATTCTAGATCTAAAATCTAAGACTTTCTAAGACTAAGACTTTTTTTCTGTTATCTTTTGCAGGCCTGGAACTACTACTAGATCTACTACTAGATTCTAGTAATATGGCATATGGGCCTATACTAACTACTATAGTCTACTAATTCTAGATCTACTACTAGTAAAAGTCTTAGTCTAGTAATTGTTTGTAGCTGCAATATTCTAGCTAATAGTACTAGACTTTATTAATATTTAAAAATATTTATTAGGCCCTAAATTTACTAATTTAATCATATAGCTACAACTGCACACAGAAGTATGCCGTACTCATACAGTGCAGCTGAGTGCATCAACTAGATTTATACACTACAGTGATACTACAGTTGTGACTAAAGTCACTGACAGTCAGTGAAGTGAATCAATTGTGCTAGCCTGTCTCTCAAAATCAATTCAAATTTCAATCAGTAATGTAATCTATCAGACTACAAGTATAAAGCTGTTCAAGTCTTGTTGTTAAGACTACAGTTAAGATAAAGACTTGAATTAAATAAATTATTATTAATTTATCTATTTTGAACAATACTCAAAATTGGATTACGACTATTAAATATTTTATTATGTCTGTTATCATAAGAAATTTGCAAAGCAAAATTCAGTTAAACTTAAGTCAGCTGCACTATGATGCAGTTACTTTGTTGAAGCTCACACAATATCATTCATATGATTTGGGAATTATGCTAGTTTCAAGCAATGAAATCAAAGCCCTGAACAAAAAATACAGGAGAGTTAATCGAGTCACAGATGTCTTAGCTTTTCCTTTTCTTGAGGTAATTCATTTTCTTAAACTTTACCCCTTGCAAGTTGTTTAATGTGAGCTATGGATAATTATTTGGGCACCATAGTTTGATATCAAACCTCTTCCGAAGCAATTAAAGAGTTTGGTTGTTAGGAATTCTAAATGTCAAGAATCTAAATTTAAGCTACAGTTTCCATTTGGACCTGGCATAAAAGGGCAGATGAAGTAGAGTTCCTCTATTTTTGTGACTCAAAGAGCATTGGTCAGTTCTATACACAGCCACCTTTACTTTCCCTACCTTGTACAGGTAGGCCACACATCAGAGCTGAGTGGACTTAGGGATGACCTACAGTCCTCAGTCTGGGATACAAACTTAAGACCTTTAGGTTAGCGGTCATCCCTCTACTAGTTTTTGGTCATACATGCAGCTGTCCAGCTAACAAGTCATCAGTGGTTGGGAGATGTAGTTCAGTAATGACTAAGTATTTTGATTGAGCAACTAGATGTATCACTTCTTTCATGTTTAACCAGGTATCCCATGAGCAGCCTGGAGTTCTTCCAAATGTTGATCAAGAAGATAGAATGCTTGGAGATATTGCACTCTGCACATCTTTTATTTGGTCAGAATCACAGAAACACAAAGAAGATTTTAATAGCGTTATGTTGGTAAATATCCACTTTATAGCACTTACACCACACATGGATTTATTAAAATTAGAATTGAATATTTAATGTTTTAATGTATGGGCCTAACATTATCATAAGCGGAGTAGAAAACAATGTTGACTTTGATCAGGACATATTAAATGATATTTGTTTTGCTAAAATTAAGGTTGCTTTGAAAATAGAAATTTTATTTTTACTACTGCCATGCGCTTTTTATTTCTGTGTAGCTAAAATTAGTGTTGTAATTTTAAAATATTTATTGAATTAAAATCTAATTTAAAAAATTACTGCTGGATTACATTTTGAACCACTTATATTGACTTATACTTATATCATCTTTTTTTCAAACACATTTTATTTTTAGATAAACTGTAATTCTTACAGTTGAGCTAAAATTGTATCCAACTTTTTTTAATACTGATAACTTTCTTTTTTAATTTAACATTGCTTTGAATGACTCAGTGTAGAATTGTCTTTAGTGACTTTAGTTACTGCTGTATACTATAGGTCCAAGGCTTATAAATCACTATTTTTACACTACATAATTCAGCAATAATTCTGTCCTATTTTAGTAACTGCAATGTTTATCTTTTTGATGGTGATTTGCCTGGAATCTATATTTTCTTTGTACTCATCTTAACAAAACACTTTCCCTGCAGACAATGGTCACTCATGGGCTGTGCCACCTTGTTGGTTTTGACCATGAAACCAAAGACCAGTGGACACAGATGTACAGGAAGGAGCTTGAAATTTTGACCAGGTTCAACCAGCTGACAGGATACAGGTGCTCACCATTGTTGGGTGTTGGTCACTTTGAGGCTCAGCCCTTGCTATCTGACCAGACTCATTAAAATATCTTTAATTAATTACCTCCATGCATTTTTACATGAACCTCTCATCGTTGTTAATAAGGTTATGCATAAAATAACTGTCATGTTGAAATGCTAGTTTTGAAAAAAAAAAAAAATCTTTTCTTTATTATAGAAACACATTTGGCTTTTGTAATGAGATGAATGATTTTTTAAAAATGTTTTTGTATGCTAACAAACTCTTGTTTCTTCTTCTTCTTCTTCGTTCTTAATTTTTTAATATGGTGGAGGATTCAGACAACAAGTCCAACTTCGTGGACAAACCGGACTGTGGTCTCCAGTTTGTCAGGTGTCCCATATAATTTTTCCCTGAGTGGGGTGGGCTGGGGCCAGTGTCTGACTCTTGCCTGGCCATACAGAGGACATTCCTGGAGTACGTGCTCCGTGTTTTCCGGGGCCTTGCCACAAGGGCACATTTCGCTACACCCAACCTTCAGTTTTCTGTGCATGTGTTGATTTAGTCTGTTGTGGCCTGTTCTAAGTCGAAAGATTATGTATTGTTGTTTTCGTGTTAAATTGTAATAGCCGTTGTCTTTAATGTAGTGAGGGTGTGTGACAGACCACATTTGCGTTTGTTTGTTTTTTATTATTCTTTTTATTTCTTTTGGGTGTAGCGAAATTTCCGGTTGTGGTTTCTTTCCCCCAATTTTAGCCGGCTGGTCTGCGATCTCGTTACCCTGGATCTGGCAGTGGCCCGGGATCCACTGCAGCACAATTCTGCTGCAGGTATTTTTTAGCCTCTCTAGTGCTGTCATAAGTGTTTGAATATAGGACTCTGGATTTTGTAGGGATTGCAGGACTGATTTGGCATCTGTAAGAAATACAATCTGAAAACTCTTGTTTAATGTGTAAAGTTTGTATGTACAGTTAGACTTATTATTAACATCTGCAGAAATTTTGTGACAACTTGGTTTAAATAATTGGTTTTTTAACCTTTTTGAGGTAACAAAATAATTGGTTTTTAACCTTTTTGAGGTAACAAAATAATTGGTTTTTAACCTTTTTGAGGTAACAAAATAATTGGTTTTTAACCTTTTTGAGGTAACAAACCCCACCAGTTTTATATTTGTAATCACCAAACTCTTCTTAATAGTTCTATAGTCCGCACGGACAAAATCCGATCGTGAATCATATGAATTTGGCATGTGTCATAACCTCCCCCGAACCCCTGGAGTTTGATCAAACACAGGTTAAGAATCACTGGTCTAAATAATTGAGCAGTAGTCATTTCCCCACTTGTCCTATACGAACTAGCTGGCCATACAACAGCCAATGGTCTATAACACTATTTACACAAATAAAAAACATACGTATTCAATATAAACAAACCATTCACTTGTAATGCTACATGCCTATAGGAACTACCCCAACAAAATTGACGATGCAGGTAGTGAGATGAAAATGCAGATATTTAAAAAGTTTGTAGTGTGAGTGAAGAATAATCTTGTTGGCTGGCCAAAATTAGGGGCAGTATTGTGTCACGTGATACCATTATCGCGACCCTATTTTTGGCTGGCACTGATTAGAGTCGAGGTCTACTTAACTGAGAGACTCTCGAACACTGGGTAGATTCTCGTTTTACCTCATCACGTAAGCTGCTTACATAGGCAGGTCTAGTCAGGCTGCTTACATAGGCAGGTCTAGTCAAGCTGCTTACATAGACAGGTCTAGTCAGAGGTGGGAGGTCTCAGGCGATACACGCAATTTGTGAGGGGAACATTTCCTACTAGGTTCGTCTGTCATCTATGGGGTCATCCATAAATGACGCCACGCCTTTTACCTCCCCCCCTCCGTCACATAAAGCCAGACCCCCCCCCCCCTAAAATGACGTCACACCTCAGTCTACCCCCCCCCCCCCCCCCCCGCCTCAAAATTGCAGTTGAATTTTTCTTAAAACATCGATATTTTTCCGAAATCTTGTCTGAACTCTCTCAACATAGAGTATTTTAATCAATTCCTATTACAATTTATTAAAACCGTTTTCTAAAACGCGAAATAACGGCTAAAATTCGTTTTCTAACATTGCTGTTTTATAATGCAAAAGTGTGACGTCACACAATTACGCCCCCCCCCCTCCCCCTCTACGAGTGTGACGTCATTTATGGACGACCCCTATCACATTTTCATTCAAATTAAACTGTTGGTGTCTATGGAATCGGCTTTTATCATTTGGGGTAAGTCGTAAGTAGAGTTACTACCCTTTCGAACCTGGCGGTCCATTGGCAGTTAAAGGTCACCTGTTCCAGTGACCTCTGCATATGAATGGATAGTGTGGTTGGCTGTATGCCCAACCGCCTTTACTTCCCCTAACGTCATTCAGGTACTGTAGACCTACCCATTAGAGCTGGGTGGACTCAGGGACGTCGTACGGTCAGGTACCCATTAGAGCTGGGTGGACTCAGGGACGTCGTACGGTCAGGTACCCATTAGAGCTGGGTGGACGTCGTACAGACACATGCTCGAGATACGGATAACCATCCCGAGATACGAACTCGAGACTTTAGTGTTTGCAATTGTACACTCAATAAATCACCAGACCATGCCGCCCCAGATTTCTTTGAAGTTTCCAGTTACAGAAACGGTATCTCATCGCGTGTCTAGAGCCAGCAGTGGTGGCGTAGTAGTAGTAACCTAATGTTACAGTATTATTATTGACGATTCTCTTTCTACTAAAACATACCCAGTTCAAACAAGGTCCATGTCTCAAACCTGGCATATCACAACAGAGTTTAAATACTTATGTAGCCAGCTGCTAACTGGTATGTATTGCTAACACCACCCGATAGAAATGGAGCAGATGGGCTGGGGACAACTTATAGCCCAGCAGTTGGTGAGGCTATAACTGCGTTGCTTTAGCAAATACGACAACACCATTTTAAAGAAAGAAAACTAGAAATTAACAACGAGTCTTTCAAATGAACAATTTTAACTTTTAATACAAATATTCAGCATGACAATAGACAAGTAGCCAGCCTTTCAACACAGAAAAAACAAGAGTGGTTTCTGTCTAGCTACACAACAGCGCTACACAAATCACACACTTTCTTGTCAAATATATCAAACGTCTTCAAAATCAATTTCTTATTCAAATTAGGAATCCACACACTAAGATATAACCAATGTAATTTCTTTGTTCTCATCTTAGACTTGGCACTGTCTTAAACTCTACGTGTTTCCTTAAAAATACTAATAATTATTGACCATGTTTTAAATGAATAAAAGAAAACAGCGACTATATAATATAAAATAACTGGTGAATATTAGCCTGCTAGTATTAAACATCAACATGCTAAATATTGTCCCATTTAAGAACAATGAATCTAAAAAATATCAAGTCTTTTTCTAGTCTAGAATTAGCATCTAAGTGATAAATATAATGGAGAAAATAATAATAAAATCAATAAAACATGTGCTCACCATATAAAGATGACAATACAATTCGAATGACAATCGAATCATGATGCACGACTTAATATCCACCAGGAATGCCATCATTTGAGAATGTGATCGTGTTGTTTCTCGCCTAGAGACGAGGGGTACTCAAAGCAAGAAAACTGAGCACACTGCCAGCATAGTGATGAGGATGAGCAGCTTTGCTCTGAAAGATGTCCCTGTGTTACACAATTCTGACGAGCACTCGCAGTATGTTGATTTGAATCGTTTGCCATTGCTGCCGTACAGCGTGGTACAGTCAGAGCCGCCGGTGGTCATCGCACACTGACGGACGATACGTCGTTGCTCATCTTTTGGGCGCAACGCAGGTCTAACTGGAAGTAATCAGACACAATCAGCAGCTTAGCTAAACTAACCTGATAATGATGGCATCATTTATTTTTTACGACTCACCGGTCGCCCATGGCACATGACCAGAGGCGTAGCGGGGGGGGGGGGGGGGGGGGGGGGGGGAACATATGTCCCCAGGGGCCGACCTTAGAGGGGGGGCGCCAAAATGGGTTGGAAAAAGAAATTGAAAGTTTTAGGGGGGGGGGGGGTGGGGGGTGCAAATGAAAAGTTCGAGGGGGGGGGGGGGTGCAAATCGAAAGTTTGTCCCCGGGCGCCGGGAAGGGTCGCTACGCCTCTGCACATGACCCCCAGTATTGAACTGAGGGGAACTAACCGGGGTACAAATGTTATCAAACGTTAGTGAAGATTTGCTACACACACAGTGACTGTGAGCAAAGAAAATCCTTATAAAAAATGTTTAAAAAATTTAGATCTAAGTTCCCGTGGGCTGCAACCTTCAGAAGTTAACAATTTCTGCGATCAGCGTTTCTTTCAGACTTTTTTTCTCCGGGAAAGGGGGAGCGGTCAGTAGTAAAAAATATATTACATTCTATATCGTTCGAAAAGGAGGGGGGGGGGGGGGTGCATGAAAGAAACTTTTAGTGAGAACTTAAAATTTTTGGGACTTAAAAAATAACTTTTGAACTATGCCTATCCAATGAGAAAAGAACTCACAAGTTGTTTCAAGTTTTCGGCAGCCCACAGCACCAGTATCGCAGGCTGTTTGGAACTTTTCTAATGAGCTGCTGGCGCAGTCTTTATCATCGAAAGAGTTGCACAAATAGCACCTCAAAGCTGTTGTCTCTGAAAGAAGAAATTTTATGTAAACAATGCTTAAACATTATATTATTTTCTGTTAACATTTATGGGGGTTATAATAGTCAGTTACATGTAAGTAAATTAAAATGGCGACGTTGTTCATCCAATGAATTCAGAGTTTACTTGGGATTTCATGTTAAATAAATTAAAATCGTTCCCAGTTTAAAAAAAAAAAGCCTTATAACAAGAGATAATGAGCAACCATCGTTGAACACACAGGTAAAGAGTAAAGGAAGGTTGTTCCAGTTTGCACATACATCTACATAATATTCACATAAGGGGTCAACCATTTCACAAGGGGGGGGGGGTCCGAAAAAAAATGACTTTTGCGGAGCGTATGGACTTTTATAAGGGAAATAAGTGGATTTGTGTGTGTGTGTGAATGTGTGTGTGTGTGGGGGGGGGGGTCCAAAATAAAATAAAATGTTGACGTCATAAATGGATGACCCCTAATATTCTCAACCCGGGAGTAATTTTTCTGTAGGCCTTATCTAAGTAATCGTAAATACCCATTTATTCACACAAGGTGGTATAAAGCTTTTGCTATTGTTATATTGTGTTGTATGAGGAGTATAGTGGTTTACTGTTTTGTTATAGTGGTGTGTGAGGTGGTATGGTGGTTTACTGTTTTGTTATATTTTGTTATATTGTGTTGTATGAGGAGTATAGTGGTTTATCAGTTTGTCATAGTGTTGTGTGAGGTGGTATGATAGTTTATTGTTTTGTTATATTGTATGAGGTGGTATTGTGGTTTGTTTTATTATATTGTGTTGTATGGAGAGGTAAGGTGGTTTACTGTTATATTGCATGAGGAGTATGGTGGTTTACTGTTGTGTTATATTGTATGAGGAGTATGGTGGTTTACTGTTTTGTTATATTGCATGAGGAGTATGGTGGTTTACTGTTGTGTTATATTGTATGAGGAGTATGGTGGTTTACTGTTTTGTTATATTGTATGAGGAGTATGGTGGTTTATTGTTTTGTTATATTGTATGAGGAGTATGGTGGTTTACTGTTTTGATATATTGTATGAGGAGTATGGTGGTTTACTGTTTTGATATATTGTATGAGGAGTATGGTGGTTTACTGTTTTGATATATTGTATGAGGAGTATGGTGGTTTACTGTTTTGATATATTGTATGAGGAGTATGGTGGTTTATTGTTTTGTTATATTGTATGAGGAGTATGGTGGTTTACTGTTTTGTTATATTGGTGTGTGAGGTGGTATGGTGGTTTACTGTTTTGATATATTGTATGAGGAGTATGGTGGTTTACTGTTTTGTTATATTGTATGAGGAGTATGGTGGTTTACTGTTTTGTTATATTGTATGAGGAGTATGGTGGTTTACTGTTTTGTTATATTGTATGAGGAGTATGGTGGTTTATTGTTTTGTTATATTGTATGAGGAGTATGGTGGTTTACTGTTTTGATATATTGTATGAGGAGTATGGTGGTTTACTGTTTTGATATATTGTATGAGGAGTATGGTGGTTTACTGTTTTGTTATATTGTATGAGGAGTATGGTGGTTTATTGTTTTGTTATATTGTATGAGGAGTATGGTGGTTTACTGTTTTGATATATTGTATGAGGAGTATGGTGGTTTACTGTTTTGATATATTGTATGAGGAGTATGGTGGTTTATTGTTTTGTTATATTGTATGAGGAGTATGGTGGTTTACTGTTTTGTTATATTGGTGTGATAGGTGGTATGGTGGTTTACTGTTTTGATATATTGTATGAGGAGTATGGTGGTTTACTGTTTTGTTATATTGTATGAGGAGTATGGTGGTTTACTGTTTTGTTATATTGTATGAGGAGTATGGTGGTTTACTGTTTTGTTATATTGTATGAGGAGTATGGTGGTTTATTGTTTTGTTATATTGTATGAGGAGTATGGTGGTTTACTGTTTTGTTATATTGTATGAGGAGTATGGTGGTTTACTGTTTTGTTATATTGTATGAGGAGTATGGTGGTTTATTGTTTTGTTATATTGTATGAGGAGTATGGTGGTTTACTGTTTTGTTATATTGTATGAGGAGTATGGTGGTTTATTGTTTTGTTATATTGTATGAGGAGTATGGTGGTTTACTGTTTTGTTATATTGTATGAGGAGTATGGTGGTTTATTGTTTTGTTATATTGTATGAGGAGTATGGTGGTTTACTGTTTTGATATATTGTATGAGGAGTATGGTGGTTTACTGTTTTGATATATTGTATGAGGAGTATGGTGGTTTATTGTTTTGTTATATTGTATGAGGAGTATGGTGGTTTACTGTTTTGTTATATTGGTGTGTGAGGTGGTATGGTGGTTTACTGTTTTGATATATTGTATGAGGAGTATGGTGGTTTATTGTTTTGTTATATTGTATGAGGAGTATGGTGGTTTACTGTTTTGTTATATTGTATGAGGAGTATGGTGGTTTACTGTTTTGATATATTGCATGAGGAGTATGGTAGTTTATTGTTTTGTTATATTGTATGAGGAGTATGGTGGTTTACTGTTTTGTTATATTGTATGAGGAGTATGGTGGTTTACTGTTTTGTTATATTGTATGAGGAGTATGGTGGTTTACTGTTTTGTTATATTGTATGAGGAGTATGGTGGTTTACTGTTTTGTTATATTGTATGAGGAGTATGGTGGTTTACTGTTTTGATACATTGTGTTGTATGGGATGGGAATCGAGAGCCGTGAAACTTTAATTATTCAATTTTTTAAAAAGTCGCCACCTGTCTTTTCTTTAATGTTTTATTTCCCGACACACACACATACACAGACATACGGACAAGCAGTGTTTCTTCCAGACTTTTCTCCGAGGGTGCACTTGAAATTTTCGGGGGGACAGACAACAATTTCCCGGGGGGGGGGGGGGGGGCGGACACTGTCAAAAGTATATATTTTCTGTATAAATTCCATTTCGTTCGGGGGGGGGGGGGGGTAGACTATTGTTATTTAGATATATTATAGAATTCTAGAATCTATAGCATAGAAGAAAACTTGATGTTAAAATTAAGTACTCTATTAAGTTAACATTAAGAAAGCTTCACATTTTAAGGGCTTTTAACATATTTAAAGATATTTTTCTAGATTCTAGAATGTCTAGCTAACTCTAGAGATCTAGATCTAGACACTAGACTTAACTAATTAACTAGACCTAGATTCTAGAATAATCTTAATTTTTTTCTTTCTAAACTTAATAAAATTAGTTAACTTACGTGAAGCTATCCCCAGAAATATAAGTATGTATAAAAATTTGCACATTTGATTGCAATTCGTCATGTCTCTAAATATTTATATTTAGATCTTGTTCATGATCAATTGTGACAAGGTACTCCAAGCCATGGTTTCACTATCTGTCGGCTATACAGACTTTAATTTTGACAGTACAGTAAGCAAGCTGAGTTAATAAATAGATCTAGATCTAGTAATACACAAGAGTAAAAATATATGGGTTTTCGGCATTTAATTTTATGAAAATACAACAGCTTTTTTTTCTATCCAGAAATACCTAAATACAGAGGTAAGTGTTTCATATAGTAAACATTGTTGGTTAAAATATTTTTAAAAATGTTTGCTGTAAATAACTACCGTTTATCCATAACATGGATAAGAACGTTCTAAGAGGAAGTGCATACGCTATGATAAAAGTAGTATACACGTAATGAAGGAAATCTGTTAAAGTTTTATTTTTAATTTAAAAAATGTAAATATTGGTAACTTGATATAGTGTAAAAAAATGGTTCTGTGTTACACAGTGAACGTGTGTTTTTAGAAAAAAAATTACAATATAAATTCAAACAAAATTGAGCGTAGTAACTTTTTTTTAAAGTAAAAAAGTTTTCACTTATCAACAATCAAAAACAAAATAAAACGAAACAAATTATAATATACATTGTACATTAAAAAAATCATTTGAGCATTCAATTTTGTTAATTTTCCCTAAGTGCTTTCTTCGTTTTAAACATCTTCTGTGTTAAATAAGTTATTGTATACTGTACAGTATAAAATATATTGCTATGAAAGCTTACAATAAGCCTGTATAAAGAAAGGTGGCGGAGGGGTAAAGAGGTATTATCATGTTCTTTTATCAACTGTTTAAAAAAACTAACAAATTATTATGATTTAATTATTGTGTATGGTTTTCTTTCTTTTGTGTATAAGAATACTTTTTCAAGCTTAGAGGTCATTCATAAATAACTTTACACTCCTAGGAGGGAGGGGTCCAGATTTTCTTACGTTGTTTGACGAGGGGATTAGGGGTGGGGGGGGGGGGGGGGCAGGGATTCTTTCAGTCTGAAGAACGTCTCTTCCCCCCCCCCCCCCCCTTGAAAGAAATAGAATTCATACAGAAAATATGTACTTTTACTAGTGTGTGTCTGTGTGTGTCTGTGTGTGTGTGTGTGTCTCCCTGGAAAATTTAGTCTGCCCAACCCCCCAAAAAAAATTCAAGTGACCCTCCTCCCCCCCCCCCAAGAGAAAAAAGTCTGAAAGAAACACTGTTGAGGCGGGGGGGGGGGGGGGTTCAGACACACTTTTACATTTCAGAAAGTAAATATTTAGACCAAATTTTTAGCATTTTCAGTTTTAAAATACTTTTATTTTGAAATTGTAATACGAATATTACAATCTAAACTTTTTCTGCGGGCCATATTAAGTTACTTAGGGTTGGATGTGGTAGGGCTATATATAGGGATAGAACAATTCGTTTAATTTTACCGCCTTTGATATTTTTAATTCTTATTTTTGTTAGATTCTATATAGGCATAAGGCTTATATCATAGGTAAACTGGTTCATGTTGCATTATAACTAATATAATATAAGCACTTTCCCTTAAGTTATACGCCTTTTAATATTTACTACCCTCGGATGCATCCATTACCCCTTGCTATCCAGCACTACGGACAATAACTTTAGCCTCCCAGCCTCCGTCTACCATTAACGGTAATATACTTACGAATCATTAGTCCATCCGTTTTTTGATGAGTTGATATATGTATAATGTATGTCTTTGTACGGTGATGACCCCACCTTCTCTAAGCACAACTTGCTAACGAGTTTGACTGACCGCAGCTAAACAGAACAGCGTCCAATAACGACACGGGTTTTCTTGTTGAAATAAAGCTCCGCCCACTTTGTTTCCAAAGACTGACGATAATAGGGGAAAGGCGGGATTAAGTTGAGCTCTACAAGCATTTGCTTAATAGGGCACTTTGGCCGGCGGCATAGCGTCACTTAAAAGATTGTTCACACAATTTAAACACAAGTTCCCAAAAACACAGAAGCTTAACATCAGGGCCCATTGGCGTTGCCTGGTTTTTTTTGGAATCGGTAGGGGGAGTAGTTGCGCACAAGAAGGCGCAATATAATATAAATAAATAAATAAATAAATAAATAAATAAATAAATAAATAAATAAATATTATATATATATATATATATATATATATATATATATATATATATATATATATATATATATATATATATATATATACAGTGGCGAAGCCAGGATCGTCTCAAGGGGGGGGGTCCAATTTTTACCCGGAGACAAACTTTCGATTTGCACCCCCCCCCCTCAAACTTTCGATTTGCACCCCCGCCCTCAAACTTTCGATTTGCACCCCCCCTCAAACTTTCAATTTGCACATCCCCCCCCCTCAAACTTTCGATTTGCACCCCCGCCCTCAAACTTTCGATTTGCACCCCCCCCCCCTCAAACTTTCAATTTGCACCCCCCCCCCCTCAAACTTTCGATTTGCACCCCCCTAACCCCCCCCCTGCCTACGCCACTGTATATATATATATATATATATATATATATATATATATATATATATATATATATATATATATATATATATATATATATATATATATATATATATATATATATATATATACAGGGGCGTAGCGAGGGGGGGGGGCGGGGGGTGCGGACCGCACCGGGTGACACCATTTAGGGGGGTGACACCAAGGCAAAAAATAGCAAAATATATAGAGAAAAACTCGAGGGGAGGGGTGTAAATCGAAAACTTGAGGGGGGGTGCAAATCGAAAGTTTGAGGGGGGGGTGCAAATCGAAAACTCGAGGGGGGGGGTGCAAATCGAAAGTTTGAGGGGGGGGGGGGGTGCAAATCGAAAATTTGAAAGTTTGTCCCTGGGTAGGGTCTCTATGCCTCTGGGGGGTGACACCATTAAGTGCCGCACCGGGTGACACCCGACCTCGCTACGCCACTGTATATATATATATATATATATATATATATATATATATATATATATATATATATATATATATATATATATATATATATGTAACGAGTCCCCGAGTCTATCCTGCCGACAACGCCAAATGTAACGAGTCTCTGACTACCCTGCTCGCAGCGCCAAATGTAACGAGACTTATCCTGCTCGCAGAGCCAAATGTGACCTTCCCGAGTCTAACCACTCATTCCACACAACATTGACCACAGCATAGATACTCGAAGATGCAGGTTCATTATTGATCCTTTTATTACATGAATCAAAGAATGTTTCACAATAATATATTGAATCAAGAGAGATGTTTCACAATAATAGTCTGAATCAACGGACCCCCAACAGTCCTCACTAGGCTTCATCTAACTGAATACACATGTCTAACGTCCTTCTTAACACAATATAACCAACTGGATACTGCCACACATATTCACTGAGAGAGAGAGACTGACGGACTGACTGACAGACCTTCTGAGAGACAGACCGACTTTCTGAGACCTTCTGAGAGACAGACCGACTTTCTGAGACCTTCTGAGACCTCGAGCTCAGCCGTCGCCTTCCTTATATCCCCTTCATAATCGTACTCATATTCGGTCCTATCATAATCGTAATTGTAATCGATTCTAATCGTTACATCAGACTGTTAATTACGCCGCTTCTGTCGTACAGTCCGATTTTAATAAGCCACCTGCATCCTGTCACATCAAAGTTGACAGACCGTCTTTCGTATCGCTTCCCGAGATATTACGCCTTGGCATCAGCCAACACCTGCACTGTGACGTCAGACTGTAACACGTTATGTCTCTTGGTAACTTCCCCTAGTTACATCCACCCCTGCCTTTTTTTGTGTGTTATCAACCACAAACAACGCTTGGCAGGTGCAGTCCTTCAAAGTCCATCGCACCACCGTAAAAAAAAATCCATTGTTCCACTCACTGTCAATGTCGTCACATTCGTATAAGATTGACAGTTATCCCTATTTCACATATCCAATGTGTCTACATCATCTTCCTCAGACACAAAACAGTTCTAGAATTCACATCCACCTTTTTTCGTTTGGTGCCTTCACCAGTTCACTTTTATGACTTTTTGAACAGTCTGTTTTCATACCAGCGCGACCATGAAGGAATTGATGGTTGCTGACAAAAAATTTCGTATTCTTTCTGTTTCTCAAACTTCTCCGCGGACCACTTATCTGATGGTCTACTGTCTCTCTGCTTTTGGAGGGACCGGGATCCTCCTTGTTGCCGGTATCCTCCCTTTGTGTGTCGCTGTTGCGCTGTTGATGGTGACATGGTTCCGGGATGGGTATGTGAATTTCCGTTATAGTTTCCGGTTCCCTAATTGTCTTGGGTTTCCTTGTGTGTAACTGCTCTTCTTGACTATGACCATATTTCTTTAATTGAGCAATATTCGCCCACCGATCCGGTTTGGTGTGATCGATGGGTCTTATCTTAAAGGGGCCACCTGCTACTTTAGGCATCTCCACGACTTGCCATATCTCCTGTCCCCAGAGATCGTGGATTTTGTTTCTGCCTAACGGGTGGCTACGCAGTAATACCCTGTCGTTCAGTTTGAGTGGCGGGTCCTTTGTCTGTACCGGCGGTTCCCTTCGCCGTGCTTCATGTTCTAGTCTTTCCTGTACTACCCTGTACATTTCTCTAATTCGTCTCATATGTTCATTCACATATTCCAGTGCAGTGTATGAGCCAGTCATACTCTCCTTTTTTCCTAGGAACAAGTCAAGGGGGAGTCGAGCCTCCCGTCCGAACAGCAACATGTATGGCGAAAAGCCGGTTGTGGCATGGGGTGTGCAGTTGTATAGATATACCAACTCTGGGAGAAAATCAGGCCAACGTTTTTTCTGTTCAGGTTCTAGAGTACGCAGCAAATCATGCATGCTGCGGTTGAACCGCTCGCACTGTCCGTTTCCTTTCGGATTAAATGTGGTTGTTCTAGATTTGTTGATCCCGTAGTGGCTGCACAGTTGGTTAATTACTTCTGACTCGAAGGCCCTTCCTTGGTCAGAGTGTAATTGTCTTGGTATGCCATATTTGATGAACCAATGTTCTATTAAGACCTTTGCCACTGTTTTGGTAGTCTGATCTCGTGTGGGCACCGCCACAGTCCATTTGGTGAAAACATCAGTCATTACCAACACATGTTCCGTCCCATCCGATGATTGCTCCAACGACGTAAAGTCCATAGCCACAATCTCTAGTGGTTTTGTCGCTAATAGGTGTCCCGATGGCTGTCTCATTTTGACAACTGGCATTTTCGCATGCTGACACCTCACACAAGCCTCACAATGGCGTTTGACCTCCATTTCCATATTGGGCCAGTAACACCTCCGTCGTAATATTTTGTGCGTCCTGTCCTG